GGGAGATATGTTTAATATTAGATAGGCGGTATTGTAGTAGGAAGAAAGTAAGGGAGGATTAACATGGCTTGGGGAGAAGTGAGATAACAAATGTATTTGTGTTTTTAGATCGTCGTAACTGCCAGAACTTCTACTTATCTCAATCCACCCTCCCGATCGTCCACCCCCTCCACTTTCCATCCTTATCCTATATAATCCTTACACCTATGCCCTTATCAAAACCCAGTCCTTACCAGTATCCCCCGACAAATCACTATTAAAGTAACATGGAAGCTGATAATACAACTGTAAGTAAATAAATTGTTGAGAGATGGGACATACTCGTGACAAGTTAGATGTATTTGTTCGCTCCAAAAAGTCTTTGTCTATTCTTGTTTTCACCACCAACTCTCAGCTATTTTTTCCAAATTTCCGAACAGTCAATTAAATTACAATAATCTATGTATCACAACAAGCCGGTAACTAGTATCCAAGCCTTTCAAACCCTTCAAACACGAGCATATATGTGAGAATTGTCCTAGTTTAGTTGGACATCACTAGGCGTGGTATCCGCAGTCTCGCTGTCATTCGAGCGGCTAGTCGAGGTTGACTGGAACATTGGACGCTAATACTTCAATCCATACTCTTTATTTTCATATCTCTCATTTCAATAAAATAACGAACATTCCTCCAATTCCAATTTCATCGAAACGTAGAAGATGTTGTCACCGAAACCCCCACCACTACCGAAACCACCCTCACCAAACCGTCCCCTCCCCCAGATTTGCTATTGGAAGAACACCATCTAACATTCCTCCACCAAAAGCCCCATACCTGCTCTCTAGACAAAAGCACAACCCAGAATTTCCACATACTTAGGGACCTAGCACAAACATTATATTTCTTTTTTGTTGTTGTTTTATTATGGATGTAAGTCTTAGTGGCATGGCGTTTTATGGAGTGATTTGTTTTTGGGTGGGAGGAGCGTCATAGGTTGAAAAAGCTGTTTGAAGTTCGAGGTTAGAGGAAATAAGGTTGCAAACAAAATAACACAGGGGGCCAGGGAAGAAAGAGGTGGTAGGATGTGGATGTAGGTGTAAATGTAGAGAATTTGATGTGGATTTTATGGATTCGGACGTTAGTGTAGTTAGAGAAGACTTGGATTTATGGGTATTGGGAGTTTTAGAGTTGTAATCTTAAGCTATGTTTATTCTTCAGCTTGAGTTTTTGGGAGGAACTTGGGAGGATAAAGACGGATTAGAATACACATCGATTTCCAATAATCGCAAAATTACAGTGTTTCAAAAGACTTCATCCCCTAATAGTTTCGAAGAATTAAAACAAACCAAACCCTTTCCAAACCCTCTCCTTCATTAATTCGCTCTCCCTCCCACAACTCCCTACAGCCTAGTAATCCACACCTTAAAATCCCACTCCCCACTCTTCACTGACGAGCAAACGAGAAATTGAATACCAAATCTTCCATCGACTTTAAGAATCCAGAAGAAGAGAATAACTAGATGATACCTAGAAGTGTACGTAAATAACGCTTTTCAGATCACATTCCCTATTTCTTCTACTTTTGCGTTCATGTAAGGATTACGTGAACCGATATATAAGGGGAAGTTTGTCATTGAAATTCATTTCACTACCGAATCAATTTCACTCTTAAATCCACATCGATTTTAAATAGTCAAAAGCGCACCACCCACCTCTTTTTCTCGATACCGTCATGTCCTTAAATTTGCATTTTTAATTGAATGTACGACTGGCATCACTCAACTGACAGATACACCGGTTTCTTCGGGCTAAGTCCATCGAAGACTACTGGATATACTAGTACTAGTAAGATAGTAAGTCTTTTATACATTGATTTCATCCTTTACGGCTGTCGAACGTGTTCCGATTTAACATAGCAAGAGTCGAAAGGGAGAAAGGAAGGAATGAGCATTCCTGTAGTTTTCATCGAGTATAAATACGGATTTTCAAATAATAGAATAGTAGGGTATTGGAGGAGACAAATTTTGTACTTAGACGGTCAGTACGTGGGGGTTTGAAGTACTGCCAAAATATTGGAGAGTGAATTAGGAGAACGTTTCGTGGTTTTCAAAAGTGTTAGGTATTAAGGAAGATTTTTTAATATTCTCTCGAGTTAAATTTACGAATTAGAAATTCAAGAGCACAGGAAGAGATGCTAAAAACATAATGTTTTCTTCTACCTAGCCCTAATTATATAAGACCCCTAGAAAACATCAGACGACTAGACAATGAAACACTTCTCATCATCTCAACTATGCCACCTCGGGATAGAAATAGAATAAAGAGGCTTTTAACTAAATCTCAACTTAGACCCTAATCTAACAAGAACCTTAAATTTAGCCTTAGAGAATGTTAGCAATAATGCTTTGTTGAGAATAAGTTGCGAGGGGTGATAGTTGTCATCGAATTTAAGTCCACTACCGAATCGACGAATCATATCGTCAACGTCCTCCCAAGTTTCAACTAGATCCAAAAAGCCCCGATGCAATTATTCCCATCTCACTACATTTCTCCCCACTATCCCCAGCCCATCCTATCCCATCTCCTTAATCCGATCACAGAGACACCCCTGGTGAAATGAGCTCAATGGTGTTATTATCTCCACAAGGAAACTCCTGAGTTTCTCGTTTATAGATATCACAAACCATCCATTCCACTCTCCTTCCACTCCTTCCCCACCACCCGAATTTCCCTCTTACACCTCTCCTCTCATCCCCAGAAACCAAACCCACCACCATAACCAACCCCCCAAATCCCAAACTATCTCACAAAAACCTTAGTATCTTCAGCTTCATGACTTATTTGTAAATCCGATATTAAGAGACTAACTCTCATCAGTTGGAACCGAAGTCGTTGATTGAGATACAGAAAGTGTGATGAACAAGCGGATCTTTGTTTGAATTTGTCATGGGAGGTGAGAGATTTGGGTGATGCGAAGGGAGTTGGGGAAGGGATGGAAGCGGTTTTATGGTGATGGGAATAATAATAAGAGGGGGAGGTTTGTCGTCGAAAGGGTTCTCACCACCGAAATACTAATATCATTAAAACAAAATACAGGCTACGAAGTTGACTATAATCAATCCCCTCTCGTCATAAAACAAACCTCACATCCTACCCTCCCACACCTGTCACATCCTATCCCCATCCCATCCCCTCAATCACAGAGCCTCCCATCTCCTCCATGTGTTAACTTGATGACCCGTATTGGTTTGTGGTAGCAAGAAGAGCATTTTATGGTTATTCTATAGCCGAGTGTATGGGGTTCGAGGGAATTTGGGGGGTGTTTTTAGAGGATTATAGATTTGGGGAGTTGGGGAGGGGACATGGTTTTTATTATCGAAGCATATCTTCCGAAGATTGAAGATTGGGATATTGATTTTAATCATTCTCATCCCATCCCCCTCATCCCACACCAAGTCCCCTACTACCATATTAATAAACTCCAAATTCTTTTCCCACCTTTTCCTTCTCTTCTTCTCAAAGATCCAAGCTATAAAATCCGGCCGTCGTGTCACTACAACGAAACCCACATCCCTCCGTTTCGTCGTCGTTATATAATGTTAGTTTATTTTATACCAGCGACCATACTTCACTTTTTCTCCTCTGCTCACATTGATTCGCTTTATCACTCGACACTCTTCACACAACCCAATTGGCCATTTCCACATAAATGTTCAACGTCTTGGAAGCTGTTAGTCGACGGTTTAGCGATGATTTAAAGGATCGTTGAGGGTCTGAAGGATCGTTGGGGTCTGAAGGGTCGTTGATATTTGAAGGGTTGAGATTGCGAGGTCGAATTGTTTTCAAATATGTTAGGTGGAGGAAGTATTGAGTGACTGCGTGGCTTATTTATCGTCGCCTAGACTCTCGGAATGCTTTCTTGGTCGATGACTCGGTAATTAATACTAGTGTTGATGAGGTGGAGGAGGTGTTGTGTATAGATAAATCTAATAGGAACTGGTTTAAGCAGGTATGAGGAGTGTTGAGGTAGTAGGTTCGAGGACGTGGATTTGCTGGTTGGGAAATAGGAGGGAGGAGGGAGGTTGTCACCGAAACTGAACTCGCCACCGAAAACCCATAATCCAAACAGAATAGACACTACGAAGATTATTTATATTTGTCTTCGCATGGCATATATAATCTCTACCCCTTCCTCCCCACCCCTCCCTCCCTCAAACCCCCTCTCCCCTCACCTCGACACGAGAATTGCTGAGCGCTCGAACAAGCTACCTACCTACCTACCCACTCACCCACTGCCCCACTCACTCACCCACAGATATCCTTCCATCCCCATCCCCCATCCCCCATCCCCCATCTCCACCCCCCATACACCTCAAACATAAAATCACAACACAAACCCTCAGGGGGGTGTGAGATTCCAGAAACGCAGGTCGTTGAACCTTGGTTGACATGCAGACCTGGCCGCAAATGTGAAAAGATAGATGGATCAGATAATACGCAATATGAGAATGTTTTCAAAAGAGTAATCACATACGCAATATGAGAATTTTATGAGATAGATAGATTTAAAATGGAGATATTTTTTACAAGACGTGATAACGTTTTGTGTCGGAAATATGAACGGTCTTTTTCTATCGCTTGTGGAATATTCGTGAGGAGGGATTGGCGTCTAGAGTATGTCAAGGACGCGAGATGGGATATTAAGGGTGGGGAGATTGCGAGGTGAGAGAGATTTTTCATGTAGAAAAAAAAGGTATGGTATTCAAATCCGAATCCATTGGAAGATTGTGTGGTTGATGGAAGATTGAGATTTTGGCTTGGAATTAGTGCTCTTCTTAGTCCACACGAAGAGCTTACGGTATGAGATGATTCAGGAGCCTTCACATGATGACTCAAATGATGCAAAGGTATTATAGATAATATAGCTCATTAAATTAATTTTCACCAACACACACGCTATTTACACATTCCCCAACCACTATAGTACATTCTTTCCTTTCAGTTTTCTTTTACACCATTCTCTATCCAGCCTGGTACAAGAAAGGACCAGCAGCCACGTGCGGGTTAACCATGCTCAAGTTGAACGCGGTAAACGGCAAATCCGCATCAGTAAGCGCGATGAACATCGTGCCGTTGATAGCAGGATCACCCTCGTACGTGCTAACATCCGGTTGGATAGTCTGTCCATACCACATCTCACCGTTTTGACTAATGTTGGTCAAAGGCGAGTATGTGATGTTGAGCTGACTGACCCAGAGGACGAACTCGGGTGCGCCAGCCATGGTGGCGGTGATGTAGGAGTTGTTTGGGCCGACTGGCTTGCCTGGATTCTCCCACTCGAGGAAAACCTCACGACCTGGGTAGGAGAGAGGGATGGTTCGGTTTTGGGAGATGGCGGCTGAGCAGTCCTCACCGGTGATGTTGCGGCCGACGCAGGAGTCTTCGGCTGGGACGTCGGAGTTTGAAGGACGAGCTCCTCCCCATCCGACTGTCTCGTTCAATGGGGTTTGGGTAGCGTTCCAGCGGGCGCTGTTGGGCTGGTTGAGGACGTTGAGTCCTGGGAAGTTTTGCCATGCCAATCTCTTGGAGTTTGCTGGGCACTCGGAGATGTATGGTGCGAGCAAAGTCCATGCCCAGGATTGTGGAATACCAGTCTCGAACCAAACTGGCATTGGGAACAAGCCAGCGAATTGTCTGAAGATCATCTGTTGACGAGCCTCAGTGGCGATGGATTGATCAAGCAATTGAGCAACCTCGCGGGAATCGAGATGAGCTTGGAAACCCCAAACACCAGACTCTCCGAAACGTGTAAGCTTTTGGGTGAAATCGAATGCTTCACGGACGGTGGTGAATGGGTAGTTGTAGGTACATTGTGGAGTTGCACCTCCTGGTCCTCCCAACAAATTGCTGAGAAGGGTGGCGTGACCAGTCTCTTGAACGGCCATGAATTCAATCAAGTATCGATCGCTAGCAGTCAAGCCAGCTTCGGTGAATTCCTCTTCGCTGAAGGTGGCCAGAATGTGGTTGAAAAGATCCAACTCGATCCATTCCTGAAGTTATTAGTGTCATGTTCTGCCATGTTTTGATGAGAAATGCTTACCTGGTAAAGACCGACGAGGATAGATTGGTAGTCGAAATCGGACTGAACACGGTAAACTGGCTCGGTGCCGTTTGTACCCAAACCTCCAGCAGGTTGGTATGGGATTGGTTGCTGGTCGTTGAGAGTACCGTTGGGATTGTATGTCAACGCTGTTGGGTTTGGTGGAAGTGCTGGAATGGCGGTTCCAGCTGGGGAGTTGCTCACAGCTCCAGTGGTTGTTGGTGTACCACTGTATGGGCCATGGCTGGTGACTCCAGTGACTACACTGCTAACTCGTGGAGGAACAGCGTTGGTAGCTCCAGGAATCGCACTGACTGGAAGTCCAGCAACAGAGGCGGCCGAAGAGACAGCGGAACTGTCTACATAAGGCTCTTGACTGTAGGAATATGGCAATGGCGAGTAGTTGCCCGTCGCTGCAGCCACAGGTGTTGCTGTTGGAGCTGGGTTCTGAATCTGTCCGTCAGAAATCTGCTGGATGGGTGTGGCAGTGGGAACCTGAACCTGTCCATCTGAAATCTGGCTGATGGCTTGTGGAAGCGCATGCGCCGCGGCAATGAAGCCGGCGCTTAAGGTCGTTCTGAAAAGCATTTTGCGCTGGGTAAAATGCTTGTGAGAATGATGTTTGAGTGATGGGTAGTGGAATGTATTTATATCAGTGGCTGTGGTCCCATGGCCACACGTTTTTCAACGGCAGTGATGGAATGACGCCGACAGATTCAGGTATTATGTCACCTACTAAGGAACTGGAGTCCCATTCCATTGGATAGTGGAGTATCCAGCTTGGGTCCCAGCTCGAAAGAGCTTCAAGAGCCGGAGCATTGGGGAAATCTCAAGCGTTGCTCTGATGAAGCTGCAGGGGCGTAGCTCTGCCGACGCGGAGAATAGCTCGAGAGAGGCAATGAGCGGAATAAGACTAGACGTCATGAGTAGCTTGAAGGAGACGTGCTTCCACGACTGGACTGCAAAGTGCAATTGTTGACAAACTTCGGCCAGGCTAGCTTGACTAGAGAAGTTTTCCGGGGACTGTCAGGCACGCCTTCAGTCGAAGCTGGGCCCAAGCTCCTCGAACCCTGCATACTTGTACAGCAATGGCACAACACCAGCTGCAGTCGAAAAGGCTCGTTACGCGTCCAACCCAAAAACCACCCCAGCAGATGTCTCGTGCCGATGCTTATTGGGCAGCTGGTGATTAATTAAGGTTGTGGATCTCTAGACTGCGGGTTGTGCCTTGAGTTGAGGTCCGGCACGAAGAATTACAGCTTGCCCGGAACAATGGCAAAAGCCCGAATTGGGCAGAGGTTGAAGCTTCCTGAGGTCGTCGGCCGATAACCAAGAATAATGATATCTCAAGCTCTGGATTTCTGTATAACTCGCAAGCCAAGCCAAGCAGACCTACCATCAATTGATCTGGCTGGACGAGCACTATCTCCGATCGACCATTATTATTGATCTCAATCGCATCGCTTAATCTTTCAAGACAACCTTGTCTGTAATGAAGACTTTTACCATGCTCTTCTCATAGAGATCTGGACACAGCCGATTACCGAGATCTGTATTAGTGTCTAGGGTTCTTGCACCCAGGTGGCAAACGACTTTGGGAGGAGCTGACGACTTGACTTATTGAGCGATCAAGTCGTATTCCTAAATTCAAGCGAGCTAGATTGCTCTACTGTTAACGCAAACGTTAGAACGTCGCGGTAATTGTGAGCTTGAAAAACTTTCGTAAATCGTCGAGGAAGCAAACCTCGAGCTCTTTCTCGCACATCGCATCTATGCGGTTGGCGACACCGAACAAATAATGGCAACGCAGGTCCATCGCCGTGTGGACCAGCCAAACCAATGTCTGCGATGAACGTGCATCTGCAATTCGATCGTCAAGTCGATGGGCCCGCTAGAGCTGTCACACTGCAGGCGATGACTTCAAGACTTTCCTCACAGCAACAACTACTGGTAGTTGGACTGGGGACTGGTAGTTGTACCGTGATGTTGTGAGAGAGGTTTTGCTCAACGTCATGAACCAGGGGAGCTTGAGCTTCACCAGTGGGGTCGTGGTAGTATCTGGGCGCTGTGACGCCACAGCCGTCTGTCCCCCAGACAAGATTTAGCGGAGTAAGGTCCGGCCAAGTAAAATGGTGACCTCCGAATTCAGACTTCGTCCTATTTTTGGAAAGTAAAAGGTCTCCTAACGAATCTTCCCTCTACTTCTAACACTTAAAATGAATAGTTGATTGAAGAAACGCTGGCTTTCGTATCAATATCGAGGTGGCTTGAGTTTGTGACTTCTCAAGCTCTGCGAAGCACTGACACGAAATAATTGGAATCCGCAATACCAACCGCGAAGAGTTTAGCCCAAGCAACAAGGCCCCCCGGTATACAAAAGTTTCCTCGGCATCATCAAAATAAGGGGAATCTCAAAAGTCCATCTTTTGCTGGCATGCAAATCTGCTCGAAAGATCGGACGTAGTTCGGAGATTGGGACATATCACGGTCCAGTCGCCACTTATGGTTGATTTCAAAGAATCAATAATGCAAATGCGGTATAATACCAATGCTTTGGTAATTGTTTGTACCGGCAGTTGAAGTGGGATTTGTTTGTTGGGGAATTCGTCATGTCGGTCAATTGGTCTCCACCGAGATATTGTAAGTCTTGGGACTGAGAATCACTCAGTCGTCGCTGTCGTCTAGTCAAATATCCTACAGCTCTTCTAGATCAGTCCTCTATAACTTTTAAAGCCAGAACTTTTCTTGTCCTTTTTAGACTCCGATTCCTTAACCCCATCCTTTGTCTTCTCTTTTTTTGCCTTTCCGACGTTTTGCGCGCCGCCTGCTGAATGTTAGCTTCTGCTTTTACGAGAATGCTACCAACCTACCTCTACCGTATACTCTCGTGTCAGCCTGTGCCTTGAAATTCAGAGGTCTCGGCTTGACCTTTCCATGCGCATCGAGAGACAATCTATCGCTGTCTATGCTACCATTGCCCCCTGGACTCGACACAGATTGAGGACTGAACGGTCGAGACTGATGGTCGGCATTATCATGTCTACATCTGAGGAGCGTGGCGCTTTCAGATGGGTCGGTCATGATATTCGGATCGACGTGTCTGGTAGGACTGAAACTAGAGCCATATGCTTCACCACCAAGTAGTGCCTGTGGTTCCCGAGAAGTGTGTTGCTGTTTGAAGTCTAGCAAATCGACCAGTTGAAGCTCCAGAGTTTGATATCGTTCCAACAAGTGATCGTACACCTTTTGCATGTGCTCCATTCGTCGATTGTTCACTGCCAAAGCCTCATCAATGAGTCTTTGGCTAATGCCCTGGATGTCTCTATGACTGTCCAGCGGTTGTTCACGTCCGTTATACTCTTCTTCAAAAGCTTCTTTAGTTTTAGCAAGTTCATCGTCGCGAGCACGTATTTCCATTTCCAGCACCATAACCCGCCTTAAAGCATTCTCCTCACTTGTCTTCGCCGCCTCGGTCTCAAACTCTGCCGCCTCATATGATCGTAGTGAGGTAGTAAGTTTATCAATCTCGTCGCGCAGGTGTTCCATCTCATCTAAATTCGACTCGACCGACTGCACTTTTTGTTTGGCAGCCAATTCCCGCCTCTCACTAGTGACTACAATCTGCTTGAGCTTTTCCGTCCTCTGTTTCGCAAGTTGTAAATCTCTCTTAAGTTCATCCCGCTCTATGTTCCACTTCTTTTGTTCGTCTCTAAGAACCTTCAACTTAGCACCGAGCTCACCTTCCCACTTCCTCGAGTGCGTTTTGCTTTTCTCAGTCTCTTTCTTCTGTTGTAGACTGTGAGATCGTGCTTCCGCCAGCTTTGACTTCAGGACGGCGTTTGACATGATCAAATTCTGTATTTCTGCGTCGCCTCTCGCCTCCCTAATTTGCTTATTTCGAAGTTGGCCAATGGCGGTGAGATGTTGTTGCTTGAGGTATCTCTCAAAGTTCAGATCATTCTGTAACAGTTGAATCTCACGATGAAGATATGCCACTTTCATGTTAGAATCAACATTAGACGAAGGGCGTAGCGATGGAGAACGAGTGGACTTCGCAGTCAAATCTCTTGAATTAAGAGAATGAAGGTAGGCATCGATGGGAATTGACGCCATTGCAGGAGTCTCTTGGGTGTTTGAAAGGGCAAGTGATGTAACGGACTCGTTGGTGAGCGTCTGGTAGATACTTCCTCGTACAGAATTTTGTGTGTTGACAAGTTCATGAAGTTGGTTTTGTGACGGAGAAGTCAATATCGCAGGACTTATGGGACTGTCAGCTCTCATATCAACCGGGCGAAACCCAGGTGACATAGAAATAGAGTGACTCCTCTGCGATGTGCTTCGCCTGGGTAGAGGGTCATCAGTGTTTGCTGCAGCTTCTGGTGTTTGGGTACTTCTCCAACTGCTTTTGCGGAATGGAGTAATTGGATCTTGATCGGGAACATTTGCATGCTCTGGCGCCTTTGGTGCTCGCTGAGATCTCGTAGGGACACCTTCAACGTCATCTACAGGGCAGTATAATGACATACACTCCGCGACGACGTCTGCAGCCGCACTCTTCATCCATCGATTACTGTCCGTAAGTTCGCTCTCGAGGGTTGTTTTGAAGAAATTCGGATGAAGAGCATGGACTTGACGGAATGTTTCCGATCTTTGCTGTATATCAATAGGATCGACATCCAGGTCATCTGCGCCAGGGAAATTCGCGTGTCTTAAGTACCTTTGGGGTTTTCGAATATAACTCATGAAATTGATTGGGTAGAGTCCATATAAGAATGTGAAATAATGCAGCAATTCAGGTACTGTTTCATCGTCATTCTCCAGTAAGTACGATAACTTGTCCCAGTGTCTGTTTCCTTCCACATTGGCTGGTGTACTTGTGCCATCGCTTCCATGCTCGACTTTAAGCGGACGGTCTTCGTCCTTTTTCCTTTCCCGGTCCCAGAATAACAGTCGACTATATATATTGAACAAAGCTGGTAAATGTTTGGAAGCAGATGTTGGTATGTGTGGCAATACCATAATCAGTGCTGTGATTGATAGAGATATAACTCTTGTCGATGTGTCAACTTGTAAACAACGAAGCAAATCTTCGAAAAGTGGTGTTTCCAGGATCTACATTACAAGTTAACAGGTTCCTGTTACGATGAACCAAGCTTCCTACCTGATCGAGATGAGGTGGTCCATGTCGTACAAATTCACAGAATAGCGATAGTGTTGGTATACGGTTCGACTTCTCACGGAAGAAGGTATCAATTATTGTCAGGAAGTCTCTGGGTTTTTTCTTGCCATACGCCAATAAGATTTGACTGAGTTGTCCTTCGACGAAACGTGAGTGAACGTCAAAATCCTCAGCAGCATTTTTTGATTTCCCCAACCACAATGCCAACAAACGCTCTGCCATCACCTTGCTAGACATTTTGGCATCGTCGATGTCTCCATCATCCTCATCGTATACCAAAGTTGCAAGCAGTGCATCCCGCGCCGCATCTACAAGTCCTTTCTGTTGCCCCAAGTTGCTTAGAACTGGTGTAGATAGTTTGTCCCACCATTGTATGAGTCGCCCTGAGCCACGAAAGGCAGGTTTGAGGAAGGTAAGGATCGCTAGGAAAGCCGCGAGGTGGGCGTGTTTATCCAATATTGAGTTTTGGTAGAAGGTAAGCAGCTCTTCTTGAAGGCGCTGGGCATCGGATTCGTCGTGAGTGGCATGCTTGTCAAGGTAGGCGTGGATGATGGTAACCAGGCCATCGGGCAGAGGTAGGTTCGAGTCGGTTGAGGAGGAGAACGAGGTGTTGATCGCCTTTGTGAGGTCTTTCAAATGGCTGATAAATAGTCAGCAGGAAGCTCTACATATCTTGAAAGGTAATGGCTGGCTACGAACCCTGACATATTGTCATGGACAAGGAGTCGCGCAATTTATTTGGAGGGCCGAAGATGCGGATGGACGCGGGGTTGCAGATGAAGCACTGGTCTTTTGCCCACCGTGGGACGCGTCAATGGCATCTGAGTGCTCCTGAAACAAGATGATAATGATCTAATAAACTCGAGTGTTATAAGAGTACCGTCAATAAGATGTACATATGATGTAGCAGTTGTAGTCTTAAGTTTGCAGTTTGATTTCCGATAAGAGCTGTCTGACTTATCGCCAAAATTTCGTTGCTATTTTGAGGTCCGTGCAGACGAGTCACTTTCTCTTCGAATCACCATGCCGCCTTGTTCAAAATTCATCATATATGAGGAGCTAAGATTACAAACAGACAAAATTCTGGGCTTAAACATCGGTTTTCAATTCTAGAAAGACTCATTCTAAACAATAAACTATCACCGGAAACCATTTCATTTTGCTTCATGGTTTTGGAAGCTTCCAATAACTTCTGACCTTCCATTTCAGTTTCTCATATGTTATTTACTATGCAAAATAACTTGGTTGGTTATAGTAGGTCATTCTAATGTAGCCAATTATTACTGTTAGTGATGTTTTGACAGACGACAAATATCATCTCCATGGAGACTACTTTGCAATTACCTTTCGAAGGGTGTCTTCTAGAACAGGCTCGTGGTGGACAAAATATGTGGCAGTCGAAACACTATATTTTTTTCATTAAGTTGATGAAATAACGTATGTTCAGTGGATTAACCTGGAACAATATAAAATGATCCGTCACCTACTCTAAGCAATCAAGACTTCTTACGCTCTACTCGGAGTCGACTTATTCAATCCAAGATCATAGCAAGGTGACTGACACTTATTTGGTCCTCCGCAAGACAAGCTACCTCTTGGCAACTGTGTAGAGAATCACTCGATAATTTCAAAGATCTATGAGCAGAGTGAAACAATCAAGAATTTCATTGGCAAAACTGGTTCAGTTATGTTGGTGGAGTTAAGCATGCGTGATGTGAGCTTGGCGGGAGTTTGGCAAGTGATGGGGTAAGATGTTTTCGCAATAACCACTCCAGTGATCGGAGGAAGGAATGACAGTTTGAATACCACTGAAATCGAAAATTAGTTCACACTGCGCGTACGTTGTCCGAATAATTGCTAGAGTGTGGTTTCAAGAGATGCTTGGTAGCTGACTTGGTCCTGATTCAGGATTGGAAAATCAATTCAGATATCAAGGGATTTTGGAGACAGGGACAGAATGTAGACTTGCAGAAGTCATCTAAAAAGATTTATTTAATAGCCCATGACAGAGCTTCATGTAGGGACCAAGATCAATCGTATGCTTTGAAATATGTAAATTGCAAGGGAAGTATGAACTACTTAGCAACTCATATCTGCATCATGCTCTGCTAACATTTACAGGAAAACTTATAGCGCTTATCCGCTCATAATTTCACTTTCTCCTTATGTCCATCTAGTCAAACCAAATACTCATCGAACCAAGTAACAGCCTGCAAGAAAGCTTGCTCCTTCGCAAACTTCTCTTGCTTCTTGCTTGTATCGCAACGCACAGAAAATCCATGGACAACTCCGCTGTAAAGATTGATTTGATATGGATTCTTGCCCTTGAGTAGGATTTCTTCTGACTTGTGGCGCTTCTCGGTGGGGAAGATCTGGTCGACCTCTGCGGCTGCGATTGACAAGGGGCCGGTGATGGCAGCAAGCTCCTCTTCGTCGACGAAACTAGGATGGTTAGGAAAAGGAAAACACAAGTAATTAAGAAGAGACATACGATGGATGGGCGACGTATCCGACATCAATGCCTTTTCCACCAGTCATGAATCGACAAACGTATTTAGCACCCTGATAGATACCGTCAGCTTGGACGCAAGTTGTGTGAGAAAGTTACATACAAAGCAGTACCCAACACTACCAATCTTCTTGAAGCCTTGCTCCTTCAAGTAGGCAATTGCCTTCTCGACGATAGGATCGACATGCTCGAAAGTATGAGGATTATTACCATCAGTTCCCTTTGTCAACCAACTCATGAAATCGAAGCCTTCTGGTTGGTTGAGGCTCACTGGGTCACCATTGAACAGGTCGACGATAAGAGTATAGTATCCATTGGCGGCGAATTGGTCTGCCATCAACTTGCTGTTTTGCCAGATGGAGATGACATCAGGAAGGTATAGAATAGCTGTGTCTTTGTGGATTGTCTTTCCAGTTGGCTCTGCGACGTAAGCCTCGATGTCACCAATCTTGAATGATTTTCCGGTGGGCTCGCCCCTAAGAATTACATCTGTTAGCTATCAAATTTTGATGCAATTGAAGTGAAGAGAGTTGGTATGGCGGGGTCATACGTACTCATGCTTTACGCCCACCGCGCAGCATTGTTGTGGAGCCAAAGAGGCCATTTTGCGTTGATTTTGAGGATGGGAAATATGTACAGAAAGTAGAAGAAGGAGAAAGGATTTTATCAACTATCAATTGATTGCTGAGGGGAACAATTGGTGTCACTGCTTCATACAAATGCCGACAGTGATACGCTTCATGGTGGGGTTGAATGACAAAGCACTTAGTACACCCGCTCGGACGGGAATACCCATTTGAATCTTAACTCCGCACCACTTCGTCGTTCCACAAGACATTTGCGCGCCTAAAATCACATGGTTGCGCGACGCGCTTAATTTTTATCTAGGGCGTTCATGCTAGAATTCATGTACGGACTACGAGTTCAACAGACCAGCACATAACCCTCAACAATGGCCGCAAGATCAGCATTCGGGAAAGGCCCCAAATTAGGGAGGAAACAAGTCTACTTGTCAGTTCTACCACTCAGTTCGGACCACAATGGCAAACCCAGCACTCTCGCTCCCCTGAACTAACATCTCCAGACCAAACTTCGAGATCACCCTCATACGCAATCCCAAGCTCCCACCTACGTTCGCAGCCTTTATCGTTCCCTTAAATTTCAACAAGCTCGACCTACGCGATTACCTATGGAACGGATATGGGGTGTCAGTACGGGGTGTGCGATCGTTCATTCAGATGCAGAAAGTCCGACAGGATAAACCGAATGCGAAGAGGCCGGCCCCACGGAGATGGTTTAGACCTAGGAGTATCAAGAAGATGATGGTCGAGATGGATAAACCGTTTGCGTGGCCTCAAGAACCAGAGGATTTCAGCCCGTATGTGATTCTTTCATTTTTGCGGAACGGAAATACTTCCATAGATCTTTGCGCGCTGGAAGGATTCATTGGCGTAATGTATTTGGGAAATATCTTCTAATCGACGTTTTGTTGTAGTTGGGATAAAGAGAGATATGATGCTATAAAACAGATGCAAGAGGACAGCCGGGAGACGCAGAAGCTAGACTATGTCACCAAGCCGACGGCGGAGCGAAAGTCAATTGCTGAGCAAGCAAAGGAATTATTGGAGGGGGACGAAAAATGGGGACCGACAGATTGGGAAGACGTTGGAGAAGCTCAAGAGGTGGAAAAGGAGGTGAAGATTCCTGAGGCTGTGAAAGAATAGATTGTATATTGGATTGTATAATATGTATGAATACCTAGTAGTGGATTGGATGGAAGGCACCAGTCGATCACTATCAATAGTCATCCTTCCAATGTTCTTCAGCTTGGAATTTGAACACTTCATTTCCCCAAGCCCACCAACCAGCCGTTAGGTTCCTCGCAAATATCTCGAGTCCAAGGATATTTGGCTTGTCCTCCATAGCCGCAAATAAATGCTTGAGATTCGGCTTTCTCGAATGCATATCAGGAACTCCAATGACCACTTTAGTCTTGATCTGTGGAGTACTGGCTTCCTGCACCCTTTTCCTCCCTACTAGCAATATTTCATACGGCTTCCTCCAAACAGAATCAAGCGGGCATATAGGCTCACCGGCAGTGGTAACTTTCAGCCAAACCCATTTCTCATTCAGCTCGATACCCCAATGATCAAATAAACCTCCTTCGCCAAGTATCAATTCTTGGAAGGCTACTTTATTGGTTACCCAAACTGCCACCAAACCATTATCTACCATATGATCCTCAATTGGTATTGATGAAAGCAATTGGTTTATTTCTGATGTGGAATAGGTGATGCCGTATGCCTGTTTCCTCCTTGCTGATCGATTGGGCCAGGGAGGATCCAGCACTATTAAGTCGAATTTAGGTGCTGTACTACTGAAAGTTGTTATTGTCTGGGCGATATCTCCTTCTAAGGCGGAGGAATATGGTGGCATGCGAACCAGCAGTTCTGTTGGCATTGGTTTGATAAAGATAGATGATTGTGTTGCATTCTGGCTGAGACATGGAAACTCTCTTTCAAGTGATGTACACTCTTTCTGATCCCATTTGAATGTAGACTTCTCCAGTATTCCAGAATTTGCTACCGTAAGACCCTCATCTACTCTCTTCCTCTTTCCGTTTCCTATTTCGACATCTGTATTTTGCGGGTCTTTCGTTGTGCGAGGGAGACTCCATTCGCACGAGTAATTCTCTGCAACAGAGTTGAGTGCTAACTGCAAGTGTTTTTGAAGCACAAGATCTTCAATCGGAACCTCTTTGAGATTTGCTTTTGCTTTTGCAGATTTGGGTTCAACAGAAGGGAAGGGTGAGCGTAAAGGTTCGGAAGACACAATTCTGTACTTGTGGTGGCCTTGAGCAAGCTCAATAGAGCGAGGAATGTCCAGCAATATCACTGAAGCTTCTTCGTCCTGATACAAAATGCATGGTTCCATAAAGGCAAATGATAGGAATAAAAGAAGCAAGGCGAATATCAAAAAGTGCAAAGCAAAGAGCCCAGCTAAGTAAAAGCTTTAAAACATGATAACGAAATTCGCAATAATGAGGTACAACTTTCCAAGCCTGCGATATTGATGAAGGTTCAACAATCGCTAGCCTCGAAACGCCGATAATAGGGAAGCAAGTCTCTTTCGTAAATGCAATTCACAAATGCAATAAGTTCACTAGCAAGATCAGATACTTGTCGCGTGACTGAGAAATAAATCGTGGAGAAGAACTTTCCCCCTCGCTCGGGCAAGAGCGGCTTATTGTTGCCGAGACCGGGAACACTAAACATGACGTCCGAGGCAATCAGAAGGGTCATTCTACACACATCTAACGACCTTTGATATACCTATATCCTCAGATTCCACACCAGACTGTATATTCCAACCCAATATATACCCTTTGGACACATAAGCGACCATCGCGACGGTATGCTCAACTCAAATATCGCAAGCAGATCATAGAATAGCCTCTTGGGCGGCAAGGAATGCCCTCGGCCCTCTTCAACAATGCCCTCTCCACTTCGGCAATTCTCAAGGACAAACCACGAGAGATGGAGGATGGTCGGAAGAAAGAAATTGCAGTATGTCCAACGGATGATGATGTGGTAGCACCGAAGGTGCGGAAACCAAATAAGCAGAGTTGGGACTATGTATGGAGGACTGGAGTTGCCGGAGGAATGGCAGGATGCGCGGTATGCTTGATAAAGTCGAATGTAGCTACGGCTTACTGATATTTTTGGCATAGGCAAAAACTATAGTCGCGCCTCTTGATCGAGTCAAGATTCTGTTTCAAGCGAGCAGTCCTCAATTCGCAAAGTATACCGGGTCATGGTTTGGGGTGGTTCAGGCGATGAAGGATATTTACAGAGTTGATGGATCAACAGGCCTATTTCGCGGACACTCAGCTACATTGTTACGGATATTTCCATACGCGGCTATTAAATTCCTGGCCTACGAGCAGATACGGGCTGTGGTTATAAAAGGTCCAGAACAGGAGACTCCTTTTCGACGACTTATTAGCGGATCACTAGCGGGTGTCACATCAGTATTCTTCACATATCCTCTCGAAGTCATCCGAGTGCGCCTGGCCTTCGAGACGAGAAAAGACTCCAGATCTTCCTTGACTCAGATTTGCAAACGAATTTTCAATGAGGTTCCACCTCCTCGAACAAACCCAGGCGAACCCGCGATTCTTGCGGCTGCGCATGCTGTAACGCCTAAGTCGGGGCTCTCGAATTTCTATAGAGGGTTCTCTGCCACATTCTTAGGCATGTTGCCTTACGCTGGAATGTCATTTCTCACCCACGATACCGCCGGAGATCTCCTACGCCATCCTCTCATATCTCAATACACAACCCTCCCGAAACCCGCCAACTCCCCCACAAATAAACCACCACCTCTCCGATCATGGGCGGAGCTTTTTGCAGGTGGCATAGCAGGCTTAGTCTCGCAAACCTCAGCATATCCATTAGAAGTGATTAGAAGGAGAATGCAAGTTGGAGGAGCCGTAGGCGACGGCCACAGACTCAACATAACGGAAACAGCGAAATTGATTATGAGGGAGAGAGGGCCCACTGGGTTTTTCATCGGCTTGACGATTGGCTATGTTAAGGTGGTTCCGATGGTAGCGGTTAGCTTTTATGTTTATGAGCGGGGTAAGACTTGGTTGGGCATTTAGAATAAAGGCCCAAATGGCATGGAGTTAGGGTTTGGTGGTATTCGAATTTTGGATTTTGAGATGTAAATACTCTGAACCTATTATTTTCTTGTATGTGTCGTTGTGCCCTCCTCGTAAAACTATTCCTCCCCCGATTCCTCGCATCACAGTCTCCCCGTCATTGGATTGATGAACGAGGCCCATGCGGTTCGTGACACACTTTACGAGAGTAACATGAAATTTTGGATAACGCTCCGATTCTATTGACTCGATGAGCGAGCAGAAAATTGCGATGAGCAACAAATCTTTTGATGCGGTGGTGTTTGGGAGGAGGGGGAGGGGGCTGCTCGTAGATTGGATGAAGCTTTGTCGTCTTCGGTTGGGATCGAGCTCAGTTTGTTATACGAAAAGATATCGGTGAGATACATGTAAGCTTTTCTGACGGTTGCAGAAGGGGTGGTTTAAGTGTTACTGATTGAGTAGATGCTTTCTTGAAGGAGGACCATGGGGGCTGTTGTGTGTTCATGTCAAAATTTAACTGAATTTAACAGCTGATGAGTGGGGAATGGGAACATATTTCCTGAACCTGAGCGTTGCTACCTACATACGTCTCTCTACTTTTCTAAGCACGTCTAGTGCTAATTGAGATGTTGTGGTTGAGGTATTGATAATTAACCCAGTGCCATTTTCAACAGTCTCAACTTTGCCAATGTCGATGCTTTCAACATCATGATCATTCATAACCATGAGCTGCTTTAGATACCGAGTATCTCTTATCTCAAGTCTCACAGATTTAACGTCCGCTCATGTTGTCTGAAAAACCTACGCAAACAAAAGAAGACGTGGTCCAGAACTTCCTCTCCCAACCCTCGGAAAATAACATCTCGATCCCCTCGCTCCTGGTCCCCCTTCACGATGGAACAAACAACCTCCTCCTAGAACAGGTTCGAGCTCATCAAGAAGTTTCAAGTTCCTCCCAACGAATTCGTGAAGTTACAAAAACCTTCTTTTCCGCACTACCCCACAAAAACTCGACGATCAAACTTTGCGAGAAAATCTGGAATCTAGATCGCTCGGGTCGAGTTGCTGAGCGGCAAAGGTCACGCATGCGCATTATACTACGCCCCTTGTCTTATGGTATAAGTTATGCCTTAATATCTGATGTTAAATAATATGATGGGCTTTTTGTTATATTTGAGATTTTAGGAGTGTCGTGATCAACTTGATGTTGATGGCTTGTCGTCTTGGATATGGCGTTTCCCCGGATTGCTGGAGGTGCCGGAGAAGGAATTGAGGATCAAATTTAAGCTTCTGGTGTATATGAAATCAATGTAATTCAAACTATAGCGTAGTCCTGATTGCGATAAGCTCATATCACTCCCAGAGTCGGTGACTTGTCTTGTTCTGTCTCGAGGTCGATACCCACACGATTGATTCCGCCCAAAGCAATGCATCCACCATTCCGCTGGATGAAGTGGAATTATACCAGGTAGGAATCATTTTCAATTTCATAAAACCCAGGCGCTCAACTTGAGATGACGACTCATCAGCTTGAACTTTCAAGTGGTGTTTCGTACTTATCTTCTCCCTGCGCAAATTACCCGCGATCCTTCTCGGTTAACCCCTGTGTAGGTCACGTGTTGACGTCTCATGTCAACAACCCAAAACCGCTTCGCCTGGAGATCACAAACCTTGAGACAACGTCCGGTCGTGTATCCGAGATGCTTTTCAACCAAAGCGCCGTCGAGGTGAAAGCCACCAATCGTAACCCCTTTTGAGGCACTCATGGCCTAGTACGCCACGGTCGATCCATCTTCCGCGGTCCACTTCCGTCTCGGCTCGCATTTGACAGGCACATCGTTGGCTTCATACCTTTCATCTGATATCGATCATAGCATGAGCAAACCCCCATCTGAGACCAGCAAACGCGATGCCACGGCTGAAGCTAGTCTTGAACAAGCCATACCGCGGTGTTCTGAAGCCAAAATGTCTGTCCCACCCTTCGGAAAATACATCGAGACATGCTCCTATGACGCTCTCCTCAGACTGAGACTCAAGTGGGCGGCTCCGGGAAGTTCTCCAGAAGAATATTGGACGAACTGCTCGAGGTATGCCATGTTCTTCGGGTGTGATCTACCTCGTTGACCTTAACGCTCGCACAAAGCGTGACAGGACCATGGACCCTTGACCTTGGTTTGTCCCAGTCTTTCTTTGATTAGTCTCAATGATTCATGGTATATAACTCCCATATTCCTCTTTGCATTATACTCTTCATCCCATCTTCATTCTTTCTTCAGTTCACTATCCATTCTTTCAGCATCCAGTTCTGTGAACTTTATATTCAAACACACTCATTTTATACCTTATACCTCTATACCCAGGCCGGTCCTTTTTTGAACTTTTCAGTTGAACTTTAGTCACTCTTACAATACCGCAATCATGAAGTACGAATCCGCCACCCTCATTGTCGCCTTGATTGGTCTTGCATCTGCCGCACCTACTCCAGTTGCAAAGAACACCTTCACAACATTCTCCATTCCTCGTGCTATGCGCAGAGGACTTCAAGCTCGTGAAGTTCCTCAAGAGCAATCTCACAACAAGTTCCTCGCTGGTGTCCGTACCAGCTTGGCTCTCGATAACCCAGCTGGCATTACTGACCCAGTCTTTGGTCTTCTCGGAAATGCCGCCGCTGCTGAAGGAGCAGGAACCATCACAAACCTTGACTGTCTCCACCAAGCAACCGCTGATCAAGCATTCACAAATGCCAAAGCTGCAAACGATATTCCTGGAATGACGGATGCACTTTTGTACGCCGCTTTGGAGAGAAACACTGGTAAAGTCGGTCTCAAGAGTGTTCTCTGCACCGACAAGGCCGTCAACCCAGAAATCCAGGCCATTCAGCAACATCAAGATCCTGCCTCCGATGGTGCTGCCGCTACCAACAAGGCCATCGTCCTTGAACTTGCTCAACAGATTGCAGCAGTTGGTGGTGATCCCCAGGACGCTCTTCTCTCCGGTACCTTTGCACCAGGAGATTTGAACGACAACACTGGAGCAGGAAACACTTGCGATACCGCTGATGATGCTGAGGGATGTATTTTCACTCAGAATCTTTTGGTTGAAGATGCAACTGCCGCTGAAATCACAGCTGTGAGTAACTCCAAACCTTTCAAGTCAACTGTGAGATATGAAGCTAATTCGATATAACAGGCTGTCGCTGGAACCGCCGCTCCCGCTGTAGGCGCTGACGCAGGAGCTGTTGCTGGAAATGCTACCGCAGATGCCTGTGTCTCTGCTGCTCCAGTGGTTTCTGCTGCGCCAGTCGCTACAAACACTGCCTCTGCTTCCGCTCCTGCTGCGACCCAGGCTGCTGGAAATGCCTCCGCTGGTGATGCTGCTACTGGTGACGCCGCCGTCGGAAGTAAGTAAACCTCCCACATCTTCTCTCTCCATTCTAACAAAACCCCCAGACAACGTCCAAACATTCACCGGTGCCCTCGGTGGAGCAGCCCCAGCCGTCATCAACTCCGGTGGAGCTCGTCCCTTCTCCGTCAACGGCGCTACCTTCGTAAACTCAGGCGCTGCTCTCCAACGCTCATGTGCCGTCCAGAACAACGCCTGTGCGAACGCCGTCAACTCCGGTGCTCTCAACGGATCCGTCGGTGACTGCAACGCCCAAGAGAAGGCCTGCAACGCCGCTGCCGCTTAAACGTCCTCTCGAATTATAAATGATATCAAATTTCGTGTACGGTAGAGGGGGTTGGCGTTTGTTGTTTTCTTCTTGTGTAGATATGATACCAGTAGATTGGTTGTCTTTGTTTGAAGCGGTCTTGTTATGATATGAGATCTAAGGGGATGGGCTATGATGTGCTCTTTTAGGGGTCCGTAGACTTGTTCCTGGTGCTTTTTTTTAGTGGATACTTATTAATTTAATGTGTCTACCTACTTAATCTTGCTTTGTTTGACTGAGTGTGATACTTTGAAATGCTTGACTAACTATTGTAGTATTCTTACAACCTTATGTCTCAAACTGGATTTGGTGTCATCCATGTGTTTAAAAGCTGACAGGTATCTTGCTCTCGAGATCCACGTATACTCACTTCTCTCGCAGGCACCCAATGCACAAGGTATGTGGCTGTCGGTTTTTCGTCAATCAAGGCGATCAAATTTCGTATATATCGTTCGTTCTATTCAGAAAAACACGTCTTTCTAGGCCCTACTTAAATAAATCAACAAGTACCCACCCTCCCCCACTCTAAATCATACTTCAGTTCAACACAACAATCGAGATATTCCGCTACTTATCTTGTCCTATGGGACAGCAGTAGCTACCATAGAGTTAGTCCGAGGTGGGTGCTACCGAATGTCCGCAACACTTCCTCCCAGAAGATAAACGACTTACACAATTGGTAATTCCAACCTAGAGCCTCACAATCCCTGCCACAACGAATAATAGAATAAAAAGAACTCAATTCCCAACTCAAACTAATATCATTGCCGTTATGGACTCAGCCTACGATTTCACTTCCCTCCCCAAGACTCACAACCTCAACATCTCCACAAACAACCTCAAAATCCAATTCTCACCCCTCACCCCCTCAATCCCCCTAATCTCCGCCTCAATTCTCTCCACAAGCCCGTCCGCAACACCCTTCGTATACGCCAAACTCCCACACCTCTCCATCTCCCCAAGCACGAATTTCTTCATCTCAAGCGTCATACTGCCTTGTTGTTTCCGTTCCAGCAAAACCTTCTCGATCTGCGTTTTGATATTCGTCTGGACAAGAGCGTGGATGAGAGGGAGTGAGTATTTGCCTTCATCTAGGTCCTCGCAGAAGCCTTTTTGTTTTGTGTAGTCTGGTGAGCAGAGGTTTTGGTAGTCATCGCGGATTTGGAAGAAGCGGCCTATTAGGGTGATCAAGTTGTGCATGGGAAATTCTTTGTCCAGCTCTGAGTTGCAACCAGACGATGGGAGAGCTTTCGGAAGAAGCTTTACCTCCGACTCGGCATCCATAAGTTTACACAGCAGCCGAAAGAACCCCCCAGTTTTGTGGTCGATCATTCTGTAGTATTCTTCTTCTGTTGGACATGAGACGGTGTGTGTCCAATACAAGTCCATGCTTTGTCCTCGGTGAAGATCCTTGAGTTCCGTCACAAAAGGAGTGGTTGCTGCTGGACATAACTTTGCAACGTCTTCGAGCGCAAGGGTGTACAGATAATTAGCAGAGTTGATGGTTTGCGCGATACCGAATATGGTATGTGTAGCTGGTTTTCCTCGTCGAAGTAATGAACCATCTTCGATATCATCAAGCCTAGTGATTAATATACGTTAGCAGGAAGAACACAACGTGCGAAATTGCTGAACGTACATCAGTGAGGAGCTGTGCAGGAGCCGCAGAATGTTCTTGATGATCGAAAGCTGAATTTCGGGTACCTCATACCACACATTGAGCGCTTCAATAACTTTGGCTGTGATATGCTTCGACGGTAAAGATGAGAGATAATTATATGGCGCCATTACAGTCTCGAAAACAGTTAGTGAAGTGCCCTTCCGACAGCACGCCGTACATCTTGGATTCTTACCTCTTCCGAAATTGGTAAATGAATGGTTTCAAGGGATACATCGGCTTGTAAACATGGCCGCTCTTCAATCTGTGAAGAGTCTAGAGCCAATTTCTCATGACGATCTTGTGTTTCAGACTTGGTGTCTGTAGCCTGTTTGTCGTGTTCATTGACAATCCATTCTTCTCCCGATGTGGGTGCTCTAGAAGGGTCACCTTGATAGCGTTCACAGAAAGAGCTCCAGTAAGAGACACCCGAAACCATAAACACCGCATGATCCAGATATTGCCATGCTTCTGTAGAAATCTCCTTTCCTGAGGTTTCCAGCTCTCTCCTCTTTCTATGATACTCCCCTTCTTTCGACAATATCAAGTCAATCACTTTTGTTTTGGCTTCGGCAGTCGAAATATTGTAGTCTCGCATTAAAAACCAGACACTATTAGGAATTCCATTTTTGGTGCCCTCTCGGTGATATGAGGCATACTCCTTATCGAAGCTGTAAAAGTCATTTGTAAGTGCGTACACTTCGAAGAGAGGACACATGACATGTTCAACAGAGGCTCTGTCGCTTTGGGAAGGGTTGATTCTGGATCCATAGCATGCTAATTCAAGGGAAGGCCTAAAAGTATAGCTGTCAGTGATACGACCCACTTGTAGGACTGGCCCTCGGGATTTACCAAGCTGCGATGTCAATAACTCGATATTCGAGCCAGTCAGCAAAATTATGAAATGAATCGGGTGCTCGATTTCCGCTTGAGGTATCGTGGTAGTTTTGCCAGGATTTAATCAGAATCTTTCCATGATCTCGATCGATATTCAGAAAGTCCCACAAGTTCCTGGACTCTAATTGTTTCTTGGCCCTTGTCTTCCGAGCCATTTCCTGGGTTCTCGTATAAAGCACGGAGCCGTCAAAACGACTACCATTAACCAGTGTGGCCTGTGAAAGAGTTAGAGATTGAAGAATCCTCAATCACGAAACGGTCGATGTGCATACCAAAGCTGGTTCCAAGGTATCCACAATATCTACCAAAATTCAGTACTGGTCCGGAATACAATTGAAGTTGTCATTTACAGAGGTGGACATACCGTCGTGGAGAAGCGCCAATTCTATGCATTCTACAAGTGGTTTGATTCGTTCTTCAAGAGCTTCAGGGTAACCCACTGCCAAAGAATGAGGTCCATTTCTGTCTGAAATCGTTGTTCCTTCAATCACCTTCCCAACCTTCTCGTTCCACTCTTTTAAAATCTCCTCTGAGTAGCGATTATGCACGGATGCGATTTTACTGACTCTTACAGGAAGTGTTGTGAAGGAAGTTTTAGCAACGACCTCCGGGTCGACACTGTCTGAACGTTCGTATGCAGGAGCAGTAGCCATGTCTGACACGAAAGCTATAACGTGCAAGAGCAGGAAAGCAGGAATTGGGTTCGAGAATCCAGGGACAACCTATTTCGCTCCGACAAGTATAGAAACGGGATTCAACCTAATATATTATAGTAACGTCAAGGTAATCGGATCGGGTTGCAACTTCAGCGTAATTTGAGTGCCCTATCAATTGACAAGAGCTGATTTGGGTCTAACCCAATGGAGCTATCAACTGAAACTTGGTCGGGTGTGATTTTCGCTCCTTCCTCAGAGGTTCAAGGACAACCAACCAAATGGAAGCGAAAGCGGTTAGACCCAAAATTTAAGCTCGCGGTGTACCAACTCTCCCGGATGACAACGTAAGTGGCAGTCAGGTAGTTGTATAACCCTGAGGGGTTGACAGAGATACAAGCGGCAGTGAGCACCGGAGGAAAGAGAATAAGAAGAACGTTAGGTTAAGAATTATATAAAGAACGAGGCAGAAATGAAGGAAGATCAACTTCTCTCACCTATCCAAATAGAAGAAACACCCACCACCAGCACACCAAGTAAAAACGCCTAAACGCTTTCTATGGTATCATCAAAGGTTAAGTCATACAAAAATATACATCAAACATAACAACTAAAATACTCTTAATGATCGGTCCACCCCAGCTCCGCCCCCCCCCCCCCCTTCGTCCGTACATCTATGTAGACATGAAATTACGATTTTGCTTCTGGTTTTCGGTATGAATTGGTGGGATGGTCTACGCGGCGTTGCAAGCAGTTTGTTGGGCAGAACACGCTTGAGGGGTGATGGCTTTGTTACCTCCATTGAAGGCATTCATGCAGGCATTGTTCTGAATATCGCAAGCTCGTTGTTTGGCAGCAGCCTCGTTGACGAAGGTGTTGCCGTTGACCTCAAATGGACGGTCCTTGTTACCGGATTGTTGAACGGCTGGAGCTGCGATTCCTCCAACGGCCCCGGCGGCACCAGCAGCATTTCCGTTTCCTGCTGCGGCGCTTGTAGCAGCTGGGGCGGCTGAAGATGATACTACAGCAGAGGTAGCGGCAGCTGGAGAGGCAGAAGCTGTAACAGCGTTGTTGTTACCAGCTACGGCAGTGGCAGATGCTTGATCAGCCTGGGCAGCGCTTGAAGCAGTGGCAGTTCCGTTGCCGCGGCCGCCTCCATTTCCACGACCTCCTCCGTTTCCACGGCCACCTCCGTTTCCATTTCCACGGCCACCACCTCCATTTCCGCGACCGCCTCCACCGTTGTTGTTACCACCAGCTGCAGCCGCGGAGGTTGAGGCAGGAGCGGCAGCAGAACTGCTTGAAGCTGCGGTTCCTGCGCCCGCGGCATTTCCATTACCAGCATTGGCTCCGTTTCCAGAATTGCCCCCATTGCCACCAGCTGTTGCTCCATTACCAGCGTTTGCTCCGTTACCGGCGTTGTTGTTACCAGCGTTGGCTCCATTACCAGCATTGTTGTTACCAGCATTGGCTCCATTACCAGCGTTGGCTCCATTGCCAGCGTTGTTGTTACCGCCGCCACCACCGATAGTGAATTTGGTGCAATCATCTGGAGTTCCACGTTGGGCAACAGGCATAAGTACGGGTTGATGGTTGGAAGCAGATGTCATGGTGCACACCCGGTAGTTTCCAGCTGGAAGTCCGCCGGTGACAGTAGCTTTGAGAAGACCGTTTCCATTTCCGTTGTCGTTGATACCCTTAAAGAAGGCAAATTGCGTTGCGTCCAATGGCTTAGTGGGGTTGAGAGAATTGCCCAGGTCCTGAACTGTAACGTGAGTATGACCGACGACCTTTCCGCCTTGGAGAGCCTGTGGGGCGGCGTAATAAGTAGAGGCAGCATTGGTGAAAGATCCTGCAACCAAGTTGTTCACTTGTACGGAAATATCAAAAGTGGTGTCTGCTGCAGGCGCATCGCCTCCAGTTTGAGGGAAGGTGATTACCGAAGAGATCATGTTGGCTTTGGCTGGAATATCACCCATTGCTACTCCAGTCAGCAAAGCCCAATCGAGATAACAAGATTACTTACGAATTCCATTACAAGACCCCTCTTGGACTTGGAGACCATTGGTGAGCGTCTTTCCCACGCAGTTATTAATGAAGTTGTTTTGGGAAGTTTTAGAGGCCGATTGTCCATCTTTGAGAGCGCCATTTACAGACCCATCTGTGAAAGACCCAGACTGGATCGCAGCTGCTTGGAGGGTTGTTCCGGTTGCTCCTTGGCCTTGACCTCCACCTTGACCACCATTTTGACCTCCGTTTTGCCCACCATTCTGTCCACCACCTTGTCCTCCACCTTGACGTTGAGCTTGGCGGTTGTGTAGGAGAACATGAGTTGGAGTCGCGCTGACGAGGCCAGCAGATGCCAAAAGGCAAAGGGTTAGAGTTTTAGCGAACATTTTAAATATTGTATTTCTGTGACGATCGATCTTTAGTTGAAGGAGTGTAAGAATATAGTATATGAGAAAGTGGTCCTGCCTAGAGTAAATTTATAGAATGCGAGAACGGAAGCGACACAGTCGATAGAAAAAAGAACGTAAAACAAACTAAGGACTGAACGATGAGATACCAAAGAATGTAGGTCGAAAAGGTCGATGAGAAGAAAGCTCAACTTGGAGGGGTGAGCCGACTTATAACTAGTCTTGGCTCTTGTCGCCCAGCCGTTAAATTAGACTCAGACAAAGCGTACAGATCAGAGCAAGGGCCGTCGTTCTCTCGTGGAGAACTAGCAGGGCTGGCTTCATTGCTTCACGTTTGTTCTGCGACTTCGTTTCATAAGTTTCGAGGGGAGTTGTACAGTACAGGCGACTAAACATGAAGAATGCGCAGGCCAATCAAGCGTAAGTCAGGCTTCGGGCCTCGGGGTGGGGAGGCCTTCCATTGCTCTCTTTCATGCGCGACATGGAGGCGACCTTCATTTCGCGTAACTCAGGCGGAAGTCAGATAGGGAAAGGACAGCCGTTTGTGAGGTTGGATAAGGGTTAAGCAATTCTTGAGACGGAATTTGTCGAAGATCATGTCCATCCTGGCCTTGACGCTGAGACAGGAGCTTAGGAGAAGAACAGACGAAGGATTCTGATACGATGTTCTGACTGCGGCGTTAAAGGGCTAGTAAGCGAGGGCTCCGAGCCTGTCGTTGTTGGTCTCGTCGATGGAGAGGGACCGTCCAATGCGACCGGATGGCAGCAGCGCTTATATGCCGTGAGGTGGGCGCATAAAAGCCGCTGAAGTTGCGACTTAAAGGCATCGCGACTCTCGATAGCAGCGACAAGTATTCCAACAGTCCAACGGTCTGGTTTGCACTTGCAAATAAATATCTCTCTCCCTTCTTGTCGGCTTCACGGCATGGGGGCCGACAACACTCGTAAAATCGTATTCCACGCTCCATTGAAAGCCTGTTTGGTGGGGTCATCTGAATCTCCTCGTCCTGACATCAGTCGTTTCAGCGGCCAACTCGAGACACAGAGCGCAAAGATCAGACCAAGGGGTAGCCGATTTCAGCCGATTCTCGAAAGATGACCCAAGATTACCTGATGTGCAACCAGAGAAGATGGAGTGGAAAGGAAAATCCGGATAGTTCGGTTGTCAGCACGCAAAGTGTTGGTGTGATGATTGAGATGTCCGCAGGCATGTCTTCTAACACTCCAGTTTCGAGCCTTTCCAGCCTTCCACCTGGCTGGGAGCATCGCGTGCATCGATCTTCCAATTGATGGGAAAGCTTAGCACCCGGTTTCTGGCGTAAGTGAGCGATCAAATAATGATCATCCGTGGCACTCATATTTGTTGGAATTCCGGAGTTCAAACCATCTTGACATCTCGGATTGTGAGTTTGCGAAATTGTGTTTGTTGACTTGATGTTCTGGTCAAAGCTCCAGACGAAACGATGGAGTTGGCCGGCTTGGAACGATCTTAGTCCAGCCAGCCACGTGATCCTGATCACGAGACTCAACCATTGCGAAATCAGACTAGCGTCATCTCAAAAAAAGACTGGGCCGGTTCGGATGGCCTTGCGATAGAGCAAAAAAGTCAATACGGCCAGGACAGCATCATCCAGCATCCAACCCTCGACCAGCCTCACGACATCCATTACAACCCGACCTTAATTACTTCGACCTTCCAGACAATACGACTGAGTCAATAAGGTTTTTATCTCCCAGCATTCCGAGCGAGATTGGAGGAATAGGACCGGAAAGGAGTACATTCAAAAAGACATCATAGAAGATGGATCATACCAGAGACCCTTGTCCGTGGGTGGCATTGAACGATTTTGGAGGTGCCTTTTGTATGGGAGTACGTATTGCATCTGCTAAACTTCCAAGTTGGCTCAGGCCGAACTGCTAGAAGCATTTCCGCTCCAGGCTGGCTGGCGCTCGCGCATTCAGTACCGCACCCAGTGCTAACATACATCCTCGCAGGGCATCGGTGGAGCAGTATGGCATGGTGTTAAAGGATTCCGAAATTCACCATATGGGGAGAGAAGGATTGGAGCGCTCACAGCTATCAAAGCGCGAGCACCGGTATTAGGGGGCAATTTCGGAGTCTGGGGAGGACTTTTCTCAACGTTCGATTGCGCGGTGAAGGGGGTGAGGAAGAAGGAAGATCCATATAATGCCAGTAAGTGGTCACAGTGCCTCTGATTTTGGGGGACGGACTTTGCATGTGATAGAATTTAACATCTCGCAGTCATCGCAGGGTTCTTCACCGGAGGAGCTTTAGCTATTCGAGGAGGTTACAAGGCGGCGAGAAATTCCGCTATTGGATGCGCATGTCTATTAGCAGTTATCGAGGGTGTCGGAATCGGATTCCAGAGAATGATGGCAGAAAACACAAGATTAGACGTAAGGCTTTCCTCACCTACCCTTGACCATATCTAACAGCCATCACAGTTACCACCTCCCCCACCCCCAGCAGAATCCGGCCAGACAGGCTTCCCAGCAATCGCATAATACCGCAACAATCCTCTGTCATCCGCCCTCCATGACATCCAACTCCAAACTCTACTCTTTCTGTCCTTCCCCCAAAAGAAGGACTGTTGTATTTCTGTTCCGGGCTCCCTCGGCCCCCCTTTTTTAGTGTCTGTCGCATAGCAGGGAAACCGGTGTACAATGTAGAATACATAAAGCTTAGCAGGAAGCCAGCTGAGACGAATCATATTAATTTAACGAATCACAAACCATTTTGTTTCTAATCCCTTAATTTCATCAAGTACTGATCCTCGATCCCTCGGCAATACAAACGTGCATAGGGTTTTTCGTATTACGTGAGACTTTGTTGGTTGTGTTTAAGCTTTTCGTTTGGGAACGACCGTTTTCCTCCTTGAAGGAATAGGGCTGTGTTCCGATTTTATTGGACGTAATTTACGAGGGGGTTTGGTGCGAAACGGTGCGACCTTATTTGAAAGGCAGGAATGTGACGATGTTGGTGTATGGGCAGTTTGAAGCGCGATTATTATTTCCAATGAAGGGTAATTCGAGGGGCAAGTTGACATCCTTTGAGAGGGCGAGATGCATTTTTTGATGGGGAATTGGGGATTGATGGGGGGTTTTCGTTGTGTTTGGCTTGGAATTGAGGGATTGAGAGGTGGTTTGTATGACATGTTTTCTTGAGTTTGCGTGTTTGTTGTGCCATTCTTGGGGAGTATGGCTTGTGAGTTTACTTTAGTCTAGGTGAGTTGAGTCGTTGATTGAAGATCAAGTTACCTCCGTTCAGCACAACAGTACACAATTATCAACTTAAGGCAACTCAACTCAGCCTACTTAACTCTAAGTACACTTAGATCAACCCGTCAATTCGTCACAAGAAAACCCCGCTTCCTGGATGGCAAAATAGCAATACATAAAGACACCAAAATAAAACCGGTACCAGCTCTTCCTGCTCACAATGCCACTCGATCAAGCACGACATATTCACTCTGATAGGAGAGTAAATCAAAACTATTTGACAAAGCTATTGACGGCATCAGTTCAGAGTCTTGTCTGTGTAGGCGCTGTTATTAATCTCAAACGACACCATTGTCTCATTACTTTAAAAATCTCGTGAACCATTTTCTAATTCTTATTGTTATCTTCATATCTCAGATACATGTATCACTGCTCCTTACTATCATCAGATCGAACAGTTATCGATCGAAACTTGAATATGGTTCGAGTGCGCTGATGATTTGGTCAATTAAGTTGACAGATGGTGTGAAATTTGTAAATGCTTTTCATTTAATAAGAGAGGTCATAGTAAAATTGATGTCAACTGATATCGATTTAATATGGATGATTTATCTCATCTGTATTCATGCGGCACTTTCAATCGTTGACAACAGAGGAGTAAATGTCGAAGATCTTCGGGCGAATAACAGTACCTAGTATCATCTCGTCGCCCAATTAACATCCTACCCATAATTGCTTCAGTGTATCCACCCCGAAAACTACCGCAATACTCTAGCGAAGCTAACTAGCTGTTGATACGGGAATCTTGTTGAATTGCGAATACTTAATTCGGTCAATCGTGTAGACGATGTTGTTTATTTGGTCTACACTTTTCAGTAAATCATAGGTCATAATAATTTTATTACGAGGCACACTGCCATCAATTAAGGTACCCACGGTCAACATTAGAGGTAGCGATCAGTACAGGATAAACATTCGATTAAGCAGCGTGTGCTTCGTCTATAATTTTCAGTAAACAAGATGTCATTGACCTTTTAAGTAAACCTCTGTGACAGTCTGGTTGTATCCGAGACACGTCAACTCGTTTTCATAAGTCGGTTTAACCTTTAGGGGAAGCTTGAGAAGTTGCTGTCATTTGCATTGTCCTTTTCACACGTGATGGAGCCCCCTTCATAAGCGAGCTTTCAGGACAACGAAATGATCTAGGATATCAAGAATCCATGGCCCTTTAATGAGAAATCGGTGTAAGACTCATTCCGGCAGTGATATTGGGCGGTGTTATGGAGATATGTAGCTATTGGGCTTGTGTCTATTCATAACGAGTTCAAAGTTAAGTGTAAGGTATGTGTAGAAATAACATTTCAATTTAATAACGTTCTATAAGTAGCAAACCCAATGAATTCCTCCAAGATGCTCATTTTAGCACGCCCAGAAACCTCCTAAATGCTTTGAAAAACCTAAACACCACCACCGCTGAGTCTGATGACTTGACCTGTGACCCAATTAGCAAACACTTTCACATCTTTCACCCAAAAGAAGAAACGTACCATTAATCCACTCGCTGTCAGGACTAACCAACAAAGCAACCGCCTTTGCAATATCCGCTGGGACACCACATCTCTGCAGTGGGCAGAATCTCGCAATTCCCTTCTCAATAATCTCCATACTCATGTCTGGTGTTCCATTTGGAACATAATGCCATGCATTAGCATCAAACATATCAGTCTTGATTCCTCCTGGTGCAATAGCATTGACGGTAACACCCTTGTGTCCGCAATCCACGGCGAAACTTCTAGCAAAACCCTCAACAGCTGCCTTTGATCCAGCATACAATGCGTGGTTTGGAATACCAGACATCTGCGCCGCAATCGAACTCATCAAGATAATTCTGCCTCCCTGGCCAAGATGCTTAAGACCCTGCTGTGCGACGAAGAACTGTCCTCTGCAGTTCAAGTTAAAAATATAATCAAAGTCCTCAGGTGTGACATCTTCCTCTTTACTCCAAACCTCAGTTCCCGAGTTTGAGATCACGAAATCGAGACGTCCGAAATGAGCGATGGCGTCGTCGAAGAGACGGACGATTTCAGCTGGCTTGGAGACATCGGCTTGAATGGCAATACCTTTGCTGCCGAACTTCTTGATCTCAGATACCACCGATTCGGCGGCGGATGCGGATTTGGCGTAGTTTACGACTACGGAGGCACCACGGGAGGCAAGTTCAAGGGCCATTCCACGACCAATACCGCGTCCGGAGCCGGTGATCAAGGCGACACGGCCAGCGTAGGGACGGGCGGCATCGTAGGGTTGAGTTTGGGTGTCTTGAGGGGTGGAGGTGGCGGTTTCTGCTGCTGGTGCCATAGTGACGGTCGGTTGTGAGTGTTGAGTGAAGGACTTTTGGGTATCTTTTGAGGAAGGTATAAAGTTAGAAACGTATCAAACTTCAAAGTTGTCAGTATAATATCAGGACCAAACGGAGCTTTTACTTACCTATAATTAACCTTTGCTTGTTCGGTTGTGCTTGTGATACCCTTCTTGTTCCCGCATTCCAGCCTCGTACTTATCTCCTTCTCACCTCACCCAATTCCTCAATTCCATCTTAAACTCTTGTCCGTAACCTGCGAAGTCCGTTTCCCCCGTAATGCTATCCGATCACGTTTTCCACCCCACCCCGTAAGCTGGCCAGCGGTTGTTCTAAGCGAATCAGATTCTGAGTCCGGACTTCCGCACATCACCGATAAGTGCAGGAACGGAACTTTTTGGAAGAGTACCGACTCAGTTGTATGTGATCTTGAAGCTTTAAATTGGGTAGTCGGGGGGACGGAGGTTGATGTTGAGCTTGCGGATGAGATTGCGAGCTGTTGAGTGTGAGCTTGACGGAGTTCCTGGTTTTGAGAATGAGTCTTTGAGAGTTTGGTTACGGATGAAATATTGGCATCATTTAACCTCCATTTCAACTCTCTGATCATGTCAGCAGCGTATTTTCATAGCAACATCGGTTGTGGTGAGGTTTTTACTTACAAACGTGGCAAAACTGAAGTATTCGCGTCGGACACTTTCATGTTGACGAGCGACTGCTACACGATGATAAACATGTTTGCACTGGAACAGAAATCTGTATTCAAATAGAAAGAAGCACTTTGAAGAACAATATATTATTACATTTCTCCAATTGACTGCCAGCCAAGGACCCCCTTCTAATTATTCCCCAAAACACAAGGAATTCAATACTCCTCCACTCAATCTATGAAAACACGGATTATTGCTGCCACCAATTGTAATGTAAACAAATCATAACCTCGACAACCATGTCGTATGTACGTAATAGAAATACCAGTAAAAAACACCTGCAAACGCCTAAGAAGTCTAAAAGAGGATAGCAAGTTCATGCAAAACCCTCAGGGGTATCAAAACACCAATTCTTGTGCAATGTCTGAAGCTTCCTTCTAATACCATCAGACATTCTGCTAGAGATGCCTTCCGTGAGAAGGTCTGCACAATGTTTCAACACCGGCCCTGGTTGATCGAGGGCCGTCACACCACCGTCTTTTCTGCTCAACACGGGAAGTCCTTCGCCATTCCAAAGATATGAAGTCACCGACGGGTGTTCAGGCGTCACCGCATCGATGGCGAAGATTGTCTCGTTCACTGCCTTGTGTGACCCTGCTGCTGCCTGTGAAAGGCTGTAGACCCAAACGATCATAGTAGCTCTGTAGACAGCCGCGGACCACCAATGAGGTCGGCAATGCTTTGGCATCGCGTTGATCAAGCGGAAAACTTGTCCGCAATGGAACAATGCCTCCTCTCGTCGGTAGATACATCGCTTGTAGAAGGATGGCGTGTTTGCGGTGGGATCGGACGCAAATTCCTTTCTTGCTACACGTTCGATGTCGGGGAAGGAGGTGACAGCATTCAAGCTGATAAGATGGTAGAGAACCAAGTTCTCCTGGATGATAGGAGAGACCGAGTCATCGTTAGCATGGAAAACACAAAGTCCATACCACTTCTGTAATAAGGACTGAACCTCCTCAAGTCTTGACATTGTTGAAGCTTTGGTGATGGTCCGGCTTCCACGATGGGAGCTTGGACCGTCAGAGAAGCATGTCAAGACATGGCGGAGGTGAGAGACTAGGGAGTGAAGTGGGTGAAGAAGAAGCTTAAGTTGAAGAGGACTAATATGTCCAGGGGCACGGATGTTGTCGTGAAGCAAATCTTGGAAAAGGTCTCCTATAGATGGAGCGAAGTAGGAGTTTGAGCTGCCAGGCTGAGAGGCTCTTCTCTCGGGTCGGTCTTTGGAAGCATAAAAGGCAGCGAGCCATTCATCGGCGTCTCTCGCGAGCCAGAGGTTTTCCTCGCTCGGTATCGGTGTTTGTAATTCGGTGGTGGAAAGAACACAAGGGGTATCGTGAAACAATGACAGTTCTTGATCGACCATTACCCAGTTATATACTAGCCTATAGTATGTTAGCTTGCTGTTCCCCAGGTCATGTGTGGCAAAGTGTCGTGTCTGCCGTTGCATGCCTGTCGACGGCGAAACTTTAAAACAAGCGATCATGACACAGTACGAAACGAGAAAATACTATACATACCGAATTTTTGTCTCTCTTTTTACCCAGGTTCGCCATTGGAGGTCTTTACTGGTGCTGTTATCGAAGACGGGATTGAACGGAGGTTGAGGCTCCATCATCCCGGAATGTTTGAGCATCTAGATTGAGGTCAGCCAGGCCTCGTAAGCTAATCGAAGATGATAGGCTCTAAGAGGTGAGTACAGTGCTTGGATCTGCTTCTACCCCGCCTCGGAGTAGACAAGATAAGTGACAGTAACCTTCTTGCGCGCAGATTTCAACACTTCTCATTTACTTCGAACAGTAAACCAAAATACGATGCTGGGTCAAACCCTTCGGATGAATATCGCATTCCGATCGTCACTTGTCTGTCCACCGCGAGCGCAAGGGCGATAATCCAAACCAAAACTAATGAATTCAAAAGGATTAACACTTACAGCCAAGTACATTCCCCTCTGTCCCATTGCGATATCCATATGCCACTTATCTCCTTGCCATGCAGAAAGCAAGGTCCAGATCAAAGCACACCTCAAAACGGTACAATCTGCAGATAGCTCAACATCTTTTTCGACGAGATCGAAAAGAGACTAGAAAAATCAGCCGTTTTCTTCGCCGCTGAAGATACTGTCAACTTACTATGCGACATGTTTCAGTCAGACCGGCTGTAAGTTGTCTTGCTTCCGGCGATGCTAGGCAACACGCTCCCTGCGCGATCATCAACAGAAGGAGTAAGGTAGAAGCTTGATTATTCGCCATCATTTCATTTGGATCTACCGTTCCGCCATTAACCAACGAGAAATATGAGGTTAGACTTCGAACATAATTTTGAAGGAAATATTCTAGGGTTTCGGCAGGAGGAAGGACAAGAAAGCTGAAGCCGCCGCCTGGACTTGGATGACCAGAAGATGATTTGGGCCAGCCGAAACCACTTCGGTGTGTGCTGAGAGCCTTGTGCAGGAAGCTTTGGGTGATGGCTAGGATTTTATCTCGGGTTGCTGGATTCAAAGGTACAATGGAAATCGATGATTGTGGTCCGGATATCAGTTCTTGGTTGTCGATTAACGAGGACCAGGCCACGAGATTCTGGGAATTGTGTTCAAGTGTCTCTAGATGAACAATTGCGGTGCGAGGACATGTGTCGGAGAAAATTGGTTTATTGCACCGGGCGAGCGGCCATGCATCCTCCGCCGCAACGACAGCTTCGAATTCTGAGATTGATGCGGACTGGATTCTTGGATCAATGGAACCTTTGGCGGCGGATGGAGATAATGCTGGTGTCGGACAAGCATTACTTGAATGTCTAGTGTGTGCTGTTGAGACTGAAGCGCGGGAAGAGCTGGATTGTCGACCATAGGAACTTGAATTTGATTCACTTAACTCACAAGGTGGCATGTCGAAGTTTTCGATATGTGATGGAAGATTGGTGTTGTTGAAGTTATCCAAGACCATTGGGTATTCACCACCCCACGACAAGAAATCCTGGAAGTCGATATTTGGGCTGCTATTAAAGTTCTCGCCAAAGTCCATTAATCCATGACTGTCTAACGAAGGATCTGCTCCGAAGAGACTGGCGTCTGAGAATGGCAGATCGTTTCCAGGGGTCGGAAGGGCTTGCTGGTACATGGTATTTTTTGGCGAAATAAGTTGGGGATCTCCATACGGACTACCCCCCATATTCACGTCTATCTGTCTTAACTGCGGTGGCATCCTATCATTTACTGGCGAGATTGGACCAGATGCCGCTGCACGAACTGCCACCTTCGAAATTCGACGAGCATAGCGAGCCTCGCATGGCAAGTTCTTTTCGTAACATCGAGTGCAAGGAACATTTTTATCACACCCAGCCTTTGCATTGGCACAGTTCAGGCAGGCAATTGGTGTCCTCCGTGCCATCTGCGTTGTTCTTCCTGGAGTGTTCTGCATTGTATCTTGGACTTCGTGGTAACTAGCTTGGTGTCTTTGGAGAAGGTCCCTGTCAATCTGTTAGCACGTCTCGCTGCATTCCGGTACGACTCAAAGACGGACCTTCGGGCAAAGCTCAATTGACAAGCACCACAACGATGTGGTTTGACGTTTGTATCTATTCCCACAATCAGAAAGGCTCTTGTCATTTCCCTCTCCGCTGGAAGTTAATTGAAGACGTACGGCTTGGGATATGTCTTTCCAGATGTTCCTTTCGAGTGAAGCTCTTTCCACAATAGGTACAGAAGCAACCAACCATGTTCTTCTCGAGAATATCGAAAGTCTTTCGGAATTTGTAGAGCGAAGAGGTTCTTGATAGCTGTTAAAAGCTGAGGAGGGGCGAATGATGAGATAGTCGACTCAATGTGGAGGCATTGACTAACGGATAAGGTCGCTAACTGAAAAGGCGATCGAAGCCAATGAGTTATGGCAGATGGTACCTGAGATAGTAGTATTACACGAAGCTTCACACCATATCGATCAACTAGCATGGCTTTAATTTACTTTGATGTAGCTGCTGCAGCACATGGAGCCAACTCGAAAGTAGCTAAAGCCCGAGACCCTAGTGACTCTCTCCCGTCCTGGGCACAACAATTACTTCCGAATACGGATTTCAGATAAGATTGACACTCGCAAAGATGATCTGCATGCATCTGCAAGCAGAATGCTGAGCGCTGAATACTGCGCCAGTCTGGAGTCAAACATCATCATACTACCTGGCAGGTGAGTTGCTGGCAGAGAGTTGCTTTTCTTCATTTTTACGTACCCGTCTCATCTTGAAGCCCTCTCATCTCATCGCTCGGACTAACTGTCTCCCAGTATACACAGACACTCAAATTGATGGCGGCAGGCGGCCGCAACGACCCTGCGAGGCACAACGGCTTCGGTTGGATATCTCGCTTGTCTGATGGAGTGTACTTCGTGCATACTTTGACTTGCCGGGAGAACCTAACCACGAAGACTCACTGAATAGCCATCTATCAACCACACATCATCATTATGCAGCAATCTGGTGTGTGGGGTGTGCTGTGGAGGAGCTGGTGAGCAAGGCGTAAAGCCGTCAACTGGCGATAAGACGCAAGAAGGACTAGTGAAGCCCTGGGCTCTAGCCTCAAGTGGTCGTAGCCAGAATGGAAAAGGCAAAAGCCAAAGCTGTTTACCATACTGAAGTGAGGTTCCTGTCGGAAGTGAGATGCCTGCTCCACCAGTTCGCGCTGACAAGGCTTTACCAGTCCCGCCCCCACCAACCTTGGACGCCGCTACGGCTATGAGCCGAGTCCAGTCCGCTTATAGAATACAGACACCCAAATGTTACCTTTCTGCCATAAAACCATCCCCCTTTCCCATGATTCCAGCTGCTCCCCCAGCCACAATCTCTCCACTCCTCCGCCTTTCCATTGCGTCTCCGCTAGCATGGGTTCATATGATACTATCCCGCCCCCCTTATTAAAGGTTATACGGTGGGCTCGTTATCTGACTGGTCGAAGTGCCATGGAATTATGGAACCTATACTAAATTTTCATCTTTACCACATAAACTATGCGTAAGTCTTCCTCGATCCGAAAAATTCTACTCGTCCGTCAAGCTCCACATTACCCACCGTATCACCTTTAATAAGGGGGGGGGGGATAGTATGCATGCACGATTCGGCGAACCGTAGGTGCCGAGAAAAACATCCCGAGATGTCGCTTGGGCCGTAAACAAAGCAACCTTCTGCGTTGATAAAGTGGTTCTGGGTTGTTTACTGAAAGTTTCATCCAGAGACTGGTAAATCCGTTTGTGGGAAGATACGCCGCCTCGCTGCAAATATATACGTCAAAGGCTTAAAAGCACTCATATTGTCTGACAGACTGTGGTGATTCGCAAACAGAACGTCGCGGACGGCAATTGATTGAACTAACAATAATGGCTAAGCTGGGCTGAAAGAAAATATTGAACTACGGAGTAGTCGTGGTTAGGATAACCCTGCGTGCCGGAAACTACTGTCAGAATGAGGACTGTCCGAATACTGAACGGGAACATTGCTTGTGCGACGTATATTTAAACTTTTGGACTATGTTCTGCAGCTAGATGATGGATTATTCTCTAGGCTTTTAGCAGTTAGTATACGCTAAAGAAGTTTGATCGAGATTAGCACGCGCTTGTTGCATTCTAAAAACAGCTTCAAAGGTGATTCCTCCGTCATTGAAAGACACCAATGAGAAGGTCCTGTCAACTCAAATCGTTTGCGTCCTTTATCTCTCGCTGTGCCGAATTTCACATCACTTCGCATAACTTTCAACGTTTGAAACCGTTGAGGGCGTTCAAACCATAGCAGATGTCAAGATCATCATCACATGTTCGTGTCCATTGTATTGGGCTCTACCGCCGTGCAGTTACCTATTGCAGCGGTGCCACGTCAAGAAGGTTTCCAGAAATAACAATAGGCATTGTCGCTGCACCGCATTTTGCTTACTGCTTCAGATAAAGCGTGTGTGTGCATGTACACAAAACACAACCATAGAGCACGAGTCCTCAAGTCACACTCTACATACAAAAGACATGAGTATACTAGCAGGAATCATGATTCACTTCGTCAAGCAGAATGGGTCATGTCTGACGTGCTGAATCAAGAAAAAAATGGAGGCTGAACCCCAGCATCTGAGATGTACAATTGGCGACGATTGACGACGATCTTAGCCCTCCTTCCTCCATCCGCTTTCCCTCTTCAAGCCCTCTCAGGGCACTCGATAACCTGGACTGCATTTCGGCCAAAGATCGTCTACAAGGCTTACTAGCCGGTAAACCTTACGGGTTTTAGTGGCGAAGATGCTCATTGACGCCAAAATTCTGACATCTGCCGTCTGTCACACGAAAAGCTTCGAGTTCCAGGGATGTTCGCGGTCGGATCCATCTATGCATCAGCCGGTAAGCGCACACTAGATTTAGACGCGCAGTAGTCTACGCAAGTCTGACTTTAGGGACTTCTGATGTGTCTATTCGCTGGTAAGCTTGTTGGTAGAAGGGTTTGTGTGTATGCAAACAACATCTGATAGTTCCATCATGACACCCTGCCATCTCATAGAGCCGGAACCCAGATCCTCGGAATCATTGGCTGTCGAAGAAAGTCGACCCAGGATTAATCCAAAGTGTATTATGTTGGGATCCGCTAGTCCTCTAATCATGTGGGAACTTGTACTATTGCGAGATTGCAGGATCGAGAATCTCGGCTCATCGCGAGATCTTGAACTCTTGGACGGGGCTTATCAGCCTCAGATACATTATCGTGGAAGAGAAAGAAGACGTATATGACCTAGCCTCTTACCCTAAACGGTCAACATTTGGCGATTGGCCAGCTTCGACAGCTGCATGCCATGAGGTTTCGCTTCCGCAGCTAGTCATACCCCAACACGAGAGTTATTCAAGACACCTCAATAGTACCCGCTCCCAAAAGACCACAAACTCTACATGTACTCACAATGCAGTGCAGTCGAAGATTTCGGATGTGTGGTAACCACTGACGGCTTCACAACTCACACAAGTCGGGAAGAGTTGCGCCGTTAAATTCGCTTCTTCGGCTTCATACTTTTTTTTTTTTCATTTTCTTCACGTATATACAACAACATTCGCCTCACGGAGTGATGCTCAGCATACTAAGAACTACACTCAGCCTGTCGATTTCGAACTCCGGTGGCGGTACTTGTCGTGTTGTATGTTGGGCTTATTATTGATTTTACATGTTTGGTAAAGTGAGGTGAGTCGACAGCAATTTCGTGATAACGAGGTACCATAGACATCGAGGAGATGTCTCGACAATAGGGTTGGTACATTTTCCAGCCTTCCATTACATGCAGATTACCCCTGCCGAAATGCACGTTGCTGGCTCTTTCGGCTTGTTGTAACGAGGGGTGTGTGCTTGTCTTGAAGTGGTGTCCATCGGTGCGAAACGCAGTGCTGCACTTCCCGAAATGGAAAGCGAGTGCTCCCTGTCCCACGAGTTGAATGTCATTTGAGGATAGAATTCGGTATCTCCCTCACGACATTTGTTCTGGAACATCCGCATCAAAGTCACCTTAGCCGGCAGCAAGACGATGCACGAGGAGTGGCACTGCATTGATTTATCCTATGGGTTGTGTAATCGTGATCACCCAACCGAATTCCTCCGGCTTGATACAAGAAGACTTGGAGCCGACGAGACCCTTACTCAAACGTTGCATCTGTTGCACTAAAGGCAAAATCCCGAGAAACTTCATTCTGGGTGGGATTCACGTGGTGTGCTGGATATGAACTGTAAAGAGTACGAGGAGCGTCGGGGCAAGCATTCAAATTAATTGATTCAGGAACACACTCCCAGAAAATCGTGCCACTTAATAGATTGTGCATGATGACGTCCTGCATTCAATCAGTGAAATGCTCTTGGTGCGTGAAACACCCTTGAAATTGACGAATCACTTGAAGATTAGACGTATCGGGCGTCCTGCTTCAGGGCTGAAAATTCACCATGTGGGATAGCACATTTGTGGGATGACATGTGGGATACTGCAATCATGGGCAAAAGCGTGCTGCCGATTTGTTAAATGCCATTTGCAGCGTGGTACTCCAAGTCAATTCGTATATACATGAGCTCAAACTAATTAACCACGTGAGCTCTGTGGCATATTCCTCCTCATGTTGAGGACTTCGAATGTCACGTTCAAGCTCTGCCTGAGATAACTAAGAACAGCATTCTGCACGCCGCCATGTTCCTCCATCTCGTCCTTGCTAACCACGTCTTGAAACTTCCCCAAGACATCCTCGAGCTTTCTCAGCTCTCGAAGAAGTATCTCCATTTCTAACCATCTCCCGTCTTCCTCAGCGATCTTGTAAGCCCCAATCGTGAGCGAGAGTTGTTGCGGCTGGTATTGATTTTGACTTGTGAATCCAAAGTAGTTTTGTGACGCGGCACGATAGAATGAAGTAACCTTGCCAACTATAGTCGCCAGCAACATCGTACTGGTATTTGAATTTCCATTCCCTCCAGTGATACATTTCGGGCAGTCCAGCATGATAGCGCAGCTCTCAACCGCTCGCCTATTTACAACAAGAACGACGTCGAATGATGGTGATTGAATGTTATTTGCTGTATGCTGGTGGAGTGCTTGTAATGCTTGGAGTGAATTGTCAAAGCAATTACATGTAGAAGGGTTAGCGATCATTTCGTTGGGCTGATAAACATCTTTTTGAAATTGACCCATGCCCGGCATCTGTCCGAACATCATAACATCAGGCTGACCTCCTTCAAAGTAGGGTTCCATCGGCGGGAATGCTGGGATCTCTGCCATGGATTTTGATCTCATGGAATGAAAACTAGATGAGCCAGGCCCTCTCATGCCTTGTGGGAATTGGAACTGCGGATCAAATGCTTCCATGGTCGCTGTGTTACTGATGGATTCTGGGGTCGAACTTGGATCTCGGATCATTGGAGGTGCGGTTGACGTCGATATCGACCGTCGATGAAATCTGTGATCTGGTTGTGGTTGAGGAGGCATAGGTGACCATCCTGGATTGGAAGCGAAAGGTGGAGGCTCTTCTGGGTACGACATATCTTGACTCAGGGTTGTATATGTGACAGCTGGTTCTTCGTAGAGGTTCTCAAGAGAAGAATTGGACGGCCTTTGATCCATTCCCGGATTCGTAGATTTTGATTTCCCAGTCCGACATGACGGACTATAACCACACTCCGCACCAGTAGTCAGACATCGAGAACAAATTGGACGTTCTTTGCTGCATTTGACCTTGGCGAGGAAGCATCCATCACAAGAAGCCCTCAATTTTGGCTGCCGTGGCTTCGAGGTGTTCTGACACTTAGACATGGAGCGGATGTGGAGGTGGAAAGGCTCGGAAAGCTGACGTGACACCGAATAGTGAAGGTTGAGAAGTGAATTGATAATTCCCAAGCTCCTGTACCCTTGATAAGCGTTTCTTTGTAGAAGAATTCCAAGAAGACCAAACATAAAATTGCGAACGAAGGCTGAGAAAACGAGTATATGTAACGAGCGAGTGCAACGAATGGGAAATCTGGGGTCGCCGAAAAGAATCATTCGTCCGTAGAGGAAGGCATATAGACCAGAGACTGGAGAACCGTTGGAGACATTCAAAACAGTCTCAAAGGCTACCGGGAGCTCTAGAGTATTATTTTAGATGCTAAAGTTGTATGCCATGCCAGGACTCCGGTATCTGAGCACACCACGTAGAGCTCCTCTCACAAGTTAGTCTAAAACATAATAAGCCTGCACGTCCGCTGCACTCATAATTGAAGGTGGGTTTGTACTCGGAACCTGACCAGGGAACAAGGGGAGTCACGTTTCCCCGGACCTCCGATAGCTCTGCCTCTCTCCCACCAGCGCTTCGTGGCAAAGTCCAATAGAGTACAATAACACTACGCGTCAAATTGAGACACTGACATAAAGTCGACGAGACGCTGCTGCTTGTGGATATGTCACTACTCCTGTCAAACCTTAGCAGCGTTAAAGTCAATTCTTGGCATGTATAAAAACAAGCACTAGACGGTCTCGTAGCCGACGTGGTAGTGTAGATGTCATCGACACATCATCATATGGAACTAATCTCCTGAGACACCGAAAAAACCACCAACGCACCATTGGAGTTGTTTTTTACAGTGCTGTGTTCATTGTAATTGATTTTCCTGTGATGAGTGCAAAAAATGTAGGCTGCAAAACCTGGCCGAAAATTGGATGAAGGGTCTTGATCTCGCTTCAAAACGGGAGATTATCCGAACCGCATCTGCATCTGGGCACCAATAAACTTTAAGACAACGATGAGGTGTCGAGGAATACCACTCGGAGCTAGCCGAATCAGCTACGCATACACGCCAGAAGGATGGCGGTCCGTACAAGCCTAAGAAAGCGGCTTTGTTCCTTGAAGTCACTCTTAACCTGCCGATTCGCCTTAGGTAGTACCCTCGTATTTCTGTGTCCGGTGCGATAGCCACGCTGCAAGACATTACAGACCCTTTATCGGTGCAAGCAAGGGATCCACAAGTAGTAAGTACTAAGTTGTAGTCCATTTTCTGGCAAACCGGGCGATCTATCCCAGATTAACAGTCTTCAGAAAAGACATATCTTCAACATGTGGGGGACTAGATGGGTGTAGATCTACGGCCTTCCAGACCAAATACCTTTTTGGACTTTGGATCATGCCACAATTATGTTTCGTTGCGGCTTCGACATCGTGAAAGTTAAGCGAACCACTTTTGTTGCGATATCTATTATGCAGCAGACAAGTACTAGAAAAGCACATCACAGTATCTCACAGTATCGATTGTACCTTACCATAGGTAAGGGACCAGTTGGTGTATATAAGCGGGGTCCGAAACGCCCATCAAACTCTATCATGCCTAGTACTTCACTGGTTGGTGTAGTTGATTAAGCTGAGCATCGAATGCAAGCTTCGTAACGAGGACTGCTACAATACACTGTATGATAAAAGCCATTGTGTTGCATTTGCGGATGTGGCTTGTTCTCCCCAACCCCAAGAACGCCACCTTGCCTCTTTTTTGACGCCAACAGGAATCGCTTTTTTGTGTAGCAAATATGTCGAAAGGAAGTCGATTATGGGTTACTTAATTACTTTTGTGACGCCTGCGTAGCCGAAGACCATTGATATACTTCGGGTGGTGGCATAATCATGCTCGAGTATATCCTTCGATATATGTCACGATACTCTTGGCTGGGTTTGAAGGTAACACTAGGTAACTACTTACTTGTAGCTTGTACCCAGGCGATGGCAAGGCTCCGGGAGGTTGCAAGTCAACACTTTGCGGGCATTAAACGGAGTGCCTGCGGCTAAAGGCGATTGTTCGTTTTCGTAAAGCGCTGAACTTGGGAAGGCTTGTGAGAGGATGTCGCGTTTTGGTGATACCACCCAGCAGGCATTCACCCAATGGAAGCTCATTGATTATGCAGTTACGGCAGAGCCATGCATTGCAGTTATTGCACAACAGGACCCTCGTTTTCAAAATCAAGTCATGAAGATGTTCAATATTGCAACAATTGAACGTTCGAGCATCATTGCAAGTGAACAAGTATCGTATTGCCTTGGACTGTGCGAGTGGCGCTTGATTGTATGTTGCCTTGAAGTTATTGTATGATCTCGGTGACGAATTTCCTCCTCCCGCGTCGGTCAAATCCCCATAACAAGAACCACGCATATACCACGGTGGATAAACTGAAATGTCTCAAATAGTAAAATATAAGCGATGTACCGAAGTCAATCTAAACGGAAATTTGTACATTATATTGCAATTTAGAAGATACAGGAAATGTCAACACGCAATTAGTACAGAAATAAATCTAGCAAGCCAAAAGCATCCATACCGTCTCGTATAACATTATCAAGACAGCAAAATGCCTGCAAAGAACACAGTTTCCGGAACGCCATCCATCTTATGCTGCAAATCTTGAACACCCCAAAAAAGCTCAATTACATATTTGTGGTGATAATATCAAGCCGTCTGAGCTACTGCTCCTCGGATAATGTTACCAAGCTGTTTTGCCTAAGAAATGTTAGTCATTGTAAGGAGTTGTGCGAAGGATAGGAACTTACCAAGTCTCCCTTCATCATACTGAAGTGGTTTCCTGGCATGTGCTTGGTAACAAATCTCTCCCCATTCAAATATTTGTCCCAAAGATTCGGGCCAAAGTCAGTTCGATTATCAAGAAGGAACTGGGCATGACCGTATGGGAATGGATCTGGTCGTGGATCTGTTGGTAAATGGCAAACACCGTCTTCACACCAGATTGCGGTGACGAATGGCGACTTCTTTGGATCAATGAGCTCAGCAGAATAGTTTGACAGAGCTGTGACAGACGCGGCGAAATGAGGTAAGAGCCATTTTGGTAGCTTGGAGAGGTCGCCGTCGCCGAGGAGTCCAATCTCTCCGAACCATCTGTGAAGTGAAGCTGGTAGAGGCTCAATGATATCGGGACATGGCGCATCGATAATAATGAGCTGTTCAACTTCGTCACCGTTCTTGATCAACTGATTAACAGCCTCGAAAGCAATGACACCACCTGCACTCCATCCTGCAAGCAAGTATGGTCCCACAGGCTGACGGCGCTTGATCTCCGAGATGAAAGACGACGCCATGCCGATAACACCACACTTGTATTCTTCTGGCACTTTCATGTATGGTGAATTGAGGCCCCACACGGCAACATTGGGTCCAATCTCTGAAATTTCGGTGTATGATGTAGCGGAGCCACTTCCATCAGGTACCATCCAGAGGTGTTTTGTTGCCTTCTTCGAGTTGCCCTGGAGCAGCACAGATGTAGCTAGACGCTCAGTGGTTGCGCTTATTGACTTTGCAGGTGCAGAAGGTTTCTTGGCAGGTGCCTTAGCGGGTTTTGCTGCTTTGGTGCCTCCGATATTGAGCGACTTCTCGATGGCCTTGATCGAAGGATTGTTCGCCAAAAGGTCCGCAGGAAGATTCATGCCAGTCCGCTCACGAAGTATGCCTAGAATGCTCAATGACATTAAACTATCCATGCCGATTTCTGTGAGGTCCGAGAGATCAATTATTTCATCGATGTCGACACCCATTTCACCTGCAATGGTAGTCCGAATAATGTTTCCAAGTTCAGAATCATTGCTTGGTTCCTTCTCCTCCTCAGATGTGTCACTTGGAGTGGTGACCTCAGTGTCCTCGCTGTCTTCCAATTCCGGTGTGGCAGTGTCATGGCTAGAGGAAGAGTCTGAAGTGGTCGTTACTACAGATTCCTTGCGTTCGTACTTTGAGAGGAAGGCCTTGAACTCTCCGATTGTCGCATTATCTGTAAAGGCGCTGGAAGGAACATCAATCTCAAGGTCTTCTCGCAATTTTCCGCTAACGGTAAGGGACATTAAACTGTCGCAGCCCAAATCGTTCCAAGCCAGGTTGTCGACAAGCTCGTCAAGGCCAACTCCAATTTCCGTGGCAAGGATGTTCATGACGGCAGAGGTGACAGATGTAAGCCTCTGGTTGACTTTGGAAATGCTATCCTTGGTCACCTGAGCAGTCTTCACTGGCTTCTTTGTGGTAACTTGAGGTGGTGCAGCACGGGCAGCTGGCTTCGAAGCAGCAGCGGCTCCAACAGGTGGCATAAGCATGTTGAGAACTCTTCGTTGAATGCACTGGAACTTGAGACCACCGACCATACCAATGATCCTGTCACCATCGAAGATGTAGACATCACCTTGAAGAACCTTCTTCTCTACTGGTTGCATTCTTACGTAGGAGCGGTACGTCTTTGTAGCCGAGAGTGGTTCGGCGATTCTAAAGGATTCCCACCCGTGAGATATGTAGACATTCTCTTTGGAGTCAATGGCATCAGAGCCGTTGACAATGAAGCCCGAGATGTGAGCAACGCTGTCGATCCAGTATGGGCTGCAATTGAATGTGCCATCTTCCGGCGTTGTCTGGAAGACAACGCGTGATGTCGCTTCCATATTCTCACTGTGAAGGATAACTTCCTCCATACCTCTGTACCGCTTGTCGTAATCGACCAGAGCAGCGAAGAGCTTGTATGCCAGACCACGCCCAATCTTGTGAGCTTCTCCTTCACTCTCAGCTTTCTTGAGCCAGTCCACACGGGACTGGATGAGGTAAGATTGTCGTTGAAACTCGGAAAGATAGGCTTCGCGAGTACCGAATAGCACACGACAGTGTGCATGCTCGACCTTGGATTTGTCTGATCCACTAGAAAAGACAAGACTTGCTGATCGACGATTGATATCGATTGTCGCAGTGAGGGTCAATATCTGCGACTTTCCAGCAGGATCCGCAATCAGAGATTTTGGAACTTCCATATGGGTGATATCCATGACCAGATCCTTGACATCAGGATCAATCAATTTATAGCCATATTCGCAGACCGTCATTGCCATATCACCATAGAGAGATGATGGGCAGAGGTAAGAGCCATTGACCACGTGGCCAGTCACCAACGGACGTAGATCTGGTCTCGCAATATCAGTTTCGGTGACGACTGTAGCAACATGGTCGCTGATCGTTTCTTTAACGACCTCGTGAACGCTGGTCGTGCTCAATGAAGATTTGACAATCTCTGGTGCAGGAAGAGCACCGGCAGCTTTGCGTCCTTTGTTCAAGCTCCAGTCTCCCTCGTACTGAATCCAATAATTCTTATCATCATACGAGTATGTGGGAAGACTGAGGAGTCTGACGGAGTCGGAAAAGTCGCGATGGTATTCGTTCCAATCGATGTTCATACCGGCATTTTGAAGAGCGCACAAGCTAGCGGAGATTGTCTTGTAGGCTTCCTCGTTGCGTCGAAGAGAAGGTGCAGTAATAGTGGTTGCGCCAAAGGTGGATTTCACCATGCCGGAGCAGACGGAATGAGGACCAACTTCGATCCAAACCGTCTTTTCGTCGATGATACCTAGCTCTTGAGAAGAAGTCAAGCCAGCAAGGAAGTTGACAGCTTCACGAGCGTGGTTTCGGAGGTAGGTGGGGTCGATCGATTCTCCTTCGGAAAGTGGACGACCCAGGAGCGGAGAGATCAGAGGAATGTTTGCAGAGCCAAAGCGAACAGAGGCAGCAAGTTTTTCGAAATCATCAAGAATAGCATCCACTTGTGCGGTGTGGAAAGCGAATGGTACCTGAAGCTTTGTGCACTTAAAGCCCGATTGCGTGAGCTTTTCAGCAAGATCTGCCATAGCACCTGCTTCACCACCAAGCACCGTCTCGCGTGGGCCGTTGATACAGGCAACGCTCAAGCTGCCTGCCATCTCAGGGAGAGCTTCGTTCAAAGCATCCACGGAGCCCTGAACGGCCAACATGGCGTGAGTGTTGGCTGTGCATTTCTCGACAAGTAGCTGAGCCCGAGCACCGACCAAATAGATAGTGTCACTGGCAGAGAGCACGCCAGACACGCACAAGGCTGAATATTCACCCAAGCTGTGGCCGACAAGAACGCTAGGGTTGACTCCCCAGGATGCCCACAAACGAGCCATGGCGACTTCGAAGCATACCATACCAATCTGGACAACGACTGGTGACAGCGTAGAAACATCAGTAACGCTGCCGTCGATGAGGGGAAGGAATGATGGGAAGCCCTGAATTCTGGCGATTCTGTCGAACTCTAGAATGTTTTCTCGGAAGACAGATGAGTTGTTGTACAAATCTTTGCCGAGACCAGCGTAATGAGAGCCTTGGCCAGTGAAGGTGTAGGCAACCTTAGGAGGCACGGAGTGAACGGGGACGAAAGTGTCATTCATCTTGCTCTTGATGATACTCTTCGCCTGCTGAATATCAGATGCTGAAAAGGTCATTCGCCAGTTGTGCTGGATCCTTCGAGCGGTAGTGGTGTATGCGAGGTCGGAAATGGTAGTTTTTGGGTTGGCTTCGAGGTAGTCGACCAAGCGGGAAGCGTTTCGAAACATCGCAGACTTGGACTTTGCTGTAACCGATACAACATGCATTGATCGAGGATCAACTGTGGCATTCTTGTATGTTGGGCCATCCTCTAGTAGAATTCCTGTAACAGGTCAGTACTTCGTCCTCTCGTTAGATAGTACCCTACGAATTTGGCTCTTAGGGTGTTATATTTGCCCAAAACAATTGACCAAATCTCGCATATGTCCTGTAACCAATTCACGAAACATGTGAGATTTCGTCAATTGTTTTGGGGATTATCGTGTTTCGATTGCCAGGGCAGTCAGATTCTGTTCCATCGCGAAAAGGCGGTGGGGGCCGCTCAGGGGTGGCGAGTGATTCTGCCACCACGGTGTGGGTCCCCTAACCTCCCTTCTCTTCAACTCCCAAAACACCAAAAAAATGATTTTAAAAGAACCACATAAGATAAAAGAAAATGCCCACCAGTATTGCCTCCAGCAGCGCTGAAATTATTCAAAAACACACGTCTGGGCATGCCAGCTCGAGCCCGAAGAGGAGTTTTATGGAATGCGATGTTAACTGTCGAATGTTAGTTATGACTTTAATCCCCTCAAAGTTGAGAAACTCACCATTGCGCTCGGCCAAATCCTTGGGGAAACCGACGTTTATAGTGTTTTTAATACCTACATGAGGCGGGATGGCGTTCTTCTGCAGCATCATGAGGACTTTGATCAGTGCAGTGATACCAGAAGCTGCTTCACCATGGCCGACATTTGCTTTGACAGCACCAAGGTACAGAGGTTGCTCTGCCGTCCTCTTACGGTCTGCTGGTGCAAAGACGTTCGTGACAGACTTCATTTCTGTGCCGTCGCCCGCCTGTGTGCCGGTGCCGTGCATTTCAACGTAGTCGATGTCAAGAGGATCAACACCGGCTTTGCGGAGGATAGAGCGATAGAGTATTTCTTGAGTTCCTCCGTGTGGGTGAGTAATTGAGACTGCATCAGCTGAATGATTCGTTGCCGAACCTAAGATGACAGCTAGAACGTTGTCTTTATCGGAAATGGCGTCTTCAAGACGTTTGACGATAATCGTCCCTACGCCATCAGCTCGGCAATATCCGTCTGCGTCGTTGTCAAATGTAGCGCAAGGTCCTGTTTTTGAAAGGAATTGCCCACGACTCAGACCAGCAAAAATATCGCTGTTCGTCATACAGGAAAGACCGCCAACTATAGCAGTGTCGCAGTCCTTAGCGCAGAGGGAGGTATAGGCAAGCTGAAGTGCTGCCGCGCTAGATGAACAGGCAGTATCGACATTGAAACTAGGCCCACTAAACCCAAAGTGGTAATTGATTCTACCTGGCCCGAACGCTCTTACTCCACCGGTAATAAAGTAGGTATCGACCTCCTGAGCGGCATTAATCTCACGCCAGTCGTCCGAGGTTTGCCCGTAAAAGGTACCAACTCGATCAAGTCTGGTGGAAGGTGTACGGTTTGGTGTATATCCGCTCATCTCCAAAGCCTCGAAAGCCGTGGAAAGAGCCATCCTCTGCATGGGGTCTGTCTGGAAGGCCTCTCTAGGAGACATGTTGAAGAATCGAGGGTCGAAAAGGCCCGGGTTCTCAATCCAGCAACCAAAAGGAGTGTGACTTGTGTTCACAGTCTTTCCAGAAGGGTCGACGTGCGTCTTGACTGGGAATCTGTCTGGGGGAACTTCTCTGTGTACAGCGAGTCCCTTCTCTAGGAGCTCCCATAGCAACTCATGGCTTGCGGCATCTGGAAACCTTCCAGCCATGCCAACAATGGCAAGCTTTCCGGTGCTAGATGATCCACTGCCAGCAAAAGGGGCTGGTTCGTTGTTGCCGAATGGCGCTCTTCGGAGAACCACATCCGACCCGCTTGCAGACCTCAACGAATCCACGACTGTAGTCGCGAAAGATGTCGGGCCTACAGGTATGACCAAAGTTCGGCCAGTGCTCTCAGATTTGCATCCATCAAGAACATTCTGTAGGTGAGACGACTTGGTGAGAACATTCTCAGCAACCGCCGAGAATAGCTGTAGAGCGGACTGCTCCTCAAATGACTGTCCTGTTGCTGATGACAAGATTCGAGAATTAGGTCTGGAGGACTCCAATACATCGGAAATACGAGAGTTCTTAAGACCTAGCACCTTTTCGATTTGGAGCTCTGGGTGAAGATGTGACGCCTGATATGGGCCATATAGCGGCAATGGCGTTGGTGTTACCGAGAATGCATCACTAGCCCATAGAGCCTCAAGGGTGGAGGGTGGTCCGCTAATGGCTACAGAGTCTGGTGTGGTAGCGCTAATGTAAGCCCTACTAGCATGGGAGATCGCCTGAGCAATGTTAGTATAGCTCTCGTGATAGATAAGTGATTGACGATGATGATTTCTCAGAGCAATTGACGAAATATCGATATTTCGTCCACTGCTTTGAATAGGCTCACCGGAATATGCCCATTTAGAGCACGCTCATAGTGGCCGACACAAGTGATAGGTCAAAGCATTAGGCTTCTCCAAAACGATTGACAAAATATCGATATTTCGTCAATCACTTTGAAGAATTGAGCATCGATTGATCCAGAGGAATATGCCAATATAGAGCACACTCAAAGTGGCCGATGCAAGTCACAGGTCCGTAAGAGGTTTCTCCAAAACGATTGATGAAATATTGATATTTCGTCAATTGCTTGAAGGAAATTTATTAGGATTAGATTTAGGAGAGAGTTAAGCTTACCTTTTCAGCATGAAACTCATCAAGCTTCGATGCGGCCTGCGCTTCATCTGCTGATATGGAGTATGCCCACGGATTGGCATTGTCGTTGGCTCCACCAAGTTGATCAGCCAACGCAGCAACATAGGAGCCAGTTCTGAATGCGAGGACTGTCGCTTGAACTCCAACCTGAATAAGTGCAGACAATGAAGCCGAGCAAGATATGGCGGCCGCGGCAAATAGTCCTGTACTTAAGCCTACCAGGGTTGTGTTGTTGGGAGAAGCAGAGTCCTCTGGCACCTTTTCTGCACGGCTATAGGCGCCATGTTAGCAATTACACTTGCCATTGCATGGGGTTGGGAGACTTACTCAAGGTAGTGTGCAATTTGAGTGGCACATAATAACGCACTCTCGATACCGGAGTGCTTGATCCCACTAATATGATATCGTTCGTTGAGATCCTCAAGGCTGGAAAATCTGGGTATCTTATTTCGTTCCAAGTTCGATAAAGCATTTACTTCGCGGCAAAGGGCATCGGAGGCCTGCTCAATGAAGGTCTTCGACAGTAGACTAGGCGAGCTGCGATGAAGGAAATTCGCAAGGAAGCCATATGTGTCAAGTGATTGGTCCCCGAAGAGAAAAAAAACCTTCTGGTTAGAGGTTCCCGACATCTTCAAGGACTGTGTATTCCAGTTGTGAATTGGAAAGGTTGATGGAGAGCAATTCATCGAGCAGATTGAGCAGTTATATTCACTTTCACCCACACCAAAGTCATGATGACTATAGACACTTTCTATGACAGGGACGATCCCATCAGACTGGCTTGCATGGGATAGTCAACGCACATGCGATAAGATAATTGCCAGCATCGTGTTCCATTCTTTGAAGACCGAAACAGGCGTCAAAGAGAGATCTCGGCGAGCAAAAAGGCGACCAACAAGCGAGTAACGAACGATGCTCAGTACGGGAGTACATAATCAACTACGCTTGCCGAACCAGGGGTTGGGTGTCTCAGTGGAGACTGACATATTTTTAGTCCGTAGGCCATTCCTCCGGCGGACATCCCCACTCATTTTTAGATACTGGTAACAACAAAAGCGAGAGTTTTGGATTTCATAAACGAGGCACGATCACTAGTGGGACACCCGGACGTCCTCGTACCTTGATCCTGCCATCATTGATAGAGTATATCGACACGAACTGCCAGATTTGATAATTAACGGAGATACAAGCTTGAAGAGACGAAGGAAACAGTATGGAGTGGAACTCAGAGATTCAGAGTAGGTTCATTATAGACGCAGGTCCGAGACGGTGGAACGGAAGCAGCTCGCTGTTACACAACACCTGGTTGTAAGTTATCTACCCGTGATTTCGTGTGCAACAAAGTCGAACGTGATTGACGGGGAAAACTCCTAAAAAATCAACAACAGCAGGTACAACGATACCATCATCTCGAATTCCGATATAGCCTGAAAGCCAAAAGCTGAGCACAAGTAATCCAATCCCGACTGTTCATTTCTAGGAGAATTTTCGTCGCATGCGGGTGTTCCTGACATGTACCCTCGTCCCCTGAAAGAGGAATCAGAGAGATGAACTAGATGAAGACCCACGTTGGGAAGTCTCAAACCTTAATATGCCGTGATCATATTTGAGGTTGCCATAGAGTTCCAGCAAGATGGTTGCTATCTAATCATCTAACTGTTTGAGGTAGCAATTAATGTAAGAATCGGATTGATATTTGCAAAGGGAAAGAGCGGCACTGCAAAGTTGGCTCTAACCGTTGTTCGCTGTCAAGTAGAAAGATGGTTCTGAGCAACACAATCTCATTGGTGGTTGGAACCGCGACGGTGCCGAAGTACGAGAACCGGAGAGAATGCGGCATCTCGACAGTGCCGCTTTGCGAAATAAATCTGGCCTTACGGTAGTCCGCGCGATTAGGAAGTATGTGGTGGCAAGGCTATCGCTAAACGGGGAGTAAAGCTAGCACTACTCAAAAACGCCTATATGTAAAAGCCGACCCGTGCATGAGCTAAGAGACAAATTATGGAAACAGCAATTAAAACAACAACACACCATCCTAGGACTTAACCTATACAATCTCAGGATACATGTATCTTGTTTGTTTTATATTGCGGGCATATTCAATTGATAACAAATTCTTTACCAAGACTTGGTACAGGTACTTCGTGGCTGCCTTCAATACCAAGCGTGTTGCAGGCTCAAATGGGCTTTAAAAGGCAGGTTATCTTGCATAATTCGAATTCCAAAACCGAAATGTAAAGGCATAAGCAAAGGAAGTCCGGTTCCTAGATAGCAATTGCGCAAATGATAGGCTACCCACAGAGTAGGGCGGAGGCTACGGACTGCATGGCTACTACTAGTGGTATTGCATTGGTTCTTTAATCGCAGCAAGAAACATTGCCACAAAAACGTTGCCACAAAGTGCCTGCCCTCTTCCGGGTCTGAAAGCTGTTCTTCATACGCTAAGACGACATCGACGGAGCAGTCAGGAATAAGCCATAAGCTTAGATGGCACTATTTCACCAGAAGTGCCTTTCACATGGAAATTGCATCATATCTCCTCAAAAAGAGAGTGAATGGTGGGTAGATGATACCCTCCGCCAACAAAGGACAGCGCATAGCAACATAGCTGTAATCCGAGGAGACCTTTGAAGTATCCGACCAATCTACCAAGAGGGAACCAATTGACTCTACTCATCTATAGACACCATCTGAAAATATCGCATACGAACTCATTTCTTGGTTCGAAGCGATCTATTGAAACAGTTCAATTGGCAAACAAGATACATAAGGACAATGACGAAATCTGCGAATGAAATGTCAACTGGTGAGGCACGACGAACTTCCCACTGCAGCGCTGTGATCATTGAGATGCTGCAATGGCGACCTCTGTAACAACAGGCAAGTTTGAAGTCACTCACGATGTTAGCCTTGGAAAATGTTAATGCTAGCCAAGTCGTGCCCAACCGCAGAGCTAGACATTCATAGAAATTTTCTTCTGCCAGCATCGAAACGATCCGGCGCGCCTGAGTAGCATAAACTCATACTAGGCAAAATCATGGACACTCATCAGCGCCAGGGAATTTCATCAGATGAAATCTCTTTATCAAGACTATTGGCCAGTGTGCTGCCTAGAGAAGCAACGAGCCACAATCAAGAGGGGAAGGCATGAAATTTCCCAGTCAACCACAACTGTTGTTTCGTTATAGAACAACCAATACCCAGGTACAGACTTGGAAAGGAATATCAAGGAATTGGCCAAATTGCGCAGCTATGGTGCTCTGGAATGCAATGCGCTTGCATCTTTCATGTGAAGCGATTGATAATAAGAACGCCCGTTGCCGGACCGCTCTAACGTTGAATCGAACAACACATCAACTACAGCAACACTAAGTATATTTCCAAAAGAAAGTACGCGGCTACATCGTTCGTCTGTTCCTGTCTGGCAAGATAGTGATCTTGTTGTCGATCGTTGGCAGCGGAGAAATTTTCGACATTCGACATATCCCGATCCATCGATCGTAGGAAACCTGGGCGCCCTGCCATAACAACAGAAGCCGTGCTTCGTACCATATTTTCCTGCTATGATAAACGGCATCGAAATGCCCGCGCCATACCGATGCGTGGCTTCAAAGCAGGACTCTGCGCGTTGTTCATAAAGGCATGGACTACTACCCAGGTTGATATCTGGCTGTTCTTGTAGGATAGTCGTCGGCGCAAGAAAGAGGTACGGTGGTGGGAATACAAGCATATAGGACTTATAAAGACTGCCTTGGACGAAGTTCCTCTTCTCTTGGATGATGGGAATTTGGGTTGTTTGTGTCGCGTTGACACTGACGTTTTGATCAAGGGGGTTCGAAATGAAAAAGTTGGAATGGTCTTAGTGCTTAGACCGACTCTGATCTTGGCATCAGCTGATTCAATGGTTATTGCTTAGTCACATCCACGTATATATCATCTCCAGCTTGATGTTGAAAAGATGATTCTCCCCGAGGGGATATTCTATTGGATTATTGAATAAGAACATAGCCTGATCTGTTTGGGAATTTCCTATAAAATAAATCGATTAAGAGATCATTACTCTATATTGAGCGACTTGAGCAAAACCTCGGCATGGCCATTATCCGCTTGTCTTGGTCCAACGTTTACATTAACTAACTGACATCTGATTTGGTCCAATATAGCCAAAACTTCGCGATTAGATGTGTACCAAAAACTTACGCTCGACATGAAATTTGTGAAATTTGATATTCTCACATTAAAAACAGTGCTGTCGTATCTGATCGCTTAAAAGTAGTCTCTCTCCCAGTAAACTGTCGCTCCCTCGCGGAGGACAAAATAAATGTCAGTCACCTGCCCAATGTAATCTTAGACTAAATAATTCGACTTCGAATAGAGCGCAAGAAGTCTTATTTACTCAAAATGATACACGAAATATCTCATATTGTTCCAAATTAATCCACTAAATAACGATAATTTGTCAACTTAATCGGAAAAATACCGTGTTTTGACTGCCACTTATTTTGTCCACCGCGAGGCTCCATATGTCCGACTTGTAAATTTGATGTATCTAATTCTTTTTATAACAGATCTGAGGCTGATGTATTGCTATACTTCAAAGTCGTGATACTTCACTGCAAGTCTATATCAACCGTTTATTCTCTACACAACATCTTGCTCGCCAGAAAACATTCTTTATTCAGTGGTTAACGGAATAATATTTTACTGCAAAGTTTGATTTGGCATGCCCGACCTCGAGTTGAATGGTGGCCTCATCTGTGCTTTCCCAAATCTGTAAGTGACCCTTTTCCAATCCTCGCTTAGCTTGTTAGTAGGCAAAATGGGTCGCAGTCGAAACACGGTCTTTCTTCTATTAAGTTTATGAAATTTTGCATGTTTGTCTATTAGTTCCAAAAAATACATCCTACTAGAGGCTGAGTAAACAAAACTCATAAATTAAGATAAGCTTATCTACCGTCCTCTGAATCACACTTTAAGTTAAAGGCTAGGCAATAGGTTCTAGCATCAATTTGTCTCTGCGGGAACTCTAAGAGTCAAATGACTGTAGATCTATAAGCAAAATAACACACACCGCTAACATGCGTCGCACTGACTGACATTCTACTTCTGAAATCTTATGAACCAAAGCTGCTGTTTGAGACTGTAGGTTTCCAACTATGAGAGGTAATGGACGAATAATCATTTTCATTCTAGATTACTAAGTAGCATGAGTGGTTCGTCTAATTTTCCCAGCGCACAGTGGCTTTTGTGGCACAAATTTAGAGGGTAAGGGAATATTTGTAGTACATATCCCGACCGGCAGAAGCCCTTGAAATCGAAGAACTCAAGCTTGCTTTTTGGTAAACTCAATCTATCACTAAACATTTTGTATCATTATTTACATGTGATTTACGCACAAGTGTCTTGATTTTATGCTTGTTCGACAGTATGCTGTCGTCAAATTGTCATTGGTACTGAAGGTAGATGAAAATAGCTATCAATTCTCACTGATAGTGCTCCAGGCGTTGAGAGTAAACATGGTTTAATTTCTACTGAATTGGAAACAATGCACTTAAATGCGGCGCTGCCACTCATTCGATGGATTCAACGTTGACGATCGCTCATCGCAGCCGTGGCCAGGGCTCTATCCTCAAGTTTCCAAGTCAATCCTCTGAGCTTTGCAACCTCTGGGTAAATATGCTTCCACATTTAATCTTCTCAAAATCTTAAGATAGAAGTCTTTCGGAAAGAAGGCTCACTCGCCGCGGTCGGGCTTCTTCGAAAGTCGAAATTGAGAAAATCTTGCGCCTCGAGAGCGAATTTGTTCCTCAGAGCTCGCAATTCGAACGGATACAGACAGACTGGTCCCAGAATTCCAAATAATATCGATAAGGGTGTAGGGAAATCGGTTTTACGGTACGATGTGCGGAATAGACATGAATTGTGGCTTCCTCGACAGGAATTAATCCAATCAACTTTCTCATCCGTATAGGTCTAGAAACGTATTGATGATACTCCAAACATTGCTTTTTCCTGAGTCTTCCAATGATCGTGGAAATTCAGAGCTGAATAGGATGCGTGCATCAACCAAGAAGTTCTGCTTTTGGGCTTTAGGCTTTATTCACTCTATTCCAGGAAACCGATTAGCGTAATGACAACCAACAGCTTCTCATATTAACCACTTCAGCAGATGCTGCAGCTTAGAAACACCGCATATCCCACGTGTAAGGGTAAGGCCTGAAGAATGCAGTCACACCACACGGTTTTGCTGGGACGATAGTCTTCCCCTTTCAGACGATCTCGCATATCCCGCAGCGCACGAAATCTTCGACTACCCATGGATCCCAAGAAAGATCCTGGGTTCTTCAGCCTCCCTTGGTACGAGCGTTTCACTTTAAGTTTTTCCTTGCAGAAGTTATAACAGTATTGACTTGGGAGTGCCCTTCGTTCAATTGAAGGCTCTGGCGAAGCATATCGACATGCTATTTTCATGCTTCAAAATCGACGATTAATACGGGGAATCACCGAATGAGACAGATGAGAGATACTACAGAGACAACGGAGAACCGTCGAGTTAAGAGATGATCTAGCTTATCGTACAAGTGAGGGTGTGAGGCATAACCAAATGTACCAAGGGTACTCAGACGATCCATCACCTCTTTCCCAACAATTTCTCACTCCCTCCCAGACATTATTCAGCTGCAGAGTGCGTATCTGAACCAATGCGTCGATAATATAGAAGTCCTTGAAGCAAGCAACCACGTTGGATCTCAGCAGATATGTTGTACCACAGACATCGGTACCATGGATACTGAACCAGTAATGTACGGGACAACGGGACGACCCAGCAGTACATCCGGAAATGCCTACACACTATGCTCCCTGTTCAAATGTGTCAACGTATTGAGAGCGATGGTTGCACTATATTCCCGATCTCGACATGCAGTAGCTTCATCTACCCGTCAGGGTTTTCTGTAGTACCGAACTATGGAATGGTAAGGATGATTACACCCATGATCGAAACCCGAACTAGGTTATCCATAAACCCTGATAATGACTCTAGGGATTTGATCTTTTGGTGCAAAATGCGTACCGTAGCAAGCGATGTATGTACAAAGATCAATTACTGAAGGAGAAACAGAAAATGAAATGCTCGAGACTGACTCCAAGAAAATCCATAATACACAAGAGGCTCGTGTGATCATCTGTAATGGCTACAAGTAAAACATTAGAGATGAACAAGCCAACTAATAATTAATAACTTGGTATCCGATGAAGTATACACTTACTGAGTGTACCACTAAGTGATTTTGGGTATAGAATCGAATAGCACAGCCAAAGCCACAGACCCCCACATCCATATTGGCTCTAGTGCATTATTTAATTAACTTAAACTCATGAAATCATCTAGAAGTCGAACCAAATACTGATTACCTGGTAATTGACCGAGGGGTACATTGTAGCGGCGGGCGATCCGGAAGCCGCCGGTACCTGCATATTGAGCTACGATCTCAACCCTTCCGCAGCTTTTCGCCTGAGAGCCAGTGCATTTGTATGTGGTAGGGATCCAAATTGGGGAAACGAAGATACTGTACTATCTGTTCTACAAGATGTCGTACAGTAGTTCGCATCCAGAATACGACTCTACATGTCCCTTTAGGTAAGATGCTTTCCACGCTACGAAATAGACTAACACCAAACCCCTGTGTATAACTCCCCGAGTTGCATATGAGATGAGTGCAAGTAAAGAAAGCTCCTTATCGTGAATCATACTTGGTACATTGTTGAGGAGCCAAAGACAATGTCCCATGAGATCCGGCTAACTTAAAGAGGCTTCTTATCGCTGTCAGATCTTAGCTCCAGATCCAAATCCACTGAAAAAGGGACGACTTCAGACCATTGTACAACCTGGGGATGGCCGAGACCTTTCTCAAAGGACATGGATCTAATTGGTCAGCATCATAGATTGTTCGACATCATTGGCTTTCTCCGGACTTAAGCGAAGGACGGCTGCTAAGTACATCACCTATCAAAAACTCTATGTGCAAGTATGTATTTGGACTCGAGGAGGTAGGCCCGAAGATAAGCTGGGAAATTCAACGCAACTCCACAATCTTTTTAACATCTACATTCTGCCTCTTGGAATTTTGGCATTGCTTTCCGCACCAATGATATGCGGGTGCGAAGCGGATCATTGACTTTCTTTTGCGTGTAATTGCATCCGAAGATGATCCACCCCAAGAATGGAGCATCATTATATGTACGATAAAGTTTACCTTTGCCTTGGAAACTTGAATAGATGGACTGATGTTGAGCCGTACTGGGTACGATCTGCGCTGCTGAATGCTTACTCGGATTGACGCTTGTACCAAAGTGCGAAGGGAATCGTTTTCGCCAAGGTGGGCTTCGCATCAGGCACAATCCTCTTTTGATTGAAGGTTCCAAGTTGCTTCAAGGCTCAATACAATCAATTATGACGCTCCCGAGTATAATCAGGCCACCAAGCAAAGAATGTCGCAATAGCTGCTGTCGCAATAGCTGCTGATTCATTGCTGTAGATCATACCAGCAGAACCTGAAAGGAATCAGCAAGAAACTCGCTTTTATTCTCCCAATCGAAACCTACATGCTTCAACTGCATGTATGTACTTCAGGCAATCGACATCCCTCACCGCGCATTGACACGCTTCAAGTGTTTTCCTGGTTGCAGTCCCAGGGACGACGCTTCACGATGTTATATCCGCGTAGCTGCGATGCTACCCTGATTAATATCTGCAAAACAAGCTTTGGTAGCCTACCACGTCTCGAGCCCCAGAATCTGGTTGTTTTCGTTGGCTCAAGAGTGAGTCAGTTCAACAGTTCTCATTCGGCAACAATTCACTAAAACGACTACATGAGATCTGTAACGAAGGAAGAGCCCGTTTGTAGTGAATGTCCTTGGAATAAGAGAAGCCCATTTCAACAAATCAGATAATACATCACGTATTTTCCATAGCCTCTGTTAAAGCTGAGCACAAATGAATGACAATATCCAGGTCATGTGACTTTTTGGTTTCTAGATAGTCGGTAAGTTAATCAGAAAGTTTTCGGTCCTGAGCTGTAACCATTCTCTGATGCGACTCTTTCTTGGTACTAAGAAAATAATGTTCGGCTCGTGGTAGACATATTAAGTAAGTGGCAATAACTTTCACTTATTGATTTACAGAAAGGGGGTCTGGAAATTTCTTATTTACTGAAAAGTAGCCAGAACTTGCGATAAATTTTCAACTTGGTCGACGAATTATCTCATAATCTTCTACTGCATTGAATACAAATATAAGTTTCTGCCACTCATATTGTCCATCACCACCTGTTGATGTATCCGTTTTTTCACCGAATGCGGGGCCGCTGAAAACGTGGGGAGAGTTTCGGCTCGGTCCGCATGGAATCAGCATCGCCGCCAAAGAAAAATGTTCGTTTGTTGACTTCCATTAACTATAAACAAATTTATCACCATTCGGCCGTGTGCAACCTCTTGCTTTTTGATTTGATTTGTTGTTGAAGCTTACTTCTGTCATGAAGTTTCAAGTCCAATCATCTGCAATGGTACCTTCATGGAGCTGCCGGTGCAGCCTCATGTACCACGTTGGACGCCGCCGAAGCCCTTGAGGTACTCCAAGCTGAGGGACATCAGTAATAATTTGCATGAGACAATACTCTTTCAATAGTTACAACAAACTAAATTGTCATATTCACTAAAGCAGGTCCCCTTTCTTGCCACATAAATATTCACCATACAGTTTTTATAACCACACGACTCTGTAACTTCAAATCTTGGACACGTCGAGGCTCCCAGCCTTACCAAATCACCACTACAATGGATCAAAGTCAAAGCTCTCAACGCTCGAGGAGATTGCGAGAAATTGCTGAAGAATATGGTGCGGTGCCCGATGGCCCAGAGAAGCTGCTCTGCCGACCAAGCCAGGTGCCGTCCTCCATCGTTCCTGATGACGAACGGCGGGCAGATGCAATTATAGGTCAGATGAAGATCGAGGGAGCTGAACATCAACCCAAGCACCGAAGCTTTAAACGTCCGTCGTTTCACAAATCGAAGCCAGATACAACATATGTCGATTTATATGCAGCTTTAGAACGGGCGTTGGAAGAGAATGGCCCACCTGGTGTATTCGAGATACTACTTCGGAGGTTCAGGAGCAACAATGGAAACATCAATGTTGCAAGGAAGGCTAAAACCGGCACTATGGCAAAACTTCGAAGCTCGAGCTTACCTGAGCAGAGAGGAACGCTCCTTCAGAGGGCAACGGAACTACGAAGATTTCATTACATCCAGATCTTGGCACCTCTGGCTGATCAACTCAGCCTTAACGAATCACTTCGAATTGCAATATTGATACGGGAGCTTGAGTTTGTAGAGTTATTGTTGCAATACGGTTCGTATTTCTAAATCACTGTTGCTAGCCATTGCATGCTGACGAACAATTAAGGAGCGGATCCGTCCCCACACGAAGCTTCGTTTTTACAAGCTGTAGAGAAAGACGATCAACTAGTGGATTTGTTTTTACGTTCCTCTATAAGATTGTCCAACATTTCTATATCACGAGCCTTGTTTCCGGCGGCGAAGTTGGGCCACCTAAAAACAACTGTTCAACTTATAAGAGCCGGAGCCGATGCGAGTCATAGTAATGGATCAGCTTTTCTGCATGCCGTCGAGGCTGGTCGTTTGGATATCACAACAGCTCTGCTCATGAGCAGCAACTATCCGCCTTCTGGGGTCATCGTTGACCGTGCTCTCGAATATGTCACCAGCCAACCAGCACATATTATGAGTGAATGTGCCAAAATGCTAGAGGTGTTGTTGTGCGGCAATCCTCAAGGGACCGCGAAACATTCTGGCCTAAGCGACGATGCTCTCCAACCTCAACCTTATCCATATGTTTTTAGCTCATGGAGCAGATATCAACTTTAACGAGGCGGCAGCTCTTGGTCATGCCATTCAGACTAATCGACTTGATATAATCACGATTCTTTTGCAGAAACAAGTTTTGAATCCAGAACTAGCATCTGTGCTAGTTGGCCGTATTCCAGAACGTTGTCCGTCGGCGGATCGCGTAGGTATCTTGTCGAAATTGATCAATAGCGGCGCTACTGGCATACATTGTAGCAACTTGTTGATCAGAGCAACAGAGGAGGATGATACCGATACTATTCGCTTATTGGTGTCCGCTAAAGACCAAAGAGGAATCCCAGTATCCTCCGTCGATTACAATGCTTCAAGATGCATGGAGCATTCAGTTACGCGTGAAAAGGTCGAGATATTGAGTATCCTAGTTGAAGGAGCTCCATCACAATTCTCATTGTCAAAAGCATTTGCATCAATTCCAATTACGGCAAGCACGGCAAGTCGCTTCAGCATGGTTGAGATACTGCTCAAAGCCGGAGCCCGAGGTCCTAAAGTCGATGCCATGCTGCATGCTGCTCTTGACGTACCGCATAAAGATATGAGACTCATTGAGCTCCTTGTCAACTCTGGGGCATGCGTTAAAGAGACTGACCTATTTACAGCAGTGTCTCAAGGGCTTTCAGACATTGTCAAAATATTGCTTGGTGCAAGGCTTACAGTCGAGACTTGCTCGTCTGCTATAGCTTTAGCCATGAAGCTACAAGATCCGAAGCCTCGCTACGAGATCATCAAGACCATGTTGGTTCCCGACAACATATCCAGCTTTAAAAAGGAATCGATTACCCAAGCTGTAGTCGATGCGATTCAAAAGTATCCCCAGGACGTTTCACTTCTGGAAATCTTATGCTATGAAGGAAAAGCCGACATAAATTTGCTAGATGGGCGTGCTTTATGTGAAGCTATACATCCTGGGAATCCCGCCGCTCTGGATATTGTCTTACGAGCTCAAGGAGCCGCACCGAACTCATCCACTATTGGTCTTGCCTTGAGGACTGCAATGGGCTTTCCAGTTCATGATCCTTCTCGGCACCGCAAAGTCGAGAGACTTCTCCAGGGAGTTAAGCCACAGCAGGTCATGGACGACATGTTGCTAAGGGAGACGCAATCTGCAGTCACACGGAAGCATGATCTTTCTGTTTTGAGATCCTTACTGGCTGCAGGGGCAAATGTCAACTCAAATAACGGGGCCGTCCTAGTTGCTGCCATGAAAGATTCGGGAATTACTCTGAACGATTCGAGAAATGTTCCTAGCGAATCGACAATGTCTCTAAACGATAGGAGAATTATTGACATTATATTGCAAAGGAAGCCGAACATCCATACCTTGTCCATTGCTTTCGCACACGGAATGCAACTAACGGGGCAAGCAAAATACAACATTTGTGAAACGCTCCTTAAAGCCGGTACAAGGGGGGACGAAGTTAGCAAAGCTCTGTGTGTTGCGGCTAAAGAACGTGATCTTCAATTCTTGCAATTACTATTGCCCCATGCTGATGTCAACTTCAAGGAGGGCAGGGTTCTTCGAAGGGTTGTAGAGCAAGAGTTCTCAGAAGGGCTCGATTTACTTCTAAAATCTCACCCTATTGTACCATCCCCAGCTTCTAAATCAACGGCTTTCTACCAGGCCATGAAGTTGAGCGACCGTAGCAGTCGCTTTGTAATCGTCAACCGATTGCTCAACGCGAAAATCCCTATGCAAACTATTTCAGAATGCTTGGTAGTAGCAGTAAATAATTCAGACGTGGACCTGGTTGACTCACTTCTCAAATCCGGCGCTTCACTCGATTATGGTGGTGGACAAGCTATTTCACGCGCTGCCACTCTTGGAAGAGTTGAAATTCTTAAGCTTCTCGTGCAAGGAAGCTGTGGCAGGAAGCCAGTTTTACCGATTTTATTGAGTGGATTTGTAGGAGCGGCTGCATTGATGGATAAAGATCCAGACTCTTACTTCACGACTATTGAGATCCTCCTGGGAGCTGGAGCTCGAGGAGGTGCAATATATGATGCCCTAATTGAATGTGTCAAGCGAGGTGAGGCATTCATTCGAGTCACTGAACTCCTCTGTAGACACAATGGCACAGAGTCTGTGGAGTGGAAAGACGGAGCAGCCCTTGAAATTGCTGTGCGGACTGCTGGGATGGAAACCTTAGCTGTTTTGTTGCGTCAACGACCTTCGCAGGGAGTTCTGGATCGAGTGTCTAAATCTGCATTCAAGCTTACTCCTGATCGACGATATCCAGTTATCGAAGCTCTACTCAATGCTGGGAAACCCATTGATAAAGATATGTCGAATGTGCTTTCCAAGCTTGTGCGAGAATCACCACCGGACCGAGCATTGCTAGAGCTACTTCTAAGTCGAGGTTGCTACGACAATGGAGAGGCGATGATATATGCCGCTACTCACCAAGACCTTCCTAGTTTAGTCTCGCTGGTCAATCCTGCAGTACCAAAAGCATACGTCAATGCCGCTTTCGAGGCTATGGCGAGTCTGGACGAGGTCTGGAGTACGAATGAAGGGTTTCCAATTATGGAAACGCTGCTAAAGAATGGTGCTACTGGCGAGATCGTCAATTTGACACTACAATCAGCAGTGGATAAGTGTTGTTTGGATGACTCAGATCTGATGAGAGATTTCGTGGATTTATTGCTCAAGCATGGCGCGGATGCCAAACGAAATGAAGGTGCAATGTTGCAGCAGGCAACTATGAAAGCCAATCTCGGCCTTGTCAGATCAATTCTTTCTAAGTCTTCGACTTATACGAAAGCTCTAGCTCTCCCATATGTTTACTCTACGACTCAAGATGCTGAGGTGGTATTGCAGATCATTCAGGCATTTGCGGGTTCCATACCCGACGTTGACAGGGACACTTTCACAGATTTTGAGCATCCAAATTCACAACTCGATCCGGTTCTGTTCCTCGCTCTTTCCAAATATCCTCGAAAAGTCGGTATTATTAAAGTGCTCCTGGATCTCGGTTACGACCCCAATCAGCGAAAATTACATATTATGGACGGGAGCAAATCTTCTGAGTCATGCCCAATACTTTGCTGGGCTCTTGTTCAAGCAAAGAATAACATATCTGACGCGATTATTAAAGTACTCGTTGACCGCGGTGCAAACATCAATTTCGTTTTACAATCAGGCATGACTCCTGTGCTGCTGGCTATAAAACAAGGCAGAGCAGACATGGTTGAAAAACTAATCAGCAAAGGAGCCATACTCTCAGCCTCTGAAGCACACGACATATCTCCTCTAGCTTTGGCCACTCGTCTTGGCGATTCCAAGATCATGGAGATACTTCTCAGGGCAGACCCCGAACGCAACGACGGAAGCCTCCACGACGCGGCCACCAATCTGAAATGCAATATAATCGAGCTTTTGGTCGGACACGGCCATCAAATTGACTATCCAAGCGAAAGACACGACGGCCGCAGTGCTTTGGCAGAGCTATGCTTTAACGCTGTTAACCGTAGCCCAAAGCCGGATGCGAAAGAAATTCAACGAGCCGTCGAGACCTTATTGGCTAAAGGCAGTGATTTCATGATTCGCTGTATTTCGGAAGACAAACAAGAAAGGTCAATTTTCCATTACGCTATGGACTCTTCGGATCCTGTGCTTATCCTTACTGTCCTTCTGAAGAAGCTATGGCAAGGGATCAATAACGAAGCATTTCTTTTCAAGGACGCAAAATATACGTACTCCCTCAGTATGTATGTCAAGAAGGATATTTTCAAAGGGCCACAGGACCAAAAGGAAGAGATCCTTCGATTATTACGCACCAAGCGAGCAACTGACAGGTTCTGGGCAACCGATATCGAATCTGAACAACCCCCAGACTGTTGTAACCCACCAGAAGAAATCAAGCAAGAAGCCGAGCGTCAAAAGCTCCGTCGAAAACGTCTCACTGAACAACGTGAGGACATCATAAACCACAATGAATTAAACCGTCTCAAAATGATCAAGGACATAGAACTCCAAGACCTCCAAGCCACGGCAAACCTCCGTCGTCTTCAAGAAAAATCAAAGTCTGAGATCCACTACATGACGCAAATCGCCGAGACAAGACTCCAACTTGCGACGACCGCAGAGCAAGAATCCCTACGTCGACTAGGCTATCGTCAGGACCGCGAACTTGACCACCTCAGAAGTCTCAGCGATGTACAGGTCTCCACGCGCAAACAGCTGGCTCAAGAAAGTCTTACCGAGGAGCAAGAGAGAACGCAACTCCAGCTTGACTTCACGACTAAGAAGGTTGCGAGTGAGAATGATGGACTGAAGGCTAGGTTTGCTATTGAAGGAAGCGCGAGAGAGGACATGGATGAGTATGAGAGGAGAAGACATGATAGGGAGATGGCGAGGATTAATGTACAGAAGGCCCTTGTGGAGGGACAGACCAGTTTGGCGGCTGTGGTGCAGGCCGGTGGAGTCGCACAGAAGCAGATTGGGTATATTAGTAGTGCAGATTCGTCGACGGATGGGTTTGGTGGTTTTATGTCTGAGAGCTGATGGTGTTTTCAGCGTTTTATGATGTTTACACGATTTGATGGTGGTAATGAGGCTTTGAAGCTTTCAGGCTTTAAGAATGGTGTTTACAGGATCTGATAACATAGATGTGGCTTTTAGGCTTTAAGGATGATGTTTACAGGATCTTAAGATGGTAATGTGGCTTTTTAATAATGTTACTGTCAACTACAAATGAACATAATTTCAGAGTTAGTCTCTACCACAATATCACTTATTTATTGAAAATCGTAGACGAAATATCCGATAGTGTTCCAACCAGTTTGACGAAATACACGATATTTAATCCACCAGGTCAAATAAATGTTAAGTTTCGATTGTTATGTATATCTCCTATGTCTACCACGAGTCGATATAAGTTGAAGCCATTCCTCAATGTAAGCTGCATTATCCACTGAGATTATAGACTGACATGCACGATATTCAGACAACCCAACCCACAGAAACGATATTAAAAGGCTATATTTCCACTAACAAACGCCGCGCTATGATAAATCTACCAATCAACCACACGTCAAAAATGCTATAAACTACACTTAAAAGTTATCCAGAAGAATATCTATCCGCATATCCCCCAACCCGCCCAGAGCAGAGAACACAACCACCTTCCTCAAAAACCAATAGAAAAAACCAGCATACAACTAAAACGAACTCCTCTCAACAAATCTCGCGTCACCATGGGTATCATCATCCTCCCCGCCCGCTCCCTTCACCCCCTTCGTAACTTTGTCAACAAAATCAATCTCCTGCGTAGTCCTCGCCACCACACCCCTCCCATCCTTCTTCTTCCTCGCGATCTTCTCGCGACCCTTCCCCTTCCTCCCCTCAAAACTACCTATTTCCAAACCCTCAACCGAGCTATTCCCCGCCGTCCTCATACCCCGAAACTCCTTGACCACTTCCGCGAAACCTTCTTCGAGAGTTTTCATGCGCGCAAGCATAAGACGACCCATCATGCCATCCGTGTCTTCTTTTCTAGGCACGCTAGATGCAAGGCCTTTGATTCCCCCCATGGCCATCGCCATTTGGGTGGCGAAGGAGCTGGGGACTGCGCCGAGCATGTTGCTTGGGTTTTGGTCGAAGCCGAGGTCTGACATGCCCATGTCGAGGGACGATTGACGACGGCGGATTTGGCGGGTTCGAGAGCCGGCCATGGTGGAATCGAGGTTGAAGTTGGGTACTGATTGGAAGTTTTGTCGGTTCGGGAGAATGGGTCGGGCTTTTGTGTTCGCGGTGGTGTAGATGGAGTGTCTAGGGGTCCGACTGCCAGTGGCAGCGCCCGTGACTGGTGTATGGGTACCGGTGTTTGCAGTGGAGGCTCGCTTTGCCGTATGGGGTCGCGACTTGGGAGGCGAGTCTTCTGATGATGTTTGGTGTTCAAGAGGATTATACAAAATTGTATTCGTGGACATCTGCCGCTTGTGGGTTCGAAATCTTGGTGGAGATGACTTGAGTGCTGCAGAAAGGGCAGACTGCTGATTCTTCAAAGAAGATATCGAGGGCAGGTTAGGATGACCTCCAGTCGGTGTACGAAAGTAATCGCTCTCCTCTCTTTCATTGTCCTTCTCCGAACCATTAGGGTGGCTTCTAGATTTGTCCAGAGTAACATGGTCGTCATCGTCGTTGGTAACCAATTCATCATCTCCATCTGCTTCTTCTTCGTGCCCCAGTACTTCATTATTGAATTCGGGAATGTTCCCTTCCGCATCGTGAAATGGCCCAGTGGACATGAATTCGGCAGGGTCACTAGCAACAGACCTCGTTCCTGATACACCACGGTGCCGAAGCATGGTTGCTCTCCTCGCTTGTCTTCTCGTCTCCAGGCGATCAACGACGGAACGGTCTTGCTCTTGTGGAGGGCTCGCTTGATCTCCTTGATGGTCCATCCAGTTGCTAACAACATTGTGCTTTTGTCGCCGTTCCAGGCTTTTCGTATTGGTACGGATTGTATTCGGCCTTGGTGCGAGCCTAAAAACTTCATCCAAAGCACGGTCTTTCTGGAATCCCGCCACGGACTCCTGACGCATCCTGACGTTGGGGCTGAATAGTGATTTACTCTCATTGAATGAGACATGTCTATTCCTACCGCGCTGTTCTACAAGATCTGTCGGTTCAAAAACAGTTCTTGCTAAAAAGACCTTCTCATAGGCGTAGATGGCGAACAGCAAAGGAGAGTGCGTAACTTTTATAATTGTCCGATTGAGTTTGAGGAAACCACGAAACGGCAACCCGAATCTGAGAGGCGCCAGAAGCCAAGCAAATATATTGCTAGGAGCCACATATGAGAACAGAGCGTCGTTCTTGACCATAGATATGGTGTTGACGGCGAATACGAATTGATGTTCCTCATTCGCATTTGACACAATTGCCATGAAGGAATTTGTGAGAACTGTGATAAGGATTGTTACCACCAAAAAGTGGCATATGAACAGGAAGAGCACTAGTATTGCCTTTCCAAGCGGATTATATCCTGGCCACGAATCCCAAGCAGCAGGAGTAAAGCCCATAAGGATTTGGAATATCTTATAGGCTACGGTAGCCGCATCGTAGTCACCAGTGCCATTGCGCTTAAAGGACAGGGTAAATGCTACAAAGAAGCCACTGCAAGCAATGAGGATGAGGACAAATACAGCCACCAAGTCAACAGCCATTAGACGGAACGCTATAAGAAGTTGCGAGAAGTATCGGTAGTGGTCCAGGACGCTGAAAAGCCGAGGGAATAGCAAAATGGCGTTCGTCGCCAGAACATCATAGGCCATACTGTCCCATTCATGCCTTCCGACGTCCACCAAGAATAAGCCATAGAGTCTCATGGAGTAGTAGATCATCAGAAGAAGAAGAATACCAAGGTCAAAGGTATTCCAGAAGCTCATGATGTATAAACTAAACCCTTGCTCATTGAAGCCGACTACTTCATCCAGCATGAAGCCTGCGCTCCAAAACCAGAATATTACCTCCAAGCCAGTGATGTCAGTCGAACGCTGCGCAAGTACTGCGACAAACAACCCAAGAAGAATCGCGAGTGAGCAAGTGGAGAAGAATTGACGATAGCGAGGCACTCTCAATCGCGAGAGCTTGAAAAGAGAAGCATCTCTTGGATCATACAATGTCACAGTTCTGCGCATCTGCACCGGGGGAGCTACCTGCTTATCTGGTGAAGCCCGCGGATCTGCAATAGCACCGTATCTAACATCTTGATCTGGCACCAAAAGATGTCGCCGATCACCAGTAGTCCTCCTTGGGAGTGCTGGCTTTGTGGCCGGACGTATTCGGTGTAGATTGTCTGCCGCAGAGTGAAAAACAATCGTTCCCGCCCATATGGCTTCAAGTTGCTGAACTACCAGTGGATGGGCCAGAAACTTTTTCGCAGACGCCCTAATTGCTACTTCCAAAGTTGATGTTCGAGCCGCTGCTGGTCTGGGGGGGCCCTTTGGCTGTGGTTGCCCTGGTCTTGCTATACTGGGAACTTCAAACCCCTGAAGAGGAAAGAAGTCGTATGACAGGGCATCAATGAGTTCCCGAGTGCTGTATTCCTTCAAGAGCTTTATCGCTAGTAATTCGCAGACCATGGCCCTTGTCTTACTCACTCCAGCATTTCCTGGATTTGCTTGGCCCTCCTTTTGGAATTGCAAGCAATTTGCCATCAGCGCATATAGAGTCGCGCGCGAGAAGTGTGACGTTCGCAGTTGCTGTTGCATCGGCTTGACGAGGAATTGGGAGACTTGAGGCGATCGCAGTTGATCCCAAGTCAAGGTGGTTTCGGTCTTGGGCAAGACGATAAATCGTATCGCATGTGTGAGGTTATAGACTGGAAGAGCATCTAATTTTTTTGTTAGCCGCCACCTCGTTCGAAGATACGCCATGCAGAATGCTCACCTAGATGTGCTGCCGAAAATATAGGAAGCAAAGGTGTATCTTCTTCATCCTCGCCCCCATCCTCATCGCCATCATCTTGGGCATCTTCCTCGTCTACTTCTTCTGTGACATTGTTCGCATTGTCCTCGTCCTCCTCATCCTCTGTGATATCGTCCTCCGCCTCCGTCTCAGTCCAATCCGCAGTGGCATGGCGTATCTGGCGTTCTCGTCGGGCTACGATGGGAGAAGATTGATCTGGTTCTGGATATGGTGAAGAGAATGGAGATTGTTGATCAACGCGTTGTCGAGCCTTTCTAGGTCTGAGTAAAGAAGATAGCATATTCGCAATTCGCAGAAACAATTCAGCAGTTCCCCTCTTCTCCTCCTGCCAGCACTAGTCCTCCACCTCTGCCTACAAAACCCGAATGTGGCGTGAATGTTGTGGTTGTGTAGAACGCAACATGTCAAGGAGCTGGCTGAGCGTACAAAGCGACGGAAAGTAAATATTACCCATGCGCAATTAAACACGACTCGTCGACCCCCACCAAGGGTCTTTTAATTTCATGACTACCCGCGATATGCTAGGAATGGCTTCAAAAAATCGAGCGGATCAAGGACGTCACCTGGGAAGTCCTTATCTCTGATTCGGGCACATGATGAGGATTGTTATGTGCGTGTGGGTGTCGGAGGACCATACTGTCTCGCCGGCGTGGGCAATTGGTGTATCGAGAGTGGTGAAGAAGGGATAGTTCGCGCTTGACTGAGGGCAACATCTGCCCTCCATGGCCCCAAATATGCGGAGTGCAGAGCACTACAGGCATTAGTTACAGGGAGGGTCAGCCGCTGTAACCAATAATATTCGGTTTGTTCGGTGGATGGCTTCACCGCAAGATGCAACTGTAGATACGAAACTTGGCGGGGGCGGAACACTGCATAGGAAAAGGTGGTGGAGGGTCAGAATGTTTGAAGAATGTATAACAGTAGTTTCTAACTGGGAAATCATATCATAATCCGAATAAAGAGCATCAATATGAGTGATAAATGCAAGAGAATAAGAGCAACCTTGGAAGTTCCTTGTATATCCCTTGACCAATACAACTTTGCTATTCTTATGTTTCCCCAGGCCGATATGCAAGGCTGATTTACGAATATATGGAGTACTTCTCTGGCCAACCCATTATCTCTTAAAAGTCCACGCAGAAATGAATAATTGCTCCATTGCAACTAGAGTTTTCGTATCCAGGAGTTTTGCGGGAATCCGAAAACGAAACATTTCCCAGAGGATATTAGCATAAGAAGCTGAAATTGGGAAATGCAATTAGTTTTTCATCCACGGATTACCGGTGGAGAAGAGCCGCAGAGGTATAATTGCTATAGAGATTACATTAGCATAAGAAAGTATATTCACCATAGACTAAGGATTTGGGTATAATTCTCTGATCATTTGACAAAGACAATAATTGATATGATGCTATTGTTGTTCCTACCTAGGTAGTGTTTTGAGAGAAGGCTGGGCCTCGGGAAAGACGCCTCGCTAGACCCCTGAGCATACCCGGAATAACTGTTAATCCGCCTCGCGTCATCTGCTCCGTCGCATTCACCCAGCATGACTTTCAGCCGGACCAGCACTACGATATTATTCAAGTCGTTCCATTACTCACTTGAACCTGAGAACGACCTTTGGTTTTCTGTGTCTTGTAAGATTTCTACTTCACAATTGATTACTAGTAATTATCTTAATTATCAAACCACTCCGTCCTTATTTACAGCCAGACGAGACTTCTTTGCGCCCAGTCAAAACTCCTCCACCCCCAATTCGAAACAACCACTTCTCCAACCCACGAACAGTCCACGACAAGCACGACTTTGGCAGATTTACAAACTCTGGCATCATGGCCATGAGTCCCTCTCCCCAACTCTCGCCCATAATGGGCGGTTCTCACCGGATTGACCGTCAACAGTCAAATTCCCCCCCTCAGCAACAACTATCCAAGAGAGATAAAAAGCGAACTCTTCTTGCAGAACGACTGGCAGAAATCACACAACAATTCTCGGCAAACCGAGATGTACATTACAGGGAGCAGCTGCAGGCGCTGCAAATAGATATGAACTTGATCATGGAAGCCGACGGTCATGGCAAAGAACCCCTACCGAATACTCCCGCTGAAATCGATGAGTTGGTCCAAGAAAACATAAGGAGGTCTATGATGAAGTCAATTGGTCCTACAGCACCACCTAGAGCTGGTAAAGTCTTTGCAGACTTTGCGAAAGAAGTCAACGATTCAATGGAGGATAGAGATGCCGCCCTGGTTACCCACAGAGTAAGTTTTTTATGGCAAGCACACTTTTTGTGTCTAACGAGTATATAGAGAGACTTCGAAGTGAAATTGAGTGAGCTCGAAGCAGCTCATGCATATCGGAAAAAGCTTGCTGCCTCTGAGCATAAATCACTCGCAACTACTCTTCGCGATCGGTTAATCAATAGCGTTGCCAATAAAAAGAATAGATTATCACGGGACAAAGAATCCATGGAGATTGGCGAGAGCAATGCGTTGCTTTTACACCCAAGCCAGTTTGGCATTGCGAATCCTGCGAGCCCTGGCGGAATACACGGGAAGCGGGCGACGAGACATCGTCGAGAAGCAGAAGAACTACCTACTTTCAGTGAAAACAACAAGAGGAAGCGCAAGGCGCTAGAAAGCGACGAATCCCCAGCTCCAACAAGACAGAGAACAGACAATGGCAATAATACTCCTATATGGTTCGCAGAGAAGAATGCTCTGCATGCTTCACAAATCGACTCCTCCCTCTATAGCATTGACAAATTATTTACGGAGAAAGAATTGGCAATGGCATACAACGTCGCAGCTCTAGCAGCACACTCACATATGCAGCGACATCCTCCATTCGACGACGTCGAGTCACCACCAAACGGCAAGTCAGACGATACCCCCGAGAACGAAAAGAACCCCACCGTGAACGAACCCGAAAATGACGAAGACGACTCCCCTCCCGGTGGAGCTATGATGGAAAGACAGTACTCTCACGCAACCCGCAGCACCCGCGGCCTAGGCGGAAACTACGTCTCAGGCCTCGGAATCGACGCCTTCCACGACGTGAACTTCCCCGGAAACCTCCAAGCTCTCACCCGCCAAATCCCAAAACTCCCACCCATTCTCGCAATCCAAAAAACCATCGGCAAAGGCGAAGCCGCCAACCAGCCCGCGCCCCTCAACGCGGACGACGCAGCGGCCGAACTCGACATGATCCGTCGCGCGCGCTCGTACAACGATAAAGAAGGCTACGGCAGCAATCTTGATCTCGATAGCGTTGCTGGTGGACGCACTTTGCTGGAAGCCGTCGCGACGCCGAGGTTATATCAGTATTATGTGAAGAGTGATGATAAAACGCTTTATGGCATGCGGAATAGCAGGGAGAGGGAGGATGAGATGGGCGGGGAGGGGATGGAAAAGCAGAATAGCCAGATGAGTGAGGGGGGTGTGGCTATGAGTCGTCAGGCCACGGGCGAGGGACAGAGTAGTAGGGGGAGGAGGATTAAATATAAAGGTGATTGACGTGGTGGGTGACGAGTGGGTGGTAAATCAAAGGGGAGAGCATGGTGCTATGGCGTCGTGAAGCTGGGATGTTGGGACCGGAGTTCAGTCATTTTGGTACTTCTTTCTTCGTTGGTGTTATAGGGACCGAATCTCCTCGGCGGCGTTTGGTATACATAAGGCGTTGGGGTTTGTAGGAGGGCTGGTTACTCCCTCCTCTTGACTACCTAGGTTCGCTTGTAGATCAACCATGAACGTGGTTAGACATTTCGAAATTTCATATACGATATTCCTCTTCTCTATAGTCTTGATTTCCGGTGTTTTATATGCATTTTGAATGAGGAGGTTGGCGAGGTTGTGATTTAGTGAGGTCCTGGGTTTGAGGATGGGATGGGGGAGTGAAAGAGACGATGGACGGAAGGGTATAATATCATGAAAATGAACACTTGGAGCTTGAATACAAAGTTTTTTGTAGTTCATATCTAAATTCTTATTCATTATTCATTACCCTAATCAATGCCAGTACAAAATCACATATCATACAACACAATCATCTCGCTAACTCCCCCCCCCCTTTCTCACGACCTTTCCCAAACAACCCTCTCCACCATCTCATGGTCCAAAAACCAACGCCCGAACCTCAATACTATCCCGTCCCACCGCCCCCTCCGGCGTCCTCTCGTCCCTAAACGCCGTATGCGGCACCCGTCCCCCTAACACCCCACTCCCCTCCTTCCCCCCCTCACTATCAAAACACTCCAAAAACAACCTCTCATCATTCCGCATGCCACTCAAATAATGCCATTTCTGGCCCTCATTATACCGAATCCCCGCCGTCTCCCCCGTACGCTCCGGATACCTATGTTCCACCGGGATGAGATCCTCGTCTTTGAGCGAGGACGAGGAGGCGAAGCCTAGGGGGTTGGATTGCACGGGGCCGTTGAGGGGACGCCAGATATTGATGATGCGGTAGCGGCCTTTCAAGAGGGTTTCCGCGTCGGAGGGGACGTGTTGATGGACGCGCTGGGTGGCGGATTTGAGGGTTTGGTCGATGTGCACGCGGGATACGGGACCGCGGGGGGCGTTGGGGGTGGAGCGACGGATTGTGTGGTCGAAGATGACGACTCTGTTGCTGCCGGGGACGTGGTCTAGGATCAGTTGTTCGACTTCTGGGTAGTAGTTCTTCTTGATTGAGTCGTCGTTTGCAAATTCCTTTTCGGCCGAGGCAGCGAGGTGCGAGACTACTTTGAAGGCGTCTCGGTCGAGGGTGTATTCGTCTTCATGGCCCCGGATGTCTTTGATGGGGACGCGGATGTCGAAGTCGCCGAAGTTGCGTTGCGGTTCACCTGCTGGAGGGTCTTCCACGTAGTTGAAGGGGATGGATCCGTCTTCTGGTGGACGGAAGTAGTTTAGAGTGACGGTTGTGTCGCCTCTGGGGATGTAGCTTGAGGATGTGGTTTCTTTGGCGTTGGCCTCTGTTCGGGCGGATTGAGAGAGATTGTGGGCCAATGTGGCTTGTATTGGTGCTGCGGTTGTCATTTTATGGTTTTGTTTGAGATATGTAAATTGCTGAGGTGATGATTTAGGAAATAGATTGATTGCTCTTTTGGTTGCTGTTCTGGATAGGTTATAGATCATAAAAATCCAATGCTGTGGTGAAGTAAGAGATGATTGTGAAATGAATATTCTGATATTGTAGACAAATGAAAGAAGTATATATACTTAAATGTATTGTAGTACTTTCTGGTTCCTAATCAATAAGTGCTAGAATATTTGTAAGACAGAGCACGTCATCTCTCTCTTAGAAATACAGAGCCATCACGCCAGAGGTGGTGACTGGTTATTTGCGGAGAAATCAAGAGGCTTGTTACCATGATTGGTGAAAGGCGCATTTTTATTCCCGGTGTGCCAATGACACAATTGCCTGACAAGGAAATATTTGTTTCTGGAACGTCTTCTTGAAATGCGGAGAAGTGGCAATGGCTGCATAGCGTCAGACAAACCATCTCGGCCATCTGCCGGTATGTCACGTGGACGAAACGATATTAGCGAGCAAGCCGAGGCCATGGGCCCGATTTCAAGGTTGGAGAAGAATTCTTCTAAAAACGTAAGTATCGTATGGTATGAATGATATGGCGCTTGAATTCATCATAAATCGTAAATCATCGATCATCCCCCATCCGGTCGCAAACCATGCATGCCCCTACCAAGTTACCCAGTGCTCCTAATTCTGGAATGCACACCCGAGATATGCAACCAACCGTATCCTAAACTCCATGCAATAAATTTAACTTTGTTACCCACGAGGTAACATTGTCCTGAGAAGGTGGCTCTGCAGAAATTGTGAAATGGCGATCAACTTCCTTAGTGATTGCAGTCTGAATTCGATTTGGTGGTAGACTTATTCAGCATCCTGAGTAAAAGAGAAGGTTAGTAGTTTGTTCGACTTAAAAGAAAGACTTCCATACCCATACACACTCTGCTGCCCCTTGCTTGCAACTTTGAGATTGGAAAATGGCGTCTCAGACAGTCGTTTTCCTGATTTGATGCTCTCCAACACCCACTCGACACCAACATATTTCACCCCGCAGCCACCAACTCTCCGGATTTCTTTCTCCAACTTGGTACCACAGAGTCTACCGCCAGCACCGCTCCCAAGACCAGAAGGGCGGCCCAGTATAACGTGTGTGACTTGTCTTCGACCTAAGTGCAATGACAATCTCGCCCCATTTTCTGCCAGAGTATGCTTGAGTTTGTGATCCGAAATAACAGGGTGTGTACTGCCATTGATGTATATCACCAAGCCATCGAATATTCCTTTTTTCCGAAACAACTTTGCTTCTTCTTTCTCTTCGTCCTCTTTCTTCCTTCGCCCCATCAATTGCTCTTCGGTGCTAAGTGCTAATGTCTTGTTAGCAAAACAACCATCAAGCATTTAGGCCCATATAATTACCCTTTTTTGGCTGCCCAGTTTGCCCAGTTACCATATCCTTGACGCTATTCATTGCTCTTTCTCGAACCTCTTTAGGGATTAAGGCTTTTAGCTTTTCATCCCAGTCTTTGGATCCGGCGCCAACAGTATCAGAGACCCGTTTCCCACCGGTCTCACCACTCCTAAACTGGTGTGATAACTTTGTACTCCTTGATTGTCTCCATCCTGTTGATCCTCCTAGTCGATTCTCTGCCCGCTGGTGTCCAGTTGAAGAAGAGTTCCACTGTTTACTTAATGATTAGTTACTGGTTGTCTAAGAAGAACTCGGGAAAATCGCTACAAAGCTGCACCATAGGGATTCAACCCCCGCGGCATCGATGAGGGGATTTGATTTGTGAGGAATGGTAACCCACAGCATCAAAAGATGCGCCAAATTTGGGCTCTGCAGCAGGCAAGACTTGCGATTTTGGGGGCGCCATCATTGAAACTGTTCGCTCCGAGTTAAATCTATCCGAGGATCGACGTTATTGTAATAATAATGTGGTACCTATCGAATTTCCATGTTGAGAGGGCGGGCAAAAAGTTGCTTATGTTTCTGTCGAGATGCAACGATTCATTTCTGTTGTCGTTGACGTCGCGAAAAAGAGCCAGGTGGGGCATCTCCAGGGCGACACGACGCGATATCACGTGCCCATTATCCTGTTTAATCAAAAAGGTCAAATCAAATTCGTTTCTTCATTCATTCAAAGCCATCCAGGTCTGCCAAAGTAAAACTGTTATGCCGCCTCTCTCTTACTTCATTTTTTTGTTCTTATTAGTCTTCAGAATTCTGGCTAGCTTCGGAGCAGCTACCAACTTCAACTTGACAAGAGAATCAGGTCGACGCGTTCAACATATACATATTTTTCCATCTACCTTCCCACGCAAAAGGTACTTGGATTCTGTAAGATCGTCACTTGCATCTTTTCATGCATCAACTCTACCTCTACATCACAGCTACCTGCAGGAGTTCGCGGTACGGAATAGAGTGGCCCTAAGCTGGTTATGAACTGGCTAAATCGACCAAATCCAGAGAACCGGATTAGCTTCAAGCACGGCTTCTGCCCGAAGGAATCAAGCTCAGCCTTCGCTACACAGCATCGTCTCTGCTGTAAATAGCAAGTTAGACATATGAATTCCAGCTGCAATTTGCAATTGCAGAATTAGCACGATGTTGCAGTTACAAAACTGGTATGCACACCACTACCTTCCGAACCGCCGACTTCCAAGCGAGCTATCTTCAATTCTTTTTCGTCTTGAGTTTAAAAGAGTTTCGTCGATAAAGATTCTTGCCAGGTGTTGCACATGTATAAGTCTTACAACATAGACTCCAAATGCACACCTGCAAGAACCCGCGGTTTGTGCAGACCACCGATTTCTGCACAATCGTTGTCAGATCTGCTTGAAATCGTGAACGCGCTATGTCGTGCGTGAAAACATGATGCTCAACGACCGGCCCTGCTGCAGATTCTGCTCCGCCGCCATCGATATGCGTCTACACCACCGCGCAATAGTCACTTATAGCAGCAATGTTCAATGGATACTAACACTGTCTTCTGGGACGAGAGGGAATGATCTGACTGCCGCTTTTTGTGCTATAAGTTGCACATTATTAAAGTCCAACCAACCAACAAAGAGGCGGGTCGAAAGTGACTCGTCAGGGCACCTTCAATTGGTGGTACATGATCTCCTCGTCGGCCTCTCAAGATTAGCTATCTAACTGCATCATTGATATTTAGCTGAGTGGTTTTGATCCTTTGGGACACGAGGTTTCACGAACAATTCAATAGTTGAGAAAATATATTAGGGGTGCGAATCATTACGAAAACGGCAACTGGCAAGACACTGCTCAGAGCTTTCATCAATGCTCCGAAAGCGGGAGCATCCGCACTTTGATGCTCATAACGGCCCCTGCTTATAGTATGAGGGTTGCGGGGATCAATCAGACTGGTTAGACGTGGGAAATGCAATATGGAGAAGGATTGAGCCTATAATGGAATCGTCTTAACGAGCTGATGAGGTTCACGCCTGCAGCCCACACGTTTTCTATCGCTAGGTCCAAACCCTGCGGTATTATCCATTCCCATAACCTTGCAAAAACACTGAAAGGCTGGACGCTCTGGACCCTTTACAATACTTGCTCTTCCAGATAGAGATCGAAATAGCTTCCTGAACTGGACCGTCCAGATGACAAATCCCAACCTTGTCACGACTCCGGACTTCCTGGTGGCTGGCTTGTCTTTATCAAATGCTTGAGCTAAAAAAAATCGACAAGTATCATTGTGCTCAGACATTCGAGGCAATTACAATAATGATGGGATCTGGTGGGTTGTGGGAGACTTATGATCAGTTATTTCTTACGAAAATACCGCACAACCGATAGCCATCATTTGTACCTCCTAGTCGCACTTGGTATCTTAGTTGATAGAGAAAAGACGACGTTCAACCCACAAGTCAGCAATTCGAATAATTTTTTGGGCAAAGGACAACGATGAGCGCCGCTTTGCCCCGATTTCCTTTGATAGATTATTCTAGGATTGTTATCGGTCATGGCCAAAGCACGAATAGGGTTGACGGGGTTAAGTCAGGATGCCTGTGAGGGTGTTCAACTTGCGGTGAAGGCACAGTACTAACTACTCAGAGAAACCGACAGTCATCGCTTCACAAAACCAGCCACTCAACGTCAACGGGTTCGCCGCCCGAGAAGATAGATTAAATTATAGCTTAAGGGCAAGGGAAGTCACATTTTCTGTTCTCAACGCCGGCGCTTACATCATTAGATTTGAAGGCTTGGTAGGACTGAGTAAAGACTCAATACATAAGGCTTTAGACTCAAATTACAAAGTACTAACGTTTGTGTCTGTTGGACAAATAACCAAGAGCACTGGTCACGATCAAGCCATCATCGAGCATGGCAAGGAGGTGCTGCGGCCTTGAGATGTCGTGCATTCAACTACAGCAGCTGATTGGATCGGTGCGCCGCCAATTGGTTTTCTTGCCACGGAGTCGAAGATCCTTGTTCGAGAAGAGACGGACCGTTAGCCGCGCTTGCATGCCACGATTTTAGGCTCTGTTCCGCCCTGTGGATGCCATCGCTCAGAATCAAGAGCAGAGCCTAGACTAATCGGATGAAGGCATGGAGACTTTCGAGCACTGTATTTCTACTGACAGCCCATCGCCCAGCGATCTGAAACGGACGAAGGTTTGCCTTCGGGTGTTTGTATCACAAATCGATCGTTTACTACAGAGCTCGCAGGCCTAGACGATGAGAGGGGAAGGATATCTCGCCATTGCTAACTTTGTTGAGCTCAGCAGTTCGAACGTCATCTATACGACACTGAAGCTATATCTCTCTTCCAAAGCACGCTGGAAGGCGACCAAAACTTTCAACCTGTGGTACTGTCAAGGCATTCACTGGGAGCAGCACGAACACTGTCGGTTTGTCACCTCTTCTTGGATCTGAACGCTTTGTGGATTGGAGGGCTAGAGGGGGTTGCATCCTGCACAGCGTATAATCTCTTGGCGCGGGCAGGCTAAGCTCAACTTCAAGCATCCTAGACGCCTCTCGCGGCGGGGATGATGAGGAACTTTGTTTCTTCGCGACGACGTGGAGCTCTCCAATTGGGGTAGCCCATGGAGCAGCCCGCATCGATTGCCCTTTGGCAAAGGTGGTTTAAGAACTACTTGATATGTATCAATGGTGGCAATACTTTGGCCAAGCCAGTCTGACTTTACATCATACCTGTCGAACGTTGTACAGTTGATTCTTGCAATCACTCGTATGTAAAGCCTTCTTCGTTATCTGAAGAGACATGTCGTACAGGATCTCCAGAGGATCCCTCGCCTCAGGCTTCCTTCTATGAGAAGAGCATGAAACAGGCTAAGAAACCTTGTATCTCTTGAGTCCGGGTAGCTCGATCATTGGCTATGTTCGAGCTGTGTGTAGCCGCTCTGCAGCATGCAATGCAAGTGCTTCGGTGCACGAGCAGGGCCACATGTGTCTGGACGAGCTGCAGGGACCGCTGCCGGGAGTGGGAAAAACAGCGTCAAGGAAGGATAAGAAATCCGCTGGGGTGTAGCGGTGAGCTTGCCAACATACGTGGGTCGTTTATTGCCAATGGTCTCCTCAGAGGTGTCAGACAAACGTGACTCGTGGCCGACAGAGAGGCTCAAGATGACAGTCTCATTATCACAATGACTTCGAGACCGGGCCAGACGTTGAGCCTTCCGAGCTCAATTGTTTCTTCAAAAGCTCCCTTTGAGGGCTGGCTTGGCGCGCCGCAATTGTGCAGATGACATGCCACAGGGATATTCTCAAGAAAATCGAACCATTGCACGAAAGAGACAGGAAATCTGGAAAACTCTCAGAATTATATCGGATGATCAGTCATTGAAGGTCAGCAAGGTTGAGAGAATTTAGATAATGCGGAAAAGAGGACAACAGCAGTGATTCAGTCCCAGATTTAAAGCACATCAAATCTTGGGCGGGACTCGATGACGCATATCTAGTCAAAGGCAACGCCAAACTGAGAACGCAACTTTGAGGCTCTCTCGTGATGCCACACCAAAGTTCGACAGCGTCAAGTACCGGTTACCTCAAAGCCTAAGTACAAAAGTACTCAATTAAATGCTGGCTTCAAACCGTATGCTCCGTGAGCCAATAAATATACTGTGTTGCTTAATGTTGTGACTAGCAGATTATGGCAGACGGGCGTTAAACCACAGGTCTCGCAACCCAAAACTGGGATAATTGTGTAACGCTCATCTTGTATAACACCAGTCTCAACGGATGACAGTTGTGCCAAGTACGTATTGTCTGCAAACCCGAGATGAAGGATGGCTGTCTGTTTGAGATGGTTACATTTGACATCTCAAACGCCCTCCAGCATTAAGTCAGCGTTGGAATCACACATTCGAGCATGTTGAACAACTCTCCGGTACCGAGTTCAAGAGGAGGTCTATTGGAGCAAAGTCGACGGGACCTGTAAGTGGGCGGCACTTGACTTTCGGGAGAGGGAGCATCCATTTCATATCTCACCTCAGCATGAGTTACATCGTCGTCAACACTTTATTTGGTCGCCATAAGCTGGTGTAACCACAATCCTCCAGAGTCGGACAGCCCACAGTACAGTCAAGTTCGAGTTCGAGTAACTCAGCTGAAAAGTAAGATTGTCTCTGACGACTTCTCTATACCATCATCCACCCAAGTGATAATAGAAGTACATATCATCTGGATCACTTCATTGCTACACTCAAATCCTGAACAAACTTACTACAGGTTACCGTTCTCAAAGGCGGTTGAGTTGTGTGTAAAAGCTCCATTAATACCCAGGGTCTTCTTTGACGTATGGCATAGTAAAGTTGCGTCAGGGCTGTAGAAGGAAGAGAGTATTCATCACTGAATGAACCCTCCACCACACCTCGTTCATCTAGCCGACATTCGGATCTTTCCCATGAGGCAGTCAGCAATAAATATGTGCCATACAACGCCAGAAGTACTGGCTCGAGAACTTGATATAGCTCCAGCTTAATGCGAAGCCCAGATTCTCAGTGGTGACGGGACCTCGAACTCCTTACAAGCGATTGTATGTGACAAGGAGACGACGCAGGTTCTTTGAACTACAAAGGTTTGAACAAACTCTCTTTGGATCTCGATTGATCAAATCAAACGAGGATAATCTTCGTGGTAGGGAAATACAACAGAGGATTGGAGGCTGGCTCGGTTCTGCTTGCAAAGAAAGGATGTGCAAAGTTGGACAGTCCTACAACCTCTACTGGAAAATAATCGGACTGAACTGGATAACTTTGAGTATACAGTTTGATCTTAGGGCTTGCCCTACGAGACTTACAAACTATTTGCTAATTGGTGCTATATTGCACCGCCAGTCCCCAGGAAGCAGGTCGCTCGTATCGATATCGTTTTCAATGTGCTCGGCTTGAATTCGATCATTTAGACAATTAGACTGTATCGCTCATCGCATTTAACTTCTGCACTCCGGACTTTTGCCAGGCAGAGCAGCTCCATCCGGGCTGCATATCGTGGATCTCAAACTTTCTGCATCGTGCGGCGCTAGAGAAAAGTCTATCGGAGAATTAGTAGGAGCTAACTATTGTCCGGCCTGTGACCCATGCCTTGTCATTTTCCGACTCTGATGATCTGATGGCTTCGTCCTTCGTACAGTAACGAAAGAGCTGACTGCATCTTTACTCTTCCTGCAGCTGCATAGCGCACCACGGGACATTTCGCTATGTCAACCGCTCTTCCAAACCCTAAAGACTGTTTGTGGGAACTTTACACCACTACGAGAAGTTTGACGACATATTTGTTGCACCAAGAGGCTCTAAATCGATTCAATATCAACCGTTCGCCAGTGGTGGTTTTAGATGGAAAGGAGGTCATCGTGTCAGGGAGAGCACATTGGATAAGAGAAACCCCGCCATCAGAATCGGCGCGGGAAACATTGAAGGGTATCGCCGAGAGCTGTTCACCAAAGTCATCACGTTCAAACGAGTTGTGAGGATTATTGTTCCAAACCTTTCTGGACAAGAGTCTGATCTATTTCGGATGACCCGTGGGGAGCTTATTGTTGCTGATATACACAGCTTATTCACACTGTCACCCCATGGCAAAGGGAAAAGATTTCCAACGCCATCGGGATGCCGTAATCGAAGATATGAATCGTCAATTCGCTATCAGTTGATTTGCAGCGTCAGGATGCACCGGGGATCAGATCCGCGCTGGCTAGAACTGGGTTGCATGCTTCGCTGCCGACACTTCCAGGACGACATGCCCCGCTAGCGCTCAGTGCTCGATTCTTGTCCAAGCTCCTTCGGCAGGTCTTTAGTTTGAACATGTACTCCATACGTCGTACAGGACCAGCTTGCAGCCACAGGTCAACATGCAGCTTGCACGTTGCTGTCATCTTACTTCTCTACAAGCGCACTGGTAGTTGGTCGTTTCAGAAACCCTCATTGTGAGAAGATGGCGATACAAGATGGGAGGATTCTCGAGCCGGTCTTCGGCTGGAAATATTCCACAAACCGGGGTTGGGCCAAACTAGGAGTTTTCTGCGACCACCAGATCTCTCTGGCGTCTGACGAAGTGGGATAGAATAATTATTGTTTGTTGTCAAGGACCAGGAAAGCTTGCGTGATCGTGGACGTGGGCCTTGCGAGAAAACGGCGGGCGGATCTTGACCACTCTAATTCTCTCATGGCTCATTCTGATTGATTAAGTGGCCAGAACCAACCCTTTTAGGTAAGTGCTGGGAGTGGAGTCTGTGATGATTGACGTTGATTGTGGAGGTTCACGCACCGAAGCGTTTTCGCTTCTGACATGTGTGGTAGAGTGGAGTGGTCTACAATGCCACGACGGCCACTGGCGTAGAACGGTCTACGAACTTGTCAAAACCGAAAAAGACCTCTCCACTCTTGAAAATCCGCGATGAGGCTACTGTATGAGCACGCCAAAACAGCAGAAACGCACCGTACCGTACGCGTCGCCACTACTGTTGTTTTTTCCGTCATCGTCAAGACCGAGAGATCCAACGTTTTCCGTACATCGCCAGATATGTTACGCCCGAGGAAAAGGAGGGGTATGACTTGGTCCACCACCTGGAGGGAGGAAAAAACCACGCTGATCCACCGTTGAGAGGACAAAACGAGAAACCCACACTCCCACCACACTACCGATCCACACCAAGCCTGACCACAATCGATGGAGTTGTTATCGGCCACGATAGCGTTATCCATTCCTACTGTGCCGCACTCCGAAAGGGCTTTATTGCTTCATTAATGATTATTACTACTGTCAGCTCGCTGACCATTTGGTACAATTCGAGTTTATCCTATGTTAGCGTGCCATGTCGTTGAGCGAGTGGCTGTAGCCAGGCGAGATGGGAATAATCGTGACAGAGACTGACTGGCTACGACCCGGTACTGGCGTGCTGGTAGCACAGAAAGGGAGAAGTTCGCTGTCGCTGTGTTTACGGCATTCGCGGGACTTGGTTCGACAGCGCCAGATTATTTGCTCTGGTGGCTTTCTATCATTAGCTACCCGATCCGCTGCTATTATCGTCGCTATCACCGAATGCTCCGAGTTTCAAACGTCTCTACCGGGCTGAGGTACCAGCCTCCCTCTTCGAGCACGTCCGGTGGTACACTTGGAGTACAATGGTGTTTCTCTTTTCCTGCCCTTTTTCCTGTCTTTGTACCACGAGTAGATGCTGCACATCTCCCCTCCCTTGAGGCTTGAGCTCCTTCACACAAAGCTCGCCAACGCTTCCTCCGCCTGGTGGCCCTGGTCAGGTCAAAAATGGAGCTGGGTGGTGCTGGGGGCTGGTGAGAGTTGCTAGGCTCCCTGGCTGGCTGGTTGAGCTCTCTCGTCCCTCTTCCCTGTCGGCCGGTCTGGCTCACTGACAACCTGGTCGTCTCGTTTAACACTGGCACCGCTGGCGCATTGTGTATGGCCTAGCGCGAACAAGGTGCAAGAATTGGCGCGAGCTGCTTGCGAACTTGGCGAACGTTGGGACAAACTTTGCTCGAGCTTCGCTGCGCACACGGTCGTCATTGATGGAGGAGTTCCGCGCGTATTTTCCCTTGAGGCTGGCAGAGAGTCGGTGGTGGGGAGAAGAGGGCCTGATGCTGGATCTCCCCAAGCAGCAGTGAAGCCGGCTGAAGTCAATTGACACGTCTCGAGAGATTCCAATGTGATCTTCAATGTAGAGAAGGGATCACAATACTCCTCCCATCTTCCCCAGATTGTGAGTATGATATCAAGCTACATACGACGCACAGCACGGTGTGCTGCGAATTGTTTCCTCTCGCTGTGTCCTCCCGGCACTGACAGCTCCAGCAGCCCCCCGGAAGAGAGCCTGCACAGTGCACATGCACAGGCTTGCTCCCAGGTCTGGTAGTGGCCTTTGCACTGCATCGCGAGCCCCGAGAGCCCGATAGGACTCTCGATACAGGCCTTCTCCCGCTGCATCTGGATTCTGTTTGTCCGCCACGCAGCGTCCAGCCGGCGGTTCTGCTTCTCGTGCGTGGGCGTCTCTGCTTGTTCATCGCGGCTTCTGCACTGGCTCTGTCTCTGCTTCGCGTCTCTGCACTGGGGAGGAGCGCTGTGGGTGTTGCTTGTAGCGTTTGTACTTTGTAGGTGTTTAATAGGTACAGCACTTACCAATGCCTGCATAATAGCATATGGGCGTGCTATGGGAGGCTACCTCACTGTCATCAATCGTAGGGTGTCTACCCCCAAATACTGCCCAGGTGTTTGCCATTGACCACCACCACAGAAACTACTCGCACATTTCTTCTCTCTTCAGTCTCTTCAGTTTCCCTGTCCGACTCTCTCGGATGCTCGCCAGTCCTCCCTCGCCGCTGCTGCTTTTGGACGGCCTCCGCTATCATCTCTCCCTTTATCGCACCCCAACCTCGCTCACCAGCTGCTAGGATCCCCAACCGTACCGTTCAGAGCAAAGAAGAGGAAGAGCACGGAAGCGAGGGGGGTTCAAGGGGGTACCGCCGTTGCGCTACAGCCACCCCTCGCCTGGTCGCTCCGTCCCGCTATCACCGCACCCTCGTTTTTCCTCCTTCCTCCCTCGCCCCACTGTTTCTAGACCCGCTTTTCGAGTGGCTCGCTCCCAACCACCCATCGCCAGTGCCATCCATCCTCCACCTTCCCCAATCCGCCGACCCTCGACCTGCTCGCCCATCCAACCTCCACCTTCTTTTTCCTTGGTAAGGAAGGTTGTAGGTTCTGCAGATTTGTATGTTCGTCAATCTTTCCAGACTCTCCCCGTCTCCTCTCCCGCAGCTCCAATCTAGCATCACCGTCCGTCTTGTTTTCTTGAGCGCGAATCTGCATTGATTCTGGTCGACATCCGCTGCAGCGCTGACGAGAATCCAGTACCTGCATTAGAGGTGGCAGAAGCAGCAGCAGAGTAGAAGCAGAGCAAAAGCAGAGGCAGAAGCAGCCAAACCGTCCTCCCAACGTTCAAACGAAAAAACAACCACCGTCCATCTTGCAGCTACTCCTCCTCCCGGACCTGCTCAACACCCCAACCTCTTCTCCCCTTCTCTTTCTCCCTCCTCCCTCTCCTCCTCCTCCTCCTCCACCATATCCCACTCCGCATATCTCCCACCCACACACCCTATCTGCAAACCTGCACCTCCGACGCACTGCCTCCTCCGCAGTCAGGATCCTACCCAAGACAATCAGTCGACCCTCATCCTAACGCACGAAACATCGCACGTCTATCCAGGTCCCGGCAGCCTCTTCTTACGAGCATAACGATTTCCTAACGACGTTCGCATCCTCTGTTCTAAAAGCACAGGTCCAAAAACTTTTCGAAGCGACCTCCTCCAAGCACAAGCACACCTGCAGCTTCGCGTAACGGTCAAGCGATTCCCAATCCTGTCGTGGAGCTTCAATCGCACCTTCCAATTGGAGTGCCAGACTTCCGTTTTCAGGATCTTCTTTCTCTTAACGACTTCTACGAGCTACACGTCTTGCTTTTCGAGTCTGAAAGTTTAACGAAATCATCATTCTGCGTCTCATGCATATTTTGGTCTTCCAACGATAAACAACACGAAATCACCAACGCGTACCATTTCCACGACACGAAGTGCAAATACGTCGAACTCGTCTGAAGTCTCATCAAGTTTCTCAAGCGTTTGTTCGAATCGTCAACGACACAGCCATTGCAACGTCTCCCAATCCTCAATTGTACAGCTCGCATTGGAAGCATTACTAGAGCTCACTCTCCCCCACACACCAGACCAAGACTCACGAAAATCTCGTTGAGTCTGCCATCCATTGTCCCTTTCGGACTTGTTCGCTCAAACCGAAAAACTGGATCTCCCGTCGATCTCCCAAGTGCAAACCCGGGGACCCTCAGACGTGCCATATTACAATCATCACGCTGCTCAACGGCCGTTGTATGTGAATGAAAGGTTGCCCTCCCTTCCTCTGCCGCAGCCGCAACAGGCGTACTCTTCGGGTACCTCCTCTCCCCGGGTTGGATCACTGAGTTCTCTCGGATCGTCCTCCATCTTGAACGGGAGTTCGCATTCTTCATATACAACCGCTTCTTCATCAAACGGACCAAAAACCCCTTCGCCGACCATCCCCTCCCACGTTGGGCTTCCAGTATCCTTATCGCAGACATCCTACAGTAATACGTCGCCCTCCGGCACTGCCTATTCCTACGGGCAAGAGTCATATCCCACCATGAATCACGGTCAACAGGATATGTACTATCAATCACATATCTCAGCAGGGCAGCCACCACCCCCACAAACGGTGACATCTGGCGGTATGGGGCATTATCCACAACAGCACCAGCAGCCACCATTACTTCAGCCTGGGCCAGCACAGTATGCTCCAGGACCTGCGCCGTACAGTCAGTATGGCTATCAAAATGGTATGACCTCTCCACAATCAGCTGGTCATCAAGTTCCAGGCTCAATGGGTCAAGGAAACGTTCTCCCACTGCCAGCGATGGCCGCGGTTCAACCCGGTATGCCAGGTCAAGGTGGGTATGGTGGTCAGCAGGGTTTTGATACCACTGGCCAAATTGCTCCACCAGGAATGAAGCCAAGGGTGACCGCAACATTGTGGGAAGACGAGGGCAGTTTATGTTTCCAAGTTGAGGCCAAGGGAGTGTGTGTTGCCAGACGAGAAGGTAATTAGTAATGTTCTACCGAAGAGGCGGCAAAGCTAACTAGATTCCCAGATAACCACATGATTAATGGTACTAAACTGTTGAACGTAGCTGGAATGACCCGTGGCCGAAGAGATGGCATCTTGAAAAGTGAAAAGATGAGACATGTGGTCAAAATCGGGCCAATGCACCTGAAGGGAGTTTGGTATGTGCTTTAAAATTTTGTTGCACTTTATAAGGCTAACCTTCCCGCAGGATACCGTTCGAGCGTGCTTTGGATTTTGCGAACAAGGAGAAAATTACAGAGCTTCTGTATCCTCTGTTCGTTCACAATATCGGTGCTCTTTTGTACCACCCAACCAATCAGACTCGCACAAATGCAGTTATGGCAGCTGCTGAGCGACGGAAGCAAGAGCAGAATCAGATGCGGAATAATACCCAAGCACCTGGTTTACCTTCTCTGCATCAGCATCACCATCACTCGATGAATAACTCAATTGGTGGCCACCTCCCACCCGCACCACAGCATTCCCTTGCACCACATCCTGTTGGACGCCCCGGCATAGACCGAGCTCATACCTTCCCCACTCCACCCACGAGTGCTTCAAGCGTGATGGGCAACATGGGGAGCTCGGATGGAAACTTTCAATGGGGCCAACCTCAGGGCGGAATGCCCAATGCGCAAGGTTCAAACCCTCTCTCTATCGATACTGGGTTAAGCAATGCGCGATCGATGCCAACGACCCCTGCCACCACTCCTCCTGGCAGCTCCATTCAAAGCATGCAGCAGTACCAGCAGCCACCTCAGCAGCCGTATGATGCTTCCCGACAGATGTACTCTGCGCCACCTGCTCAACAGAGTGTTTACGCTCAACCTCCAAACGGCCAACAAAATATGCCTCGTTATTCGCAACCAAATTCCTATATCAAGAGTGAAATGGGTCCACCACTAGCGAGAGCAGGAGAGCCTGAGCACCACGAATCCAAGGATGCGAATGGGATGATTCATCACCCGCAGACTCAGCAACAGGTTGGTCATAGTCAAGGTGAAGAGGAGGCAGATCATGAGCATGATGCGGAGTATACCCATGACAACTCGTCGAATTATGATGCGAATCGTGCATCATACAACTACAACCAAAACCCAGCAGTCGGTTCATTACCAAGCGAACATCCTCATTTGTCCCCTGAAATGACAGGCTCTCCAAATCATCCTGCCTCCGGACGAGCCACTCCAAGAACGGCTTCCGCTCCTCAGCCATACTACCAGCAGCAGGGTGGTTACAGCACCCCTCCTCGTGTACCACAACCACCATCCAGTAATCTGTATAATGTAATCAGCAGTGAACGTGGGACTGCTAACGGTAGCACCTCGGGCGATGTTTATGGCTCCCAATCAGATTTGGGTAATTCGATTCCAAATGGCTATCCAAGTCAACAACCTGTTATGAACGGAGCTCCTGCCAGCAACAAGCGCGGGCGGGATGATGAAGATGATGGACGTCCTTCCAGCCGCGGACCAGGAGCCGAAGGTGAATTGAAGAGGCGCAAGACCCTTCGTGAGGATTCCGTTTCCGGTCCAGCTTATGGCGACGCCGCACCCCTAAACCGAGCACGATCAGTCATCACCCAAAGACGGCGGTAACAACGTGCATAACTTTCCCATAGTCAGACTTTCTGCACATTCTTTCCGAAGCTGAATCCGTCATATCCAGTCTTCTATATACCATTTGTCCCATGACATCTGGCCTTCGAACATATCACCACTCCAACAACACACTCTCTAGACTTTCAAAATTTCCTAGGACCACTTTTTTTTTAAACAAATGTTCTTTTAGTGGAGCTGAAAACCACACACCTTCAGCATACATGTTCTACCATGAACGATGGACGATTTTAACGACTTTTGTTTATTTGCTTTTATCGACTGCCTCTTTATTAAAAAGAAGAAGTTCATGTGGCTATGTATATGGCTGAATGATTTTAACGCTTTGCGAAACAAAAATGGGATGAATTAATCGAAGTTGCGAGGTATACGATCCCAAAGATACACATGGCTGAAAGCAATCGAGCGAAGATGAGGGGAAAATTTCGAACATTTTTTTTTGTTCGTCACGCCTATTAATGAACACCTAGGCGCCGTGAAGGAAAGGGGTGGATGGGATTTGGAAAAGAAAACTCTTCGAGCAGAAAAGACAATGCTTTGAGATTTTTCTTCTTCTTAATTAATACATCTTTTTTCTGTTGAAACTTTTCTTTTTGGTGGGGAGGGAGGAGCTCTTGTGCTTGCTACCTTTTTTCTTATGTTGACATTTTGAACTGTTTTGGTTTGAAAGCTTTTTTAACGACTATGATGACGATTTTCCTTTTGACTTGATGGCTCTTTCTTTTGCTTTTGCTTCAGAGGTGGGGGAGGGGGGGTTAGTGAGGGGGAGGTTTGGAAAAGTTGGGGAAGAGATGGAGGGGGATATGGAGGAGGGATTAGTCTGGACAGGGTGGTTGGATTGGGGAAAGAGGGGGAAGTTGTGAGAGAGGGAATGGGGCAGTTGTCTTTTTTATATTACTCGACATAAATAAACTTTTTATGTAATTTTGATAAGAGAAAGCCTTTGGTTTTTTATGAATGAATTTTTATGAGATGAAGTTGACTTTTTTTGATGGTATCTGATTGTGAGGGTTCTTTTGTGATAGTGATGGTGGTTTAGGGGTTGCGAGAGCCGAGATGGAAGGTAGATTTGAAGTTTCTACACATTGTACAGGGTAAGGATTTGTAGATGAGGATATGTAAATATATGAGGAAGTCGGAAGGTGTGTAACTCTCTTAGGAAGTAGGAAGTGTTTGAGAGGTGTGTTGTGTGGGAGATGGTGGGGAGGTGGGAGGTGGGAAGGAGATTGTTTTTGTAGGTATGGTCGTTGGAGGTATTGGGAGAGGGTTTATGGGAAGTGTGAGAGAGGAGAGGGGGTACGGGGGTTTGTGAGGAGGGGGTGAGTTTTTGGTGAGGAAGATAGGTTGTAGAGAGTGGGGTCTATGGTGGGTGGGTAGACAAGTGGAGGTGCTGTGGGAAGGGGTGGGAGGGGTTGGGAGAGAGAGAGGTGGGAGGGAGGGAGGTAGGACGGGGGTGATGTGGGAGAGGTGAGGGGAGGGGAGAGGAGAATTGTTGGGGTAGTTTACAGGCGAGGGGAGAAATGGGGGGATGTAAGATGTTAGAGAGAGGTGGGCTGGGAGTGGTTTAGTGGTGTTAGGGCTGTTAGGGGGGGTAGAAGGAGGGGATGGAGGGGGTTTTAGAAGGGATGAGGGGGTTAGGAGGGGAGGGGAGAGGAGTACTAGGGAGAGGGTAGATGAGGGGTGAGGGTAGGGAAATAGCGGTCTACGCTGGGGATCCGTGGGAGTGTATAATGGGAAGTACGTGCGAAGTAATAGGGGGTTGTAGGAATATATAGGATGTAGTGGAGAGATGGAAGAAGGTTAAAGTTAGTATTGGGTCGTAGTAGGATAGTGTAGAAAGGTCGGAAATTAGTAGGGAGGTTATAGGATGAATAAATTTGTGGATAGGGAAGGTATTAGGAGGGGGTGGATAGTACAATGAGAGTAGGTGGGAGATGCTGGGATTTAGTGGGGGGTAGTGGGAGATACGAAGGGGTGTAAGAGGGATAGGAGGGAGATGAATGGGAAGGGTTAGAGGGGTGAGGGGAAGTTGTAGGAGGGGGGGTTTCGTAAGAGGTAGGTGTAAAATAGGGAAATAGAAGGGAACACTATTTTTACACTTAAGTAGGTATAGGAAAAGGGAGGGAGAGGGGTATAAAGAGCGAGAGATATGTAGTGCGTACTAGAAAGTACTAGAGATTATAACAGTGTAGAAGTAGATAGAGGAGGGAAGTTGTAGAAGATACGTGTTTATAGCTAAGGGGAGAGGGTTAAGAGAAGAGGGGGGAGAGAAAGTATAGCTATTATCGAAGATTGTTAAGTGTTTTGTTAAGGAGGGAGTAGGTATTATAAAGAGAGGGAGGTTTGTAGTAAGTAGGGAGACGGGTGGAGGTGTTATGGGAGGGGGTAGGGGAGGTAGGGAGGGGCAAGAAAACGGGGTAAGAGAGGGGAGAGACGAGTAGGGAAGTTAGGTAGTTAGATAGAGATGTTTCTTATTCTTTAACTAACTAAATTAAATAGCGTGTAAGAGAACTTAGAAAGTAAGAAACGCCTAAAATAGGGGAAATACGGAATTGTGGTAAGGTGGGAAAGAGATATAGAAGAGAGTTAGGCGTTTTAGTTGATAAAGTAGGCGGCATGAAAGGGATAGGGGTTACGTTTCTTATAATGTAAAATTTTTTAGACTACGTTAATTAGTTATTATTGAAGAATCTTTTTTTCTTATTTGACATCATGTACAGTTGTATAATTTCCCATTATCTTACATCCGTCTTCCTCTATCAACTCCGAATTTAAAACCAGAACCGAGCCTAACCAATTTATTCCCAAACCCAGACACGCCCAATAACCAATTCCCATAATTAAACCCCATTCCCACCCTAATCATAACCTACAACTCCCACCCATCCCTCCCCTCAACCCACCCCAACAAGCCCTCTCCCTCCACCCCCTCCTCCCGTCCCTTCTTCCTCACCACCCCCCTCCCACCCCCCTCCCACCTATAAACCCTCCTCACACCCAAAGACAAAACCCACAACCCCACCAATCCCAAAAACACACTAATCACAATCACAACAGGCAGCCAATAATCCATAGCACGCCCAACAAAATACCACAACGTGCCCACTCTAACCCCATCCTCCCACTCCCGCACATCAACAACCAAATGACCCGGTCCCCTAACCGCCTCGTCTTTGAATCCAAAGAACCGAACGATCTTGAGCCAGACGGAGGACGTCTTTGAGGGTGGGAGTTTGGTGACGCGTTCGACGAGCTTGATGTCAAGTAGTTCGATCGTGCCGGATGTGTCGGTTATTTCGAGGACCAGGACTTTTTGCCCGGGTTTGGTGAATTCGATGTATGGGTCGTCTTGATACCCATTCAATCCTCCTATGATATCGAATACGATGGTCCATTTGTTGTCGGAGGTGGAGAGCGCGGTGTAGGAGTAACTCACGCCGTAAGCGCCCAAACTCGGTTCGATGCACCAGCAGTTATGTTCATCTGCGCAGGACGTTTTACAGGCGATTGAGGTGGCTAGATCTTTGTTTGTGAAGGGGGGTGGGATTTGGCCTATGTAGATACGTGGGGGTGGGAGACTGAGGGGTGGGTAGATGGGGATGGAGTTTAGGAGGAGGGCACGGGGGGTGAGTGTGAGGTTGAGGAACTATTGCAAAGGGTTAGCTGGGTAGGAAGGGGGAAAGGGGAGGGGGAGCGTACGAGGGCGTTCTCTTCATGTGTGATTTCATGGTGTGTATCCGGCCCTTTACGGTTTACAGTCGGACAATCCAGACATGGCAGTTTTGCGACGACGAAGGTCGGGGAGATGTGTGTTATTTCGTCTATGGGATTTGCGCATGTTGGGTTTGGGGTTGTGGTGCAGGTGAGGATCGAGTTGGCGGTTGTGGAAGCGATGAGGAGGGCGGTTATTAGGGTGGAGGAGAGCATTGTGGTGTTGTGAGGTTAAGGGAGGATTGCGAAGAAGCTATGCTTAGCTATTCTTGAACATTTCGTCGGTGGCGAGATGGGAGGTTGAGGAAAGCCATGTTGGTGGTGCTTCCGAATACCCGTTTATTGTTGGTTTTGCAAAACTATTGATTCTTAGCTCTTGTTGGCGGCGTCGCGGTGTCAGGTGATGTTGGTTTTTATGGATTGTCACGTTTGGTTCGAGCATGAATCTTTTCTGGAATTGAAACAAGGAACATTATGGAGACTATCAAAGAGTATGAAAGTAGGATGCAACGTTTGATTTTGGGGTAGCTCTCGTTTTGACTCGCTTACGGACCTTCCCCCTTTTTAAGCTATTCGTCGGCAAGTGGCATCCAAAACCCAACTGGTTTTGTCGAATTTGGAATGATGTTCGCAATTTTGCCCACTCATATGTGCGCAGCAGAGTTCAGACAGCCCTCGACTGAACAAAGACTTCTGTAATGCTGTAGGATTTCCTCTGCTCTAAGCGTGAACCGATGCAACTTTTCCACAATCCAGCTAGAATGATGCTCTTGCAAATCTGTCATAATTACAACTCGATCTTCTGATGCTTAAAACTCTTCTGTCCCTCTCCCTCCCCATATTCCGCAGTAACATGTCCCGCACCCCGAATCTTATACTTATAAATCATCAAACCCTCAAGCCCAACCGGTCCCCTAGCATGAATCTTATTCGTACTAATACCCACCTCTGTACCGAATCCGAACCGCATTCCATCGGCCATTCTAGTACTTGTATTCCAGAACACACCAGCGGAGTCAACACCGGACATGAACTGTTCAGCGATTTCCTCGGAGGATGTCAGAATCACATCAGTATGATGTGAGCCGTGGTTATTGATGTGTATAATTGCGTCTGTGACAATTGGAACTGTTTTGATAGCGAGAACGAGCGAGAGATGTTCGGTGTCGAAATCTACTTCTTCGGCGTCTTGTAAGATTGCTGAGGAGCTCTTTGGGAGATGCAGTGTTAGTGCTGCTTTGGTGTTGGCATCACAGCGCAGTGAGACTCCTTTTGCTAAGAGCGCTTCCGCTACTGGAGGGAGAACACTCTGTAGTGCTGCTTCTTCCACGAGTAATGTCTCAACGCTATTGCATGCTGCGGGGTAAGAAGTTTTCGAATCTACTACAACTCGGACTGCGAGATCTGGGTCAACGGAGTGTTCGAGGTAGATTGAGCAGATTCCGTCAGCGTGACCTAAGACTGGGATTTTGGTTGATGATTTGATGTAGCGAACGAGCTCGTTTGACCCTCTTGGAATAACCAAGTCAATGAATCTGTCCTGCTCGAGAAGCTGTGGGATGGCATCTCGGGTGGTGACAAGTTGAATGGCTGTATTTGGTACTTGGGTGTTTTCTAATGCAGCAGAAATGACTTTTGAGATTGCAACGAAAGATTCCGTTGACTCTTTTCCACCTGTTTCATATTAGCGATGAACATGATCCATCTTCGAAGAAGTAACTCGCCTTTAAGAATAGCAGCATTGCCCGACTTGATTGCTAAAGAAGCAATATTCGCAATGACTTCTGGACGTGCTTCAAAAATAATGAGAAGTACACCAATTGGACATGAAACTCTCTCCAAATTCAACCCATCATCTAGCTTTGTCCGCAATGTGACTTTGCCCACTACAGCGCAAGTTAGATACTTTCGTTTCAAATCTTCTATACCTCATACCTGGGTCTTCAAGTCCTCGTACATCTAAGATACCCTTCAACATATCCTCCCATTTCCCTTTCTTTCCAAGGTCTAACCGTGACAGTATGCTCAGACTAAGTTGGCCATTCTCAGCTGCTTTTTTCGCCAACTCAAGATCTCGAGCATTCGCTGCCAAGATGTCCTCTTTCGCTTCCGACAAAGCTGTGTGGATTGCTGTCAAAGCATCATTTCTTGCTGATGTAGGAAGTGTAGCTAATGTATGAGATGCTGATTTGGCTGACTTTGCAGCCTCATATGCCGAGGCGTTTGTAATTGACATTTTATGACAAAATATCAGCGAATTGTCGAAGACGGTCAATTAACACACTCCGGAGAGCTCTCAGGCCTGGCAACTTGTTGGAAATGTGGGATTCCTTTGTTTAGAGTTTCAGGATTTTTCAATCAGCGAATGAATTCACTTTTGAATATAAATCCCCAAGTCGGTAATATCGTCCTTCTGGAAAATTATAAATGTTGTTTTCTTAAAAGTGGCTAGACACTCGTGACTCAAAATATTTCTCACGTTGACATCGGAGTATCGGAGTTAAGAAAGCTCCAATGCCAAGACCAAGTCCCCCACTTCACCGACCCCACGATTTGATCACCACACCTTCACACCTCTAACAGGCAGCCTTGCCTTCACATTTGTTATTATATGATGTTCATGCAATAACAACAAGAATATTCTCTCCAAAACACTTCTCCTCCAAATACCGCAGACTTCCACATCTGTCGACAGGTCTTTCAAACCTACTGGCGACATACATCAACCTCGTAAGAAGGCACAAGCCTTACATTTGAGCTGTACCAAGTCGATAGCTCCCAGCATTCAAAACAAGAATCATAAACCCTCAATTGGCCTAGAACAAGATACAGACATCATGGACGATATACTCCCAAAGCTTCTCAATTTCCCGCAGCATCCCCCTCCTCCAAATCCGCTCTCCGACCAGCAGTATGACGAGGGGATACGCGCCCAGATCTCCGTTGTCAAAAATATCCCAAACTCGAAGCTATTACAACCTACTTCTGGGGGCGAGAACGTTCTTGATGTAAGAAGACGAATATGAAAGTTGAATCTGCGCTAATATGTTTGCAGATTATAAATCCATCTGTGAACTCTGTGCCATACACCTTCATTCTGATCGCAAATATCGAAGCCGCTCAGCGAAATGACAAGAATATCGATCAAGAAAACTTATGGAACAGCATCATAGCTTTTCTCGCGCAATTCGATCCACGGCAGATGCGATATATGCAAACTGAACTTTCCCAGATCCTAGATATATTCTCGAACATGGCGAGGCGCCATCATCAGGTACGTTTGAGAGCAGGAGCTCCATACATACACTGCTAATCATGTCAAGATTCCTACAGCTATTCCACACATCCGGGACGCACTCTTACGATTCGAGCCTACCGGCACACTTCTTACCCCCAAACATCTTCTACTTGTTAAGCTTGCTTTAGAGGCGAAACAGTTCGATGATGTCCTCCCTGTGATCGATAAAACAATCCTCTATATACCAGGCGCTGGTCATAGGCCAAGACAGAAATACCTTTGTAACATATGTCTTCCACCAGCCGCCTATATTACAGTACAGACGGGTTTCGTTGCGAAGCCTCTTAAGCATTTGGAGGTTCTGGAATACTTTCTATTGAGTGGGCAGGTCTACATTGGGCTGAAGAAGTGGAAAAGAGCGAGTGAATGTTTGGAAGTTGCTGTCACTTACCCAACCAAGGATAGTGGTCCCAGTAAAGTCATGACAGAAGCCTACAAGAAATGGATCTTGGTACGACTGTTGATGGATGGGAAAATGCCGGTTTTACCAAAAGTAACAAGCCCAGGGGCAGCGAAAGTTCTCAAAGTCCTAGGCAAACCATATGAAACCGTTGCTCAAATCTTCGAGCAAGGCACCGCATCGAGACTCAAGTCAGAGCTCGAAGCAGGAAGGGATCTCTGGACAACGGATTGCAACATGGGTCTAGTCATGTGCGTAATGGCAGCCTACCAACAATTCCAAATCAAAAACCTTGCGAACGTCCACACCAAACTCACAATGGTCGACATCCACAACCTCACCCAGAGTGCCGAAATCGGCAGCAAACTCCCCAACGCCGCAGCAGTCGAAACATTAGTCCAGAGCATGATCGCCGACGGCACTCTCCACGCCACCTTGTCCCATCCACCCAACCAATCTCCCGTGCTCACATTCTCACCCAACGGCCCCCTCCTCACGGAGAAACAGACTCAAGCTGCGCTTGCGGCGTCGAGCACGAGGATTAAAGCGCTGACGGAAGAGATCAAGACGACGGATCGCATGTTGATGTATGAGAAGGAATACGTGAATTATGCGAAGAAGATGAAGAAGAACGCGGCGGCGGGGTTGGAGCATGGGGTTGGTGTTAATGATATGGATTTCTTGGGGGAGGATGAGGATTTGATGGGGAGTTTGTATTGACGAGGAGATGATGAGGAACGAGATACTTGACTCGCTTTGTAGAGCGTGAGGGCGTACGCTAGGGTTTTGCTGCATTTTGCGATGGGCGTTGGTAGGGATATGATTTATGAACTATAGATGTGGTGGTGAAAAGAATGGAGATGTTGACTGAAGATTTGGTGTTTAGGGGAGATGAAGACACGAGGAGTGTGACAATAGACACATGAGAATGGTATCATGACATATTATACATAAGATCGACCAATTGCTCATAGAAATACTATCATTTGACGGTCGCCCGAACGCCGCTCTCAGTATTGCCTGCCTGCCGTACATCATATCTGTCAAAATGAAGAGAGATTCGACATCTAATCGTCCCATACATATCATGGTCCAGTCCAAAGTCATTCATCGTTCTTCATAAACACACTGACCCTCCCCTAATCAATATTATAACCCTTAATCAACTCCGTCAACTTCCTCGCTTCTTGCTTGAAATCAATCGGCGCAGCTCTCAGAACCTGATATCGGACCCTGTCATCTCATTAGTTTCATTACTTCACACAAAAGCGTTCGGAAAGGAGAGCACATACCTCTGTTGATCCTGATAAGTATCCATCTTCGCCCTACAAGTGAATGTATAGGTTTTACAATTCGCGTCCTCAAACGCTTTGTTCACGGCTTCATTATCCGTTTCCTTCAATTCCATCAATTGATCACCGTTCATACCCATGATCAAACGTCCGACATCGTCGAAACAACTTAGGTAGAAAGAGCCGGTATGATCTGAAACGTTGACGGTCATGATGAATCGGTGTTGGGGTTTCGGGTGGTTGATGTTGCAACTGGCACATGTCCAGTATCCGTTGTCTTCTATGACTTTCTTGTTGCAATTTTCGCTCGCGCAAGCCGGGTAGGAGATTGGATCTTGTTTGATGTAGACGATTGTTGCTTTGACTGCGAAGTAGTCATCTTTGTCGTTCATGCCTAGATTTTCATCTTTGACTTGGGCGACAGTCTTGAGCTCATTGTTGCGGCCACCAGCAGCTCCCGCCGTGGAGGTGTGAGCGGCGAAAGTCTCGCTGCGACCATTCGAATCATACCAGCCCTTCAGTTTGTAGGCTTCTGCGATATCTGGATCGATTGACATCGAACCTGAAGAGAGCAGACTCAGACTTTTGCCATTGAAATCGGAAACTTTGGCGCCTTTGAACGCGACGATTTGTTCAGGATTGGCGTCGAACTTTGTGGCTGTCTTCCCCCAAATGGTCATTTTCACTGAGTATCCACTGTCGTCGACCAAGGTGAGATCACGTTTGTCGTATGGCTGCTGTGTTGTCTTCGAGACAATCTGATTAACATCGTTGACCTCTTTCAGCACACCAATGACATCAATTGTTGAATCCTTCTCCACTTCCTGCAGAGCGCCAATATTTGTGAAGTTGTATCGTACTTGTGGCACATCATTCTGATCTTCACATTTTTCAACGATCGTGTCCTTGTCAAAAGCAAGCTCGTAATCATTGTTGATGTTGGAGAATTGCTTCTTCGCCAGATTGACTTTGCATGGACTTGAAATATAGTAAACTGAGCCTTCCTGGAACACGTCGTAAAGAGCGTCGCATTGTGCGTTGAAGCCAGTCGCCTTTATTTCTCCACTTTCATCCAACAGATTTACACTAAATAGCTTTCCCTCACTACTGGCTTTCGACCATGTCTTGATGTCTGATTTACTTGTAACTCGAGCCTTGATAGTCCATTTGTGTGCGTATGGAGATAAAGCTTCGATAGGATATATGTTTGAATGTGACGCAGAGCTCGAAGGACCGGAACGTTGTGGTAGTGACTGATGTTGCTGCGGCTCTGACTGTTGAGGTGGAGCTGCAGGCTTGTTCCCATAAAATCCATTTCCAGCGATCGTCGTGCTTGTCGATTTCGCATCGGGTGCTTTCGCTGCAAGAGGTACTGGCTCACCAAACTTTTCACACTCGCCTAAGCTTTCGATAACTTCAAGGTCGAGGATGATCAGAATTCTGAATATGTTAGAAAAAGACAGACTTTGAGATCCCAGGGTGCTGACTTTTTGCCTTTAACTTCGTTTGCCTGATATGATTTGAGTCGAACAATAGATCCTTTCTTCAGCTTTCCATCGTGTACGACATGATTTGCCTCTACCATCTAATCAGTTTCGATAGCCTTGGTAACTGCGGATTTGGAACTTACGAGTTGCAAGCATGCTTTGAACGAAATGGTTGACGTCGCTCAGAACGAGTCTATACCTCTCCGGCACGCCATCTCCTGTAGACCCTAAGGTTTTGATCTGAACACACTGGCAGACTGGTACTGGAAATTTGGATTCAAGTGTGTCTGGCTCATTGAAGATTGCGCTGTAATACTTGGTGAGTATTGTATCTTCTACAAAACAGAAAGCTGGAAAGTTCTCGAGACTTACTTTAACGCACCTACAGTAATGGCAGAGCGTGCATCTCCCATCTTGAATTCTCTAGCAAATGTGAAATAGTTGTTTGTGCTGAGTGGCGGGATCAAAATTTTGGTGTTATTGTTACCTATTGACGCGTTCCTAGCAAACGCGACTCCTCGTGTAAAGTGGAAAGGCTGCCTCGCTTATGAATTAGGTACCCCGCTGACTACAGCCACACCTTATTGTGAATACATGCCACCTTGACTTGTAGCTTGATCTATTGTTGACTTTGATCATTCGTGGTCAACCACATCTTCCTAATACACGTCACATATTTCTACAACATGTCTGAACCAGAAGTAGCTACGAAGGCTCCCGAGAGTGATGCTGCGGAGGGTACGACCTCTCCACCTAGTTTGGTGCCAGGAGACACCCCCGCCCAGAGCGGCGCAAGCTTGGGAGTACGTGGGCATCATGAGCATCGTTGATGGGGTAATGCTAAACTGTAACAGGAGCACTGTGTTACCGATAGACCAAGTCGTCAGTATTCTCCTGGGTTGCATGAATATAGCAGATGCAATACATTGTGCTGACTATATCAGCGTTGGGAGGCTCATCCGGAGAGATCACCAAACTTGGAGAGGTTGATACCTATATTTCGAAACCTGCCGATTACCCTCATGCTCCATCTAAGCTTTTGTTTTTGTTGACTGGTGCTACTGGAATTCACTCGAAGAACAATCAAATTCAAGCGGACAACTTTGCCCGAGAGGGGTTTCTCGTCGTCATGCCAGATATGTTCGAAAACGATCCATTACCAGGTTCGGTTACATACACGGAAGAAAAGGACCCCTCAGTGATTGAGCAAATCAAAATGCGAGCTGTCGATACTATCAAGAGCTTTACCATCGATATGTGGCTTGCAAGACAAACACCTGAGAAGGTGCTACCTATTCTTCACAAGGTCATCGAAGCTGCAAAAGACGAATTTGCCGACGCGGTCGCAAATGGAGGCGGCATATACTCTGTAGGTTACTGCTTTGGTGGTAGAATGACATTGCTCCTTGCTGGCGAAAAGCCAGATACCGTTGCTTGGGGTCAGCAAGTCAAGGACGAAGAAGCAGGCGTGGTCAAGTCGGGTCCATTTATCAAAGCTGGTGCAATTGCACATGCCACTTCAGTCGCTCGAGAGGATTTTGAGGGAACGAAATCGCCTCTACTTTTTGTCTGTGTTGAGAACGATCAGCTATTCGCAGAAGATGTGCGTGAGCACGGCGAGAAGTACTTGAATGAGAACGGTGTGGCGAGCGAGTTCAAGACATATTCCGGTGTACCGCATGGATTTGGTGTTGTAGGAGAATACGAAGACACCAAGATTAAAGTGGCTCAAGCAGAAGCTTTTGACCAAATGTTGGCGTGGTTGAAGCAGTATTAAACACTCATCATAGCATCGGTTTGGAATCATGTGCGACATAAGCGATGAAGATCCGCAGCTTCGGTTTTTTCATCTGCGATGACATCAAGCACAAAGGTTCTGCGACGAATAATACCCTATTTTACTTTATCTATGTCAAGCAACGTGGTAGGTAAGCATCATAAGCTTCCACTTTAAACGCGTAACACCAGTGTCTTCTTCGAGACGTTTGTGGGGTCTGGAAGCTACCTCTTACCATTATGGCTTGACGATTCGTCATGGATTTCATTTCAGTGAGAACGAGACGGTTTTCTTTTTCTACGACTCTCAAGATTGCGAGACTTTATGTCAGCGATTTTGTGCAATTATACCAAGATGCTCAACTTTGAGACTACTTTCAGCTCGAGCCTTGGATCTTGGTTACATCGAGGCGCGTATTGATTCATCTGGGAGAATCAGACCTGATTATACACAAGCAAATCAATAAAATGAACAGAAAATTATTATTCGATATGTGCATCGTAGCAAGTATGTAAGTGACATTATATACACCCCCTCGACCACCTGAAATCTGAATGTAACAAGCCGTTGACCGCGGAACGAAGAGAATGGAATAGTATATCGCCGATATACACTCATGCCTGACTCAATTGAGTGTTTGCTGCTTTCTTGCGAAGAAATATCGTTTCGAACAGCCTCCTCAGAGGGCTCGTGTCAATTCATTCGTCAACCCGAGAAAAGGCGAATCTCAATCAACGCGATAAACCAAAAAGCTAATCCGCCCACCACTCCCCGTCACATCCTCAGCTAAATCCATAACCCCCTCCATCTGCTGTCTCCCCTCAACCTCCTTAACAGCACCCTCCACACACTCTCTCCTCCACTTCTTCCCCGACTCCAGCTCACTCATATCTACGTCCCCCTTGCCCTCCTCCTTAACCACCGCACTCCTCTCGTCCCTCGACTTGATCTTAATCCTTGCACCCGGGGCGCTCCCAGCAGCAGCAGGAACATCCGTAGCCGAATAGACGATCCCGACCATAATGCCCTCTAAGGTGTTATCACTGAAGGCGCGTCCCAGATCCCAGGTTTGCATTGTGTTTTGCTTGTCGGTTGTGATCTTTTCGAGGATGGAGGAGATGTGTGGCCATGCGGTGTTAGGGATGCTGGCTGAGGAGGTTGGTTTGTCGGAGATGGGACCGTTGAGGATGACGGCTTGGGGGTCGATTGGGGGTGTGGAGAGAGCTGGGTGGTGACCTGGGAGGGAGAAATGGCATTGGTCTTTTGGGGAGACGGTGGGTGGTTCGTCTGAAATTGGGCCGTTGGAGAGAGCGTTGAGGAAGGGGTCGGTTGATGAGGGTGAGTTATTAGATTGTGGATTTGCTGGTTTGTATTAGTAAATGAAGCTCGTTGAAATGAGAATGAAAGTTGCTCAGAGAAATAATGCAATTTGCAACATTGGTTAGAATTCTCGAGCGTAGTAGGTCACAAATTGCTCGCAAATGAAATGATGGCTTTGAAAGACTTATTTCAGGAAATAGTTGATAGTCTTCCCCCACCAAATCCTGTTACAAAACATAAAGCTGCCTGGGCTCACCGCATATTCAACCAAGAACAAATATGGAAGGAAAAGAAGAAGATAAATGGGCAATTCTTACGAGAGCGTAGTCCAATTGGTCCTGCCAGAACCGTCGTCGCAAACAGTGTAATTAAATAAGAATACTGCATCTTGAAACTTCTCACCAGGAGAGATGTTGAGAAAAGAAAAAATTTAATATGAATGGAAGAAAGTTGGAATCAGGAACAGATCAACATTTGAATAAGGGCATCGTCGAAGTTATGACTTTCCCAAACCGTACCACAGACTAGCTCGCTAGAAACACAAAGCACCGATGTTTGCAAGGGGAAACCGGCCCCAGCTTGACAGCTTGCAATTGCCCAACTGGAGGCAGAGATCTTCGTAATAGTGGGGTCAAAGGAGGTCCAAAAAGGTCTGTGGGTTGACGTGAGGCTCATGATGTTCCATGAGTGTCAGGGGTCAAACTCCGCATTGAGGACAATCGTGCAACTGGCCGTATCTTTAGCCGTATCGCCCAGAACCAAGATAGGAATTCCCAGACCAACTCAGAGATAAGCTTCGAGGCGTATAAAGTGTTTCTTGAAGCAGGTGGAGGGAAAAATGCGTTTCTGCAAAGGAGCTAGTGGCAGCAACATTGTTTCAAACTTTCAGCAATCACGTGCTCTTGAAGCGCTCAAGTCAGTCACATAGTGATGAAAGGGAATTCTTTCTTGATAATTATGATAAATTATTTATTCTCTGGAGGAGCTGATAACACCCTTAAAGATGTGTGCTAATGTCCACACAACGGTAAAATAACATAGATGATGCTCAACAGAGAAACAGCCTAGGCTCGCGGAGGAGAAAATAAGTGGTAGTCGCCTACCCGTAAATCTTAAACTAAATAACAAGCCTACTTCGAATAAAGCCTAAAAAGTCTTATTTATTTAAAATAGTGGACTAAATAGTTATAATGTCCTAATTTGATCTACTAAATTACGATATTTCGTTAACTTATGCCATCTGATTAAGAGTAGGTTCTCCAAAAGCGTTTGAAGGATGACGATATTTATATGAACTACAGACTTAATCAGGTTATCCCTGTCGATGAGGCACATTCTTCTTTCGGAATTTCTTGGGATTAAAGTAAGAGATATCGTATAACCTCACCTGACATCAGGAAATTGAATGACTAAAACACCAAGTCGACCGACTATCATTATATGCTGGTCCTTCTACAATAACATTCAAAATACTATCTACTATTTCAGCTCTAACTGAAGACACCTTACTCTTTGAAAAATGCTCTTCATTCTCAATTTGCTGTACTTGTGACTGAATCCTTTTCGAAGCGGCTAGGTGGTTTCGGTGGTGAAAGGGTTTTCGGTGACAACTTTCAGCCTTCCAGATTTGAAAATACGGAAAGCGCAATTGGGTGTTCGTATGTTTCTGGAGAAGTTTGTGAAGGTGCGCGATTGAACTGAAAGCACAGGTCCGTGTTCTGAGTTGTGCTCAGTTCGCACGACTATGCAGGGGATTGGCACAATTTGCTCAAAATTAAGGTTCTTGGAATTCTGGCGAGAATGAGATTTATACTCCAGTTCGCTGAAGATGCGAGTTGTCTTGATCTGAGTGTGCAACATGATGCTCTGGAAACCGCTTTCGCTTGTTGGTGAGAATTTTAGTGAAGACACTGGTTTTGGAGAATAATACGACTCAAGGGTTTATGGATGGACGACAAATTTAGAGAAAATGATACTAATATGAAGTTAGTTGAAGACGTCCATTGTATCGCTCCAATGACGTTGATATAAAATAAAGGTATCAGATGATAGATATTCGTTTACGTATTGAAACTTGTCCTGAAATAATTCGTTATGGCCAGCACGACAAAAAACATGCCGCTGAGCTAATGAGTACCGCACTGAGTTAGCAATTGTGTTTCTCTCTTTTAAATAGAAGATTTACTTGTCGAGGAACGGATGGTTTCGAGATGTCAAGCAGCTGGTTTGTATCTTTTTATAGAGACAGACTTTCCAAGTGTCAAGATATTGCTCCTAGGTGATCAGTGTCATATGTTCCAACGCCACTCAGTATATTAACAATTCCAGCGTCCTCAGCCTTCCCCATTCCAATTCACCATATCCCCTCTCCATTTCCCCCGACCCACAGTCGCCAGTTCACCTCCATCCCTTTAATATATACATCAATACCGCCCCTTTCCCCCAACAAATTAAAACCGCCGAAAGATTCTACATCGCTTAACCGCGACGCAGGTTCGTTCCCTCTCATTAATTCTTCGGATAGAGCTGGGGGTGTAGAGATTAGTAGATGGGTTTTCTATTCATCATTAAATGACTTCGGTCAAACGGCCTGGTGGTTGGGCGTCAGATGAAGCAGCTTGATCTGCACTAATTTTTTTGGAAGTTTTCTTGGGGAATTTGGAATTGGTGTGGAGGGAGTTTGGTGGATTTTGCTACTTTTCAGAAGGGGAGGGAAGAGAGAGGGAATGACAAAGATTTTTTTTTTGATATTGAGATTATACTTGGAACAATCCACACTTTATAACAAATTTACTCTAAGAACTTGATTAAGTATTGCGACGTTAATCTAGAACGTAGGAATAGGGAGTATCAACAGTGACCATAAGCAGATCTTGACTTGATTACAAGGAGTGTAAATATTGTAACTGCTAATTAACACAACCCGCATTTACAATTAACCTATGTCAATAGTTCTACTTCCATTAGCATCTCGGTTTTAGACCGGGAGAGGATCAATTGGTCCTTTACTGTAGTTGAAGAAAAATAGCTAACACGAAAGTTAGCCGACACAGGAAGTGAGAGTATATATCCTAAAGACAAGATTTTCAAGGAATAATAATTTGATTGACTTTAGAGAAGGCTCGCCTATTGTTGCGGCTACTGTCCCTGTATCTGAACTTACTGAGTACATGTCAACACTCTGAAGAATAATTTCTTTTGGCCAAGTAGGAATTCTGATATCACTTCGACAAATTCAACATTGTGTGCCAAAGTTGTCAAGTTTAAATCGACAACAACTGAAAAATCGGCAGCAGCTCACAGTATAAGTCTATGTGTAAAGATTTAATATTGAAATTGTAATAAGCACATCTTGAGTTTTTGATAAATGTGGTCAGCTTATGGTTGTTTTCAAGCTGCCAAATGGTGTTATTTAGTTAACTTCTTAATACAGTTTGAAATTTTCGTTTGGAAATGGTTTTAACAGGATTGGGCTGGTGTAGTTACAAATTCGGTTTTGATTTATGTAGTGTTTGTCTCGTTGTAGATTTTCCAGGACATGATCCTCCTCGCTCGGAGAAGAATCTGAATTTTGCCTATCCTGATTACATACAACGATTGTGCTTGATTTGCAACAAATATTCCAGATTTCAAAGAGGGTAAGGCACCTTAAGTCTTTGAAGAGACTTTTCCGAAAAATAATTACAACCCCCACCTCACAGGACTTAGATGTCACGCACATGATAACTGTGAATTAGATAATCAAGTCAAATGCATTTACATGTGTGTCTTATTGGGTTTCAACCTTGGTTCTTAATATGTGGTTAATGAAAACCTACACCTGTGTTACTAATGAGCAATATTTTCTTGGTAGACTTTCGTCTATCTTAAGCACCAGGAATAGCAGGTTGTTAATATTCGTACTACTGTAGTCGCATTTATATATGTTTGAGGATTACAGCAAGTCTTTGAAATGTCTTCATGTCTAAGAAATAAATATAGCATTTTTGCTGGGAAATTCATTCCATAAATTAATTATCTGGTAGTGCAACTATCCTTAAAATTGAGAACTATTATTCAAATATCAGACGGCCAACAGTGAACAACCTTCAGGTCTAAAGACGAGAATAATGGTGATGTTCAAGAGAAGAAGGAAGGAGGAATAAATGACAAGCGATCCACGCACTGTTTGAGTGAGAAAATGGAAGAAAAGTGCCATTATTTGTGAGACAACGGTAGATGTGGAGTCAAATTGTGCTTTAAGTTCAAGTAGCTAATGGCTAAAGTTGAGAACAAATTGGGTTTCGGCAGCAACATATCATGTATGATGAAACTCAAATTATACATAAAACACTCCATACATTGTTCTCCAAGTAGCATCGAGCGAGTACTATCTCCCGTAAGGGAGCACAGTTGAGATACATAATTGTAGAAACTTGCACACACTTCCAACCCAATCTCTCTTCTTTGCAGGGTTGCATTTTATCCCAGATTACATAGTCTTTATATGGCTCGACTTCATGCTAGCGTGTACAATAAATTCACTATAGAAGTCGTCGAAACCCCAGAATATCACACCTGAAACAGGACTTATCCTCGAGATCCGGTATGGATTAAGAAATCTAGAACAATTTCCCTCGTTTACTTCCACTGAAAGTTTGCATGCGCCACCCTTTCACATACCCCCTTTGACTACAGCGAAACAACAGGAAGATGACGTTGAAGAAACAAACGTAAAGACATCAGCAGGAAAGTGGATTAGAACAAAACAGACGCCCAAATCCTCGAATATCCTGAAGCTTCAAATCAACCAAGGGGTACATCAAAGCCGGAATTATACAGAAATCTCAATTCTATATAGGCAAGAAAATATGATTGGTGTTCTTCCTGGGACTTAACAATGCATGTGGAAATTCATGCTTCGTCAAATAAAAATGGAATCGGTGATGGAATAGATTTCAGCAGCAGCTTCTTCACCCCCTCAATTTTACTTCTACACCACTTCCCAACTTCCGGAAAAAGGCAAGGTCACTTATCATGCACAATTACATGGAACTTAAATTTTCGTTCTTGGAGCATAGGAGATAATGACTTAGCCCCTTTCAGCGAACTCCATTCTTCTAGGTTAATCTCATATTTGCATGATGAAGAACTGACTTTTAGGATAAATATAAATACTGACTTGCAGTACTTATGATTTGATTCACGCGTTTTAATGTCTGAAATTATTATAGGAAATGTGAAGATGACAAATACATCCTTTGGGAAAACCTATCAAAGGTCGTCGAGATACCGAGATTGACCTCCCCAAAACCATTCAATCACCTCTCAGCTCCCAACCATCTTCCCCTCTTCCCTTCTCATACCCTTCCTTCCCTTCCTAAAACTCCCTTCACTCCCTGAAATACCACATAATCAACTCACAACCTCTATCACAACAACACTACAAAATCTTCATTTCTCGGTATCTGCGAAGTCTAACTTGTATAGGCAACGTAAAGGAATCAACATATCTGTCGGCTTGTAGATCTACCTGAGTTTTAGACTTTTTCTTCCATATATTATACTACTTCCATAGGGGTACTTTGAAACCTAGATTTTGTTTGGTGGAATTGTAGCACTATCATTTCCTACTCGTGAGGTTGGAAATCGGTAGTAGAATGAAAGTCGACAACGACATCTAAACCACAATATCAACCTCAAAACCCCACGTGAACCTCCATGCCACAACTTCAATTTCTACCGTCATCCATGGAAAAACATTGCCTCTTTTATCTTGACAAACTCGATACTTGGCATGACGAGCATTCATCTATGAGTCACCGCATTGTTCAACGTGCCACGTTCATGGTAGAAAATGTACTAGGTAACAATGCAGTAGATTTCGCATGGCCGTTTCCTGGATACACAGAAGAGAGGAGAGATAGAAAGGGAGGTAATTTGGAGGATAGACGCTTGCGAGTTGAGTGTGTTGTAGTTTCGAAACATTTAGTGAAAAAAATGATGTGTTAGCTCTGATCACGAATAATCTGGTGAATTTCCCTGAGCTGCGAGATATGTGACTATATAACAATGCTTTTTACATTCTTTCTGGTCTTGTAATGTTCTTAGATATGAAGCACATGAATGCCATAGCCACTTACATATACCCAAATAGAAATCCAGAATAAGACAATCTCATCAAGCGAATGTTTTCAATTCGAACTATATCAAAACTAAAGTAGGTATCGAACACAACATTTTCCTAATAAAATAACTTACTCTTCGTATCATTCCGTCCATTCATCTCCCCTCCCTCCCATATTCCTCCAAATCTCATCACCTAAACAACGGCCCGTCTCTCCGCGCCCTCTCTCCTCCTAACAACCGGTCTCGGACTATAAGTAAACCACGGACTATCTGTTCTTGTCGGATCGCCCAGCTCCTGACGTCCGTTAACTCTTGCTGGCACGGTGAATATCGGTACATCGGTTGGGATGGGCACGTTTGATGGCCATGGCATGTCGCCTGGGAAGGTGAGGATTTGGCGCTTGGCTGGGACTTCGAGGTAGGTTGGGTGGGGTGGGGTTGGAGTTGGGAGGGGAGGTTTGGTTGTTGGAGGAGTGGGTTTGGTGGTTGGCTTGGTGGTAGGTGGTGTAGGTTTCGTGGTTGGAGGAGTTGGCTTTGTGGTAGGAGGGGTTGGTTTAGTTGTAGATGAAGTTGGTTTGGTGGTTGGTTTCGTGGATGGAGGAGGTGGTGGAGGAGGAGGAGCAGGTGGTGTTACTGTTGGCTCATACACTGTTCTCGTGGGGGATCCAAGAGTCTGACGCTTTTCTTTGATCGGCACAGTTAGGAAAGAGGCGGTACGAGTAGTATCTGGACCGCCCCAGATGACAGAACGGGTTATAACGTCATTCCTAGCGTTGATTGGAACAGTTATCACGGCAACGGCTCTCGTGGTGTCTGGACCTTCGGCACTGATGGTTCGGGTTTCCCGTTTAATAGGAACTGTGAGGATAGGGCCTAGGTAGCCAGTCTCTTGTGGTGCGTCACTTATGGGAACAGTAAGAATAGGTGGCTGGTAGTCGGTCACTGGTGCTGGTTCGTCACTAATGGGTACAGTTAAAACTGGGGGTGGATATTCGGTATCTGGAGGTGATTCGCTAGGAAATGGAAGAGGACTTGGATATCGTGTTGTTATTGGCTCCCCTGGGGTTGGGTAGCGGGTAGTGATGGGCTCGACTGGAGTTGGATATCTAGTCGTGATCGGTTCGACCGGTGTAGGATATCTGGTAGTAATCGGTTCTACAGGTGTAGGATATCTGGTAGTAATTGGTTCAACTGGTGTAGGATATCTGGTAGTAATTGGCTCAACCGGGGTGGGATATCTTGTGGTTATTGGCTCAACTGGAGTTGGGTATCGAGTGGTTATCGGTTCAACTGGCGTAGGATATCTAGTGGTCTCTGGACCTCCAATGCTTGTTACCCTGCTGGTAGATGGGGTTGGATGAGGATCGGTTATCACAGTTGGGGTTGGTGTCTTGGTTGTCGAGGTCGTAGTGGATGTCATTTTGGTCGACGACTTTGTGGGAGTAACAGTAGGTTTGGTAGATGTCTTTGTAGGGGAAGGATAATGTGGTGGCCACCACCAAAATGGCGGAAGCTTTGTTGGCTTTGGAGCTGCAATAACCGTTCTGGTGGGGGTGCCAAGAACCTGTGGCTCTCTTCTATCCAGCGGAACTGTGAGAGGTGGCGTATCTCTCGTAGTCTGGGGTCCAGTAGGAATTGGATACCGAGTAGTTGGTGGAACGGTGGTATATGAGGTTGGCACCGGGGTTGGTTTTGTGGTCGACTTTGTAGTTGGCTTTGAATGGTGATGATGCTTCTTCGTTGAGCTCTTGACCGAAGAGGTGCTCTTCTTCGAACTGGTAGTCGGCTTTGGTGGGGTATAAGTCGGTAGGACTAGATCTTCCCGAGATATTGTAACAATTTCTAGCTGGGGATGTCTAGCCGCAAGACTTGCTTCGGCTTCTCGACCCTTGATTGTGACTGTTGTAGGTTTGCATCCCTTTGTACTCGTATAACATGGAACTGTGAAAGTCCACGCTGTTGGTCGAGCGGTTGGCTTGACAGTTGGCGTGACAATCACCTGTGGTAAAGCTGCGCCATGACAGACGACTGCCCAGACTGGCAACAGGAATATGACGTTCCTCATGATGTCTACGTCATGTTAACTTTTGCCAGATGAATTCATGCTGCCATTGAAACTCACCAGGTGTTGGTGTTGACTGTTAAGAAATTTGACCCGGAGCGCTCTGTCCAAAGTCCAATTGCCAGGGAATAACGTCTCCTTCTTGTACAAAATTAACATACCGTCACCGGTTGACCTTGTGATCTTTTTGACGCCACGATAACGATACGAGTCGATAGAGCCGAGAATTCTAGATCGCCAGTGAAAAATTGCTGCATGCAATCTAACGAGTTCCAGACGCAATCAAGGCAGCCATAAATGCAATACCCATAAATGAAAGGAAACGAATAAGGTTAATGGGAACCAAAGAAATTGTGGATTGACGGCGCCTAAAATAGAAGAAATGTTCGAATCAGAAATGTGGAATTAAGAAGTTTTCATCTATTGATATTAGCCATTTGCCGAACCGGCAGGCTGATTAGATCACATCAACCCACCATATAAACACGTTGAATCTACTTTTCCTTGGGACTTCCAAAAAACTTAACTTTCCGCCACAGTATAAAAGACAGATAGGCTACCACCTCCAGGAGGTCCTTGTCCTTCAGCACCCCCTGGGAATGGTCAATAATGTCCACGTTCCGGGAGCTGTGATTCCATGACTTACCACTGACATAGATTCGGGTATCACCCACAAGCCCCGCTATTAACCCACCGACAGCTGCCCTTGCATGTCGAGTACTATGGATATCGCTATCATTGTTCATTGTGTGTCTAAATCCATTGATTAGGCCATCCTTAGAGGCTTCGGCTTTGGCGAAGATTTGAAGAACCTTGCCATTGTCGCTCTTGACTCGATCCAAAATCCGCAGAATCGCCCCTGCATCTATAGCATCTGCCATGTAGGTTGATGCAGCTCGAATCTGAGGCTTTTCGGTTTTGGAATCTGACGCCAGAATAAGAATATGGCAGTCTTCGAGTTCGGCTCCTGCGCTACAGCTGGCCTTTGAGCTCCATGTAGTATCATGGCGCATTGCCTCTTCAAGATCATTGACTTCGCCAAGAGCAGTGGCAATACCTATTGCGGAAGCATATCTAGACATGGCCATTGATTCGTAGGTATCTGTTGTAGCGGGAATCTTGGATATGGCTTTAATGCTTTCAAGCTTTTCTGAGGTTAGGAGCGGACATTTTACCAGTACGAGGTGTACATCGCTACTGGAAATTCCGGCTCCATTCAGAATCGCTCCTACGGAAGAGGCCACTTCTTTGGCATGCTCCGGTGTTCCAATTTCGTGAGGCTCGAGGGGTCTTGTTCTTCCGGCTGCTGCCTGAAGACCAGTAGGCTTTTTTTCTGTGACAATAAATGTTACGTGGGGATTAAGAACCCCTTCTGTGCCTTGCGATTGTTAACAATAGATATCGTGGAGCGGTGACAAGCCGTACCTCCAGAAAATATTGTGATTGCCTTGTCTGGGACGAGTGGCTCCCAGACGTGGGTACTAAGTGTACGCGAGAAGTCATTGACACAACCGTTACCTAGTTAGAGACATATTAGCAGCAGCGAAGAAACAAATACATTGTATAGCTGGTTGACTGAGTAAATAGATAGCAAGTTTTCGTAATTCATGAGGTTGACCTCGAGCAATACTTATTGTCGCGTTACCAAGCCGTGTTGCTGGTCGCCGACCGAAGAGCAGCATCAAACAAGTGTATCCCAAGTTTGTTAGGCTAAAACTACTCCTGCAGGTTGAGGGACGACACAAAAAAAGACATCGCACCTTCTGTCTTTCCAACGACTGCTAGAATATCTGCGGAATCATAGCCAGCAGCTTTGAGCGCTTTCAAAGGGGATGTATCTGCGGGGGAAGATGTCCCAAATTTCAGAATATTGACAGCCATAGTTGGAATGAAACGATAAAACTTGAAGGACCAAAGAATATAATAACTTCAACAGAGAGATGAGAAACAGAATATTCTTCCCTACTCATACCATAATAATAGCGAGATGGATTGACCGTTGGGCCTGCGGGCCGCGGCGCGTTGGCTATCGCACCCCATTTTTGCACTTGCAACTTCATCAACGAACACCAAAGAACATGCGACAATTCCAATGAGGAAGACAGCAGAAAGCGCGAGAACGAAATCTTGAGATCGCACTTGCAACGGTGATGTTGAATGTTTGGATTAGTGAGATAAAGTAAGATGGATACAAATGACAACCCCAGAAGCAACCTCGAGCCGAGTGCCTGGCCTGGCATCACTCGTGTTCCAGAATTCCCCTTCCGCGTCGATCAACCTCCAACTCCACGGCAATGCTATACGACACCGACCTCTTACCCATATTCATCCATGTTCAGAAGGTTCATGCCATCAATGTCTTCATCATGCGGAATGTTGTCAGCCAATGGTCGCGTATCAAGCAAGTCATTTTAGTTCGCGACGTCGTCCAATGTCTGAGATATCCCAGTGGATAGAAGATAGATCCCCGCATACTTTGAAGATCAACAGCGCAGATGGGTGAGTGAAAAGGTATATGGTAGACGATAGTCTCGAATGTAGGCTTTGGAGAGTGTTGTGTTTTCCCTGTCCGCTGTTCATCCTTTTTCTTTACTCTGCTGTTTTCCCTCTTCCGGCGCAATGCATTTCTCTGTTGTATTTCCTCTGCTGCTGTCTGTGACAAATGCACAACTCCATACTCTCGCCTTAGCAGCTGTAAGTCGTTCATGTCCAGTTGTAATAGCCGTGCTAATGCGTTTGTATCAGGGTCTGGAATACTTTGGCACTGCGACTGATAACATCGAACTTTCGGACGCAGCACTAGTCACTGCGCTTTCGAACCTGACAGAGTTTGGTCAGATAACGCCTGGAAATTCGCAGAAGGTAGGATACAGACCCCGAGGGGTTATGCTGGTAGCAGGGGATGTTGATTATTTCTAGTGGGACTCGATCGAACCAAGCCCGAATACCTTCTCTTTCGAAAAAGGAGACGCGATCACAGCCTTAGGGGCAAAGAACTCACAACTTCTGCGATGCCATACCTTGGTCTGGTTCCAGCAACTACCAGTATGGGTCCAGAACGGGACGTGGACGAATGCGACGCTCACGGCAGCATTAAAAAACCATATCACAACCACGATGACACATTATAAGGGCCAATGTTATGCTTGGGATGTGGTGAACGAAGCTCTCGAAAGTGATGGTTCCTTCCGAGAATCTGTGTTCTTCAAAACGATGGGAGAGTCCTACATCAAAATCGCCTTCGATACAGCCGCGGCTACGGATCCAGATGTCAAACTGTATTACAACGATTTCTCTATTGAAAATCCAGGCCCCAAAGCTACAGGAGCGCTCAATATTGTGAAAAGTCTCAAGGCATCTGGAACAAAGATTGATGGTGTGGGATTGCAAGCACACTTTATTGTTGGGTCGACTCCTTCGAAAGCAGTACAGATCAAGAATCTTGAGTCCTTTACAGCTCTCGGTGTGGAAGTCGCGTACACAGAATTAGATATTCGAATGACGCTCCCGAGCACGGCGGCTCTTGATGCTCAGCAGACGACGGACTACGAAAACACAGTTGCAGCATGTGTTCAAGTAACTAACTGTATCGGCGTTACAGTCTGGGACTTTTCTGACAAGGTAAGATCAACGACTTTCTGATTATCCCAACTATATTGATAAATTTCATAGTACTCATGGGTTCCAAGCACATTCCCTGGAACGGGAAGTGCTTTACCTTTCGACGAGAACTTGGTTCGAAAATCCGCCTACTTTGGTATTGTTGCTGGACTCACAGGTGCTTCGTCGAGTGTCTCCAATACGACTGCACTTAGTAACAGCGCTCAATTTGCAGCTGTCAATAGCACGACGAGCATCTCCAGAAATGGAACAAACTCAGTAGCAACCAATCCGACGGCTTCTGGACGGCCATCATCAACAGCTGGAGGCGAAAGGAATAATTCGTCTAGCCGGCCCATCCAAGCGAACGACTCAAATGTCCTATCCAGTCATTCGTTGCTTTGTTCAACAGGCTTGGCTGGATACTTGTTTGTGATGTTATTTACTTAGGCCTCACAACGGTGCTCCTATCAGTCGGTTGGCGTTAAGGTAAGAAATTGGCGGGCAATAACAAATATAATCAACATTATTCAATTCCCTTCGCTAATCAATAGCCTGACACAGTAATGTTTTGCGATACTTTATTATCAAGCGCATCAAGTTGAAAACATGATCGTAGACATAGTTGAGCAGCGGCTCGTTATGCTCCTGGGCACTCTTCCAAGCGGTCCCCATCGTTCCTTCCCTTCCATATCCCCAACGACAACGGTCATTTCATAACCATGTTTCTGACTCTTTGTTCTCAAGGTTGTCATTTTCACCATTTTCGTATTGCTCTATCACCACGCAGCTGTATTCATATTAGCACTCTTTACCACCCACAATGAAGATATCTCTACCCCCATGGCCCCCATCAATCTCCATCACATCTCTCCTTCTCCTTCTCACAACCCCCATCCTCGCGCTCTCACCCCGACAAAACGGCTGTACGAACCCCACGATCCGTAGGGAATGGAGCAGCGTCAGTCAAGCCCAACGCGATTCCTACACAAACGCGGTGATGTGTATGACCCGGAAACCGTCGAAAATTCGGTTGAGCACAAGTCGCTTCGACGACTTTACTTGGGTGCATAGACAAATGTTCGGTGACAGTTAGTTTGACGGAGAGGGGGTAGCTGAGGAAGAGATGCTGATCTTGCGGGATAGTTCATATTAATGGACCTGATATATTGGCGCAGTTTTTGCCGTGGCATAGGTATGTCGATATTCAGCTATGGTTGGCATTGGCCAATACGAATCTAATTAATGTGAACAGATACTTCGCGCACATCTACGAACAAGAACTCCAAGCCTGCGGCTATCGCGGCTCGATGTTATACTGGGACTGGGGCCAATCCGCATCCGACCCTTTAAACGCAGCCATCTTCTCTGACCCAGCCGGTCTGGGTGGCAATGGTGTTTCCTCTCCAGCATGTCAATACATCCCCGGGAACAGAGTCGCCAGACAATGCGTCGTTTCCGGTCCGTTTGCTCAACTTCGCCCAGCGTATTATCAGGGTAGTACGGTGCCACATAGTCTGCATCGATGTTTCAATTGTGGAAGTCCGACGATGTTCAATGCATCTTGGACGCAAGCTGTGGTTTTTAATGTCCTGTTGCAATCGACGTATAATAGATTTAGCACGGAGTTGTATATTGGACCGCATTTGAGCATTCATGATGCTATTGGGGGTGACTTTCCGACTACCACGTCGCCGAACGGTACTTACTTCCCTATTAAATCATTCTAGACTCTTACTCACAAACATAGAACCTCTCTTCTGGCCACACCACGTGCAAGTCGATCGAGTCTGGTGGATCTGGCAGAACCTCGACCCAGCAAACCGCATGTTCCAATATGAAGGCAAGACGGTCATCGGGAATTCGCCACCGACTCGGGCTGTGTTGGCCGATGTCATGCATGTGCTTGGTTTGGCAAGCGATGCGCCTGTCTCGCAGGTTATGAATACGGAGGGGGGCTTTTTGTGTTATCGATATGATGGGTTGTGATCATCAGGGAACTGGACTGGGCTATTTCTTTAACGGAGCTGGTATGGTGTTGCGATTGGGTATGGATATTGATACAGTAGGAATACGGTATATTCGAATTGGAATTTTTGATGTATGAATACAAACACAGAACTCAGTCGTTGCCGAGTTATTTCCCGTGCGGAACACTTTTCATTGTTTGCTCTACTTTTTGGACGTTCTGTTCCGTATTCCACGGCAGATCTACGGTGATGCTAGAAGCTCTTTGTTTCTGGTCTGGTTCTGGTGTTTTTAGGGGTTCCTCAATGCCGCCGAGAATACGAGTAAGTGAAATTTAGTGAGAGGGAGAGATTGACTCGGGACTATGCAATTCTTTTTAAACCCATTTGATTTTACAGACATGCTTGGAGTTGAAGTCTCGGTGGAGATTATAGTATCATGTTTCTATGGGAACGGTTTCTTCTCATCAATAGATTAAATTTTTTCTGCAATAGAGAAGTGCTGTCTTGTTGTTTAAACTCATTGACGTAGTCGCGGGTCCCGTTCGGAAGAGGCGTCCTTTCATGCAGGTCAGGTGGGGGGGTTTGCTTCGGTGATTTTCAGGGGTTCAAGCGACAGAGCCTCAAAAAGTTTTTTTCTCGCTCGGGTTTTGATTTGTTAACATAATTTCTGGTGGACCTGAGAGCCGGAATAGTGGCTCTCTTGATAGATTTGGTGTGTAAGAAAGAGGGAAGGTCCTTGTTGAACTGGTTGAGTGCCGGTGCCGAGCGCGATGGCGTGGTGTAAGAAGAGCGAGGCGAGGTTAGTGGGGGACACGGCCGATAAAATTAAGAGATTTTCTGGATATTTTGCGGTGGGTTTATTGGAATGTGGATCCTTTGTTGAGGTTGGTTTGACGACACGATATGGATTATGTAGCGGGATGATGAGTGTTTGCTCTGTGAGGAGGGGTGTTGCTTGGGTTTGAGGTGGTGATGCTTTGGGAGATGGGATATGGGAGATTAGGAACTTGGATCAACTGTCGTGGTTTTTCGTCCTAAATCTCTCAGTGAGCTGGATCGCTTGTCGAAGCAGAAATTCGGTGCTTTCGCGGTTGTGTATTGGAATTGGTCCACTTGACTTATTTGCTCCGGTTTTTCTGAAGAGACCGAGTAATGACTAACGTCGAATAGTTCCTCGTCTAGAAGTAAATCAACATCGACACCAGTTTTTCTAGAACATAATCAGAGGGTTATAATCTAAGAAGCTCCGGAATACCTAGGCACATGGAAGTGGACTAAGATAATTCGAGGTCTCAATTCGGGATGGTACTTTGCTCCACTTATAAGTCAGCTCGAATGACAGCCCATCGGTAAACAGGCCATCACGAAAAGCATACCTACCTGCCTAGGTTCAGTAGTAGAGCTTTATTTAAGTCAGCTGTTTGTATTAGTAAGTCCCGTAGTTATACGCAGGTAACCTTGGCATTTCACGGTTCCCTTCTAGCTCACTTCTAGTCTCATGCTCAAATAAATATTCTCTTGCTCCCCCAAGTTCTCCTTCTTCTCCTCATCCCCTCTCCCCGTCCTTTTACTCAAGGAGTTATAACTTCAAGATGCGGTTCTTCAAAAAGTCTCAACCAGCTGTCAATGCCGAGCCCAAAGAGGTTTCACCCTCTGATACACCCGTGGGCACAACAGCGCGGAACTCCTCAGTCGCCTATGATGGAAAACCCGTAACTGATATGGCTCCTCCACCGCCAGTGCATTTGGAGGAGCCAGAGGCGAGAACGAAGGCGTTGATCCTAGGGGGTATTGCCTCAATCGGAGGGTTTTTGTTTGGATATGAGAGTGGTCAAATTTCTGGTGTGTATTTCCCTATCCAATACCAATAAATAAAAATATCTAATGGACATCCAGGATTCCTTCAAATGACCGATTTCATCGCCCGCTTCGGATCTAATGGTTTTGACGCCGCCCGTCAAGGAACCATCGTCGCTCTCCTCTGCGCCGGTACGCTCGCCGGTTGTCTCGCCTCCGGCTACGTATGTGATCGTATTGGTCGTCGTCTTACTATTTCCGCATCGGCATTCTTCTATATCGTCGGTGTGGTGATTGAAATTACCAGTGGTGAGCGTGGTGCTTCAACTGATTGGGTGCAATTCGCCATGGGTCGGTTTACTGCTGGGTTGGGAATTGGTGCGTTGAGTACTTCTGTGCCTATGTATCAATCTGAGTCTGTTCCGGCATCGGTTCGTGGTGCGATTGTTGCTTCGTATCAACTTGCTATTACGTTTGGTATTCTCGTTGCGTATATCATCAACTATGGAACCTCGCAAATCCAGAATAGCTCGGCTCAATGGCGTATCCCAAATGGACTTTCGGCGCTTTGGGCGATTGTTCTAGGAACTCTAATTCTTTTCATGCCAGAGTCGCCTAGATATGCGTATCGTCAGGGAAGAATTGAGGAGGCGAGACGGACGATGGCTTCTCTTATCAAGGGTGGTGAGCCTCATGGCCCATATGTCGATCAGCAGATCCGTGAGATCCAAGAAAGACAGGAAGCTGAGGAGGTTGGTGGTGATCATCCTTGGTATGAAATTATTACCATCCCAAACATGAGATATCGTGTTTTCCTTGGAATGGCTCTGCAAGCTGGACAGCAGTTGACTGGGTAAGTCACGCTTTCAAAAACCTCCAAATTCCAACTAACAATCTACCAGTGCAAACTTCTTCTTCTACTATGGCACAACTATCTTTCGCTCCACAGGCATTGAGAATAGCTTTGTCACTTCTATCATTCTAGGCGCCGTCAATGTCCTCGCGACCATTGTCGGCATATTCTTCGTCGTGAAGATGGTGGGTCGTCGCAAGGCTCTGATGTGGGGAGCCGCCGTTATGTGCGGCTGTTTCTTCATCTACAGCTTCGTTGGATCCTTCGAAATTGACGCTGATAACCCGACGAATTCCAAAACTGGTGGTGGTATTCTCATTGCCTTCACTTGCATCTTCATCGCTGCGTTTGCCACGACATGGGGTCCGCTTGTTTGGGCTATCACAGGAGAGATCTATCCCGCAAGATACCGCGCGACTTGCCTTGCTATTGCCACTGCATCCAACTGGCTTCTCAACTTCCTGATCTCCTTTTTCACTACTTTCATCACCAACAAGATCAATTACTGGTATGGACTTGTCTTCGGCGTTTCCACGTTCGTACTCTTTTTCATCGTCTACTTCTTCCTTCCCGAGACCAAGGATCGAAGTATGGAAGAGATTGACAGCATGTTCATCTTGGGTGTCCCAGCAAGAAAGAGTGTGAATTGGAAGTTGAGCGATGCTGGCCCTGAGGGACTGGCGGGGTTGAACACCGATACCATGAGATATGCAAATGGAGGCAAGGAGATTAAGAAGGGAGATGCGAGGGGAAATCTGATGGTCGAGGATGCGGCCAGATTTCCAGAGGCTGGTTCTGCGACTGTTTAAATAAACCAGTTTTCTTTCGGATATCTTGTAAATATTCTGTGATTAATTCCTGGAGCTGTATCATGAGAGTCGGAAAGGATAGGTGTCGGCGTTTGCGGCATTTCAGGTGTTGGGGAATTATATACCTAGATTAAGGGATTATGTATTGCTACATACCCAATTTCATAGACGAAAAGAGATTTATTATACTCACATTTCAGACTCAAATTCTTCTTATAATGTAAAGAATTGCTGGCTAATGTTGTAGAAGTTGAAAGGTGGGGGTCAATTTAACCTCATCCGTGCCCCCACCCACTGCCGACTTGTGATCGCAACCTCGACCTCCCAACTACACATGCTTTTCCTCTCACACGCCCCCTGCTCTCCACCTCAAAGTATATGGCATCTTCATCACTGCACTCCCATTTGGAAACAACAAAACCACTTCTCTCAAACCACGATGTCTCATCCCCAGACCACCACGAAATCTCGGAGGCACAAACAAGTGAACTCAACGCGAAGTCTCCCTCCCTCACCAAAACCATCGCGTTATTCATGACCCTGCACTTCCTACTTGCATTCACAGAACTATTACTCGTAGCTCCGCTGTTAAAGCTGTATGAGGAATCAGTTTGTGAGCGATTTTATGATGGGAGAGACGGAGGGTTTGTGGGGAGATATGAGGATGGATGTCAGGTGACGGAGGTTCAAAGGGATGTGGCTAGGATTCGAGGTTGGAAGAGTATGTGGGATGGGATTGTTGGTATGTTTTTTAAAATATCTCAGAAGTGGGTGAGAAGTTGTTTCACGTGTGATGAAGTATTGAGGTGTCTATACTTCGACGTTGTATCAAGATAGTGGATGATTTGCTTTAAGCCATCTATATCAATATACTAATTTTGATAGTTCTCCTAGTAACCATTCCCTTTGGTAAATTAGGCGATTACATTGGTCGCAAAAAGGTTATAGCTATCGCCCTCACAGGCGTATTTTTCAGCCTCAGCGAGATCTTTGTAGTTTGTGAGTTCTTTTTCAAACCACATCCCGAGATCCAGCTAACCATCTATCAGGTGCCTTTCCCAAAATCTTCCCCTTACAACTCATATGGCTATCATCCGCAATCTTGCTTTGCGGTGGAGGTCTAAACTCGGCGAGTTCATACATGTGGGGATTGGCCGCTGAATGCATTCCAGCTACCAACCGGCAAGCTACTCCCAACCATGAAAGAAAAATAGCTGACATATATCATAGAAGCCACGCATTCTACCTCATATTCTCCGCATTCTACATCGCCGAAATGATAGCCTCCACCCTCGCAGCCCTAACAACAGACATCTCACCCTGGATCCCCTGTGTCCTCTCCCTCCTCAGCACCCTCCTCGCCCTCATCCTCCTCCCCTTCTTCCCCTCTCCATCCCCTTCCTCTCACCCATCCTCACCCTCTCACCCAACGTCCCCCTCCAACCCGCCCCCCTCCCTCCTAACAACCCTCCACACCCTCCCTCCCACCCCCCTCCTCACCATCCCCGTCCTCCTCGTCGGCATCCTCCGCTACACAACCCTAACAATCCTAATCCAATACGCCCACATTCACTTTTCCCAAAAGATCTCCGCAGGCGCAGCATACTACACCGAGACCGCCCTCATAAACACCATCCTCTTCCTCTTCCTCATCCCAAAACTCACGTCCTACATCCGGCTCACCTACAAAACCAACCCCGAGAAAATCGATCTCTTTCTCGTGCGCGCGAGCGTGGCGTTGATGTGTGCGGGCTCTCTGATGCTGGGGCTGTTGAAGTCGAACACGTATATTCCAATTGGTAGGTTTCACCCCTTGCGTCCAGCAGGGCTAACACGACGCAGCTGTCGCTATCTTCGCATCAGGCTTCGGATCCCGCGTCTCTGCGTTAGCGCTGATATCGTATTCCATCCCCGCGGCCTCGCAACCTGTCGTATATGCCGGCATCACGGTCTTGGAGAGCGCGGGACATGCGGTGGGGGATCCGTTGATGTTGCATGTTTTTGCGGGGTCGTTGGATGGGAGGGTGTTTTTTGTTGTTGCTGTAAGTACATTAGTGTGGATTCAAGGTGTTGTCGTTAATGTGGTGATTGCTAGGGGTTTTATTTCTGTGCGGTTGTGAGTACGAGTTTCATCAGAATTACGGAGAGGGAGAGGGAGGATGAGAGGGAACGAGTGGATTAGATGGGTTTGGGAGGGACGATGCACCAGTGTATTACAAGAATGACGGGACACCCATCTAGTATACTCATGTAGATTTTGTCTTTTCACACATCTCTTTCCCTAAACAGATATGTCTACCCTTTGTAACAAAAAACACCATTATATATTTACTCAGAAAAACTGAATATACACATAAATGTTTGGATCGAATATCGTATTTCTACCATCAGGGGCGTGTCCCGGCAGACTTGCGGCCAACTAGATGATTTAAATCCCTAAAACCGTTCAGCTCCGAAGTAATTCGATGACAAGCAAAACCTACACAAACGAAACTTCTGAAACACAGCTATAAACTTCCATGAACAAGACAAGCAATAACCAACCTCCCTCCCCTCACAACCCCAATCACCCCTCTCCAACTCATAAACCTGTTCCAACAAATCCAGTCGCCCTCAAACCAACCACTACATCCCAACTCCAAAATCCGTAATGACCGACGCAATAGCTAGACTTCAACCCCTAGTTAAACCCCTGAATATGTTCGATAATAAACAACAAATTGCATCTAAACTCCCACCTCTAAGACGCATCACCAAAAATGTCACATATTCAGAAATCTTCCTAACCACCCCAATATCCCAAACACCTCTCAAAACCCAATAACATTTTCTAAACCCAACAACCACCCCAAAACCCAAATCTCCACATGCACACCAAACCCCCAACCCCGAACCAGCATAGCCTCAGAATTACGCTTATGCTTAGTCGTCTAAAACTCACTATGTTACATACTTAACTCTTTTAGATCACCAGCCTAGGTGTGATATCACACCCCTACTATTCTCAGCTCAGGATATCTATCTCACGAAAGAAAAAACCCCCCCGTAGATAAAATACCCCTTCGGATGCGTATACAATATTTTGTCAGTACTATCTCATATCAAAAGAAGCACTTGAAGTACTTGAATATATACTTAGTTACTTGCATCAGCAACTACTACCTCTTACAATAAATACAATTCACCCACCCACACAACACGACATCCAACTTCAACCCTCAAACCTTACATCGAACACCCAAAGCCAAAACCTAATCAAACATACACCTCACATTCACCAAGCACACACACAAAAGTTGTTTTTTTATGAATTATTTAACTAATCTAAGAAAAAGGAAATTATAGTAGTTGCAATGTTTACATACAAGAAGGATGTGGTTGACAAATATATGTTCAAAGGGGGGCAGGCATACTTTCTGTTTTTTTCTTCCTCCCCCAACGACGAATCATATGTTGCATATAATCCAAATCTTTCTTCAAGTATTATGATCATCTTTCAGATCAGGTTTGACTCCCAAACCCCCCGCCTGGTTTCCAAAAACGACAAAAACAATTTTATTCAAATTGTTTCACCACTCGTAACGCCACATAACATCGATCAGAATATTTGCACGTTAACAATAAATCTAGTCATCATCCTCGGCATCGGCTGCGCGAGGAGCAATGTGCCAGCGGTCGAGTCCGTTCTCATCACGCTCGTGTTGGAGGGCGAGTTTGGAGAGGTGACCGATGATGTTCTCCATCTTGGTATCGGCGTGGTTACGCTTGGCACGGCCAAGGTTATCGAGCCATGACATCTTGTTGAGGAGGTAGTAGACGATGGCGACGACGATGATGACACCGATGGAGAATCCCCAGACGACGACAACAGTAACGATATCGGTATCACCGTTGACGGAGAAGTGGGAGTTGAGGGTTGGTGGGTTGGTTTGGATTCCAACTCCACCTGGTCCAGTGAGCCATCCAAAGACACAGAAGAGGGTGGAGAGGACATCGACGAGGAAGATGGCGCCAACGAGTTGCCAAGATGGCCAGGTGTTTGCTCCACGGGTGACGAAGATGAGCCAATTCTCAGTGAGGGAGATTTGCAAGAAAAGCATACCCTGGATTTGTTAGCAAGATTCAATTGGGAAAAGATTTTGGAACTTACCTGAGTGTTACCGTAGTTCTGGATGATACCTCCGTTTGGCAAGAAAAGGGAACCACGGAGGACCCAAGTACCAAGAGCGAGAAGTATACCGAGGATGACGGAGATGACCCAGATCTTTGGAAGTTGCCATTCAACTGGACGTTGCTCGAAGTGGGCGTTATCGTAGGCAATGGCAATGGTGGCCAAATCAGCGAAGAGGGCAAGGAAGACGATGAGATCGGTACGGACAGTCTCGTTGATGATGAGCATAGAGGTGACCAAGTAAACTTCCAAGTGGAGACAGAGAGCGATACGGTATTGGATATATGCCTTCATACGTTGGAAAATTTGACGAGCGATCTTGATGGCAGAGACGATGGTGTTAAGACCAGGGGCGAGGAAGACAATATCGGCGGCGGCTTGGGCAGCTTCGGTAGCACCCTCGACGGCAATACCACAATCGGATTTCTTGAGAGATGGAGCATCGTTGACACCGTCACCAGTCATGGCAGTAAGATGTCCACGCTCTTGCAACATTTCGACGACCTGGTACTTGTGCTCAGGGAAAACTTCAGCGAAACCATCGGCCTTCTCAACGAGATCGTGTTGAGTAGAACCAGAGAGACCACCGTGGATGAGACGTTCAGAGTTGTAAACCTTGGTGCCAAGGGCAAGCATCTTGCAAGTTTCCTTAGCAATAGCAATAGCATCACCAGTCAACATCTTGACGGAGAGACCGAGAACTTGAGCTTCAGCGATAGTGGCAGCGGTATCATCACGAGGAGGATCGAACATAGGAAGCATTCCGAGGAGCTGCCAGTCATTGTCACCCTCCTTGACGGCGACACCCAAAGAACGGAATCCACGACGAGCGAACTCGGTGGTCTTGGCCTTGTACATATCTGCGACTTCCTTGGAGCAGGACGAGAGGTTCAAGATAGCCTTGGGCGCACCCTTGGCACAAATGAAGGTAACACCATCCTTGACAACCACCGCGGTAATACGTTTGGAGACAGGGTCGAAAGGAGTGAACTTCTCAGTCTTCCATCCGAGGGAGAGAATATCCTTTGCTTTTGGGTAACGCTTGAGGGTCAAGATGGTGACTTTATCGATAGGATCGAGGGACTTGACGTTGTGGGAGGACGCGAGAGCCGCGACGGCCATCATCCAGTTGACATCGACACCTTCAGCGACGAACGGCTCGCGGATGGAGAGTTGATTGGCTGTGAGCGTACCGGTCTTGTCGGAGCAGAGAACATCGACACCCTGCAGAGAAGAGCATTAGCATTGGCCGAGGACATTTTCCGGAGCATGACGCAGCGCAGAGGGAGGGATCAGAGCAAACGCATCGTGATGATGCGGCAGAAAAGAAAATGGTATCTGCGCGAGATAGTCGCAATCAAGGCGCGCAATTCGACGCTGTGAGAGGCCGAGATGGAGTGGGAGAAACTCGAGACCAGCCATCGGCGGAGCCGAATGATCAGTCCCCTCTAGCCACCGTAGTGCGAACGTGGGGACAGCTATCACGCCCAGCTGCAGCCGTGGTGAGGGGTTGCGAGAGACTGAGTCGCTGTCCCGCGCGGGCCCAATCACCACCGCCCGCCCATCCAACGGCCTGGTGGGGTACAAGATCCGCGATGCACGTTGCAGCCCGACGCACCGCAATGGATGCACAGGCACAAGGAAAATTGTTGCTGCGTGATAAGAAAAAGAAAAATCGGGGGATAACTTACAGCGAGAGATTCAATGGCAGTGAGCTTCTGGACAATGGCCTTCTCCTTGGCGAGGTACGCCGCACCGACAGCGAGGGTGGTGGTGGTGACGACTGGCAGACCGACGGGGACACCGACAATCAAGAGGATAAGAGCGTAGTGGAGAAGATTGACGGAGCTGTCCATAGGAGTGGCAATTGGCAAGTTGTGGAAGAAACCACCGATCCAGGAGAGGAGGATGAAGAAGACGACCAAGACCAAGAGCGCCGTACCAATGGAGTTCATGATAGCCTTGAAATGACCTTGATCTTGAGCGCCGGTAACCAGAGATGCAGTGCGACCGACGAAGGACATCTTGGCCGAGTGAGTGACGATGGCATAAGCCTTTCCACGCTTGCAACCAGTAGTGTAGTAGACGGCGTCGGCGACGTACTTGTCGACAGCGAGAGATTCTCCAGTCATGGCAGATTGATCAATGGCGAGGAGAGCGTAACCAGACCCGTGTTTCTCACCAGCCTCCGCTCCATCGTCCTCGTCCTCGATGACGGTATCACCGCGTTGTGCTTCGAGTTCTGCGAGATATTCTGCGTAACCGTTGGGGTTGTCGTAACCCGAGATAATTCGGCAATCAGCTGGGACGACGGTACCATCTTCGATGACAATCTGGAGAAATTAGTGCCTGTCGTGGACGAGCGCGAAGAGCGCGAAAGGTTCGGAAGCAGAGAAAGGTAAGACTTACGATATCACCGGGAACAAGCTCACGAGCTGGGATTTCGACCTCAGCACCATCACGAACGGCAATAGATTTCATAGCAATGTCACCCTTGAGAGAGGCGACGACATCGGCGGCTTGCTTTTCTTGATACCAACCAACAATGGCGTTAAGCAACAGAATACCAATAATGACACCAAGATCGATCCAATCTTGGAGACCGGCAGCGAGGAGGACAGCAAGTTCCATCACTATGAGAAAAAGTCAATTGAGTGCCATTGTGAAATCGCGTGTCATGTGAACTGGGTGCAAACGTACCATAGAGAATTGGACCTTGGAAGTATCCGAGGAATTGACGGAACAGGTTGACCTCTTCGGTGGTCAATTCGTTCCATCCGGTCTTTCGTCGTCGAGACTCGACATCAGTGGTCTTGAGACCTTGTTTCCAGTCGGTGTTTAACCACTCCTCTGGTGTCTCGAAGCTGTCGGCCGAGCCGCCCTTTCCTTTTCGCTGCCACCACTTCTTTTTTGGCTCCTCTGCTCCAATACTACTTGCTGCGATCGAAGCCCGCCGACCGTCTTTGTAGTTGGAGATGAAGCGAACCAAGTTGCCATACTCGCCAGTGTCGGCGGTGTTGTCGACGCTCTGTTGTCTCGCGTATTCCTTTTCGACGTCCCCATTCTCCGTGCCATTTCCGTGAGGAGGAGCCATTGCAGCAGAGGTAATGCACCTGCGCACCAAGACAAGAGGGGAGATTAATTCTTGAAACTGCTCGCAACTGCACCGTACACGAAATCACCTGAAAGCACGAACAAGAGAGAGAAGGTGGGAAGGAAAAAAAGAGCTGGAGGGTGGGCAGCAGCGAGTATTTCTACATTTACTCCCGCTGCTCTTCGACTGGGCCCCACGCGCAATTGATAGCTGTGGCCGCTAGGAGCTGCGCAGATTGGTCGAAGCTGTTTTAGCACCGTCATGTTATCCTGCTGGCACGGACTGGACGGCACTTTTGGACGATAGAGTAATGAGTCTGATTAGGCGTAGCTCCATCTGGCACGCAAATGGCGCCGCGATGGCCGTGAACCGTGGATTTACAGTAATAACGAGTAACCACCCACCCACCTCCACAGCTCCAGGTTCAGGGTTCTCGAGCAGGGATGGCCGCGAGCAGGGTGTGCTGGTTGCCAGAGCGGCGTGGGCAAGGATTCCAGCCCAAAGACGTGCAGCTTGGGGCCGATTAAGCTGCGGGATTAACAGTTAGACTGGTTAGACTCTGCTGGCGTGGACGAGCACGAGGCAGCTCCGTGATGAGACGGGCTCAAAGCAGCGTCCCTCTGGGCTAGGAAGGGAAAGGGAAGGGAAAAACAGAGGAAAACACCATCGAGGAGCCGTTGCTACTGGGCAACCAGACCGTGGGAGATTGCTCAGATGGGGGAGAGGTCGGGTGCAGATGGGTGAGCAGGTAAGCGAGCGAGTGATGAGTAGGAGTGGAACACGTTGGAAATGACATAGGAGGCACGAATACGGACATATTATTGCCTCGGGATGTGGAATACAAACCGAACTGTACGAGTATGGCGAGTAATCATCCAGCAGCAGAAGCAGCAGCCTGTAAAACAGTAACCAGCGATGAGTAAGGTGGGATGAGAACAGCACTGGAAGCAGCGGAATCGTTACTGGAGCACTCGAAGGGCACTTCACGAGTAAGCAGCAGCAGCGAAACACAACGTCAGCCGAAGGGCACACGCAATAATACGGTATTGTGTTCCGTCAGTCGAGCTAGAACACAAGACTGCTAAATGGCGACTAAATGGTCTCTAAATCAAGTCTACCTTGGCGTAAAACTACCGCTAAAATAAGAACAAACCCATCGCTTGCTTAGCATCGAACCTCTGACAAGCCGTCGCTGTCGCCGTCGACGAGCGAGACCAAAAGACGCCAGAAGTCGAGCAACACGTTCTTAGCATCTTCGAAGCTCGTACGTACTGGCCCTTTGAGTCTCCCGACACCACCATCTCATCACGATCAATTGGCCAATCCGCAACCAGTAAGAACAATGACATAACACACATCTCACATCCGGCGATTGCCAGTCATGACGAGACGGACGAGGGTCAGTCGAGCAGACGGTTTGAAAACCAGCCATTGACGAATCACACCCATCCATCCTCGCCCATGCAACAAAAAAATTCCTTTCGAATCTTCAAGCTTCCCAAATGCCGCCTTACCATGCAGAAAAACTCCAGATGTCGCGAGCGGTCGGACGTAAACAAGCAAGCAATTCGGCCTAGCTCGGGATCCTCACCCATTTTGATATCTCCTGTGGGTGTGGAGCGTCCAGACGTGGGCAGCTCCTGCGGTTGGCTGGCGTCAACGATGACTACCAGCGATGGGTGAACGACAGGCCTGCAGTTTATTTCGTGCAAAATAGCCATAGGTCGGCTGGGGCGGCACCATTGTTTTGAAAATTGTGCTGTTTAACCCGATAAAGGCAGTTTTATCTCCAGATGGAGCATAGCGGATGGATGACATGCTGGACTATTGCTCGCTTAATAGGTTTTTGACAAGCCTTTGGAGATAACAAGAGATTGCATCTGGAGGCCTGCCGCTCGTAGATCAATGTTTGTATTGATTCAGTGCTCGAAAGCCTTCTTCAGCCTGCGATTTGAGGCTCCTTACGTGTGCTGGAGCGGGTTACTGTCGCTCATTTGATGATGATTGAATCATTCATATATCACAACCATCCGCAACGGAACCCCCATTCGAGGTACACGCACGACCACCTACTCCTTGCGGCTCCCCGGTTCCGCACGCGATAAAGTTGAGGGATTTGAAAGGGAGGCTCTATGGGTATATGCGCTCTCTTGCGTCTGTGGCCCTTCCTGAAACTCTTACGCAGTTCGCTGGCAGAGTATCATTTTTTTCCTCATCCATCCGAAAACATCCTTCACCATGTCCAAAAAGTCCCACGGGCCTCGCGCCCGTTTTGCTGCAGCCGCAAAGGCAATCAATCTCCGCCAAGATTGCATCTGTTCAAGCCGTTGCTCCACTCTGTATTTGAGCCTCTTGGATGCGACAGAATCGCAAAGATTATCAATTGAATGCGAAATGAGACGCCTGGATTTCCCAATACTTAGTTGACGATACTTGCTTCTTACAAAGTTTGTTATAGCAATCTCTCATCCAGATCCAGAATACGGCCGCGTATTAGCGATCGGTGGACCCGGTGTCTCTACACCGATATGCCGTTGTATTATTCCTGTTCCTGCTCGACCGAGACCGCACGGTAATATGCACCCGGCGCGAATAACACGAATAATTATTCACAAATATTTGACATTATTTCCAGCTGCTGCTTTTTCGCCCATTTTTCGCGCCGGTCTTCACGCAGCCGAAACGGCAAAGTGGAGGCTCTTCCTGCTGAGATCTTGTATGAGGGAATTTTGCTCGAGAGTCACGTGAGCTGAGGACATCTCCAAGGAACCCTAGAACGCTCATGGTTTAGCATCTCCATTACTCCACAGCAAAAGGCAGCACGATATGTACTCGAGTACGGAGGAATCGGCTTGGCAGGTACTCAAGCACCTCGAGCCTCGACTAGCTCCGGCGCCTCTCAGACGCCTCGATCCTACCATGCCCCGACCGACGAAGAGCTTCACACTGACAAGCAGGCATATGCTCAATTACAGGCCATTTTACAGGTTGGAGAAGGGTTGAACGTCCACTACAGCACCTGGATTGTCCTGGATCTCCCCTTCCGATGTTTGCGACGAGTGCGACTTTTCTGCGACTCTCCAGTGCGCTCTGCTCTGCCATCTGCAACTCGCAGGTCCCTGCGTTGTCCGTTGTTTCCTCTCCCCCAACACTCCCCACTGTATGAGCCGAGTTGAGTCGAGTCAAAACAAAACAAGGCGTCCATCTATCTGCCCCCCGGCTTACAGCTCTTTACCGCGTTGCCACAATTAAGAGAGCAGAAAAAAACTTCAACGACTCGTTACGGGTGTGTTTTATTGCCTCACTCAAGACACATTCGCTCTCACCGTACTTTCATCCACGGTGCCTGACAAGAACTCTGGTGGCTATTTGTGTGGCATATGCCCAGAAATGCCGTATTACCCTTCTTCGGACCTTCTAGAAGGAATTTTCTCTGGCGCGCGCGGCGGCCTTTCCGATGGAAAACCAGCGAGGGAATTAAATCTACAGTAAACTACGACATGAATACGTAGGTATGATTCCGACACCGCGAACGAGTTATGTCTTGCCATTTACTCATCCACATATTTACTAACATTTTTACTCATCCACATAAAAAATGATACCTGCAGATTGCCTGCACGCTGATCTTGTCCCGGCACTCACCCATCAAACCACGGCATTGCCCACTGTAACATCCGCACGCACACATCTTTTACTGCTTCTGGCATACACTGACATCTTGGCGAAATTTGATGTTTGTTTTGAAATTCGCAAGCCTCTCGATGTCAAAACATCCCGTCAAAACATACGAAAGTTCATTTGTTTCACACCCTGTTGATCGGACAATTTCTAGGTTTAGGTCTGTGAGTTCTTTTGGGGGGGGGGGGGATGGGTGCTCGAGTTTCTTTGTGATGGGTGGATTGTGGATTGATGTTTTTGATGGGAAAATATCGGTCCCGCTGGGGGGGAGGGGGGCCAATTTCAGATGTGGAGTTTGTTATTGGGGGTTGCGAATATAGAGATGCTGCATGTCGGATATGAGTATGAAACTTGTGTAAGTAAACAAAAAGGTAAACAAATTTCGTATTGGAGATGAGGATGAGGAGGTTCTTCGATATAGGCGTTGATGTCTGCAGAAAATAAAGGTGGGTGTTTCGATGATGGGTTCGAGAATGGGGATCTCGTTTTGGATCTACGATGAACTAAGATTTAGTGAGGAATCAGAACTGAGTCAGATGTGTAGGTGAGTGAAGTTGCGGTGTAGATATGAGCGATTCATTCGGGGTCTATTATTTTTTTAGATGTGGTATGGTTCTGACAGTGAGTGGATGGTTGGGAGAGTTGTACCCCAGATTTGGTCAGGCATTGCCTATATATCAATCCACCACTCAGAATCAAAATAGAATCCCAAAAAATATTTGGTTTTCTCTCCAGGTTATTTTCTAATTGGAACTTGATATGTTGGAATATAATAATTCCGTGAGGCTTAGACTGCTAGAACAGGCAAAGAAAGTCTTGGGGCTGAGGGATTTCTGTGTGAGGGATTATTTTTGGGGCGCGGGATGGGGGTATATATCTGCGCTCTCACCAAGAAACTACATTGATTTTGATGCGCCCAGAGGAACGGTTTAATTGATATATGCGAAGATATAAACGAAGTGTCGGTGTTGTGCGCGAGGTGGTATGTGAGTGGATGAGTAGACGATATAGGTACCGGTTCGGCATTCTGAGCGAAGGGATGCAGTAGGAACTATTCGAGTGGATTTCTGGGGGAAAGTGGAAGGAGGAAAGAGGCAGGAGAGGAGGAACACGAAAACGAATCGCGACGAGAGATACACACCGCATTGCCCAGCGACGAAGCGCCGACGACGAGACAATGGATGAATTGCTAATCTTGAGGGATATAATGTTCGTCGAGGAGTGGGATGCAGGTTATAGCGGCTGGATTAGCGAGAATAGAATCGGACTGCCTAGGTGCATAGGTGTTGCCGGTTGTGCGTTTTCGAAACTGCAGAAACTGCGGCTGCGGGAAGGTTGATGGGGATCTGGATGAGGAGTTTTTGGGTGGATGAATTGATGGGAGGGAGGATGAATACAAGTGAGTTGAGTGGGTGATTGTGAGTGGATTAGGGGGGTATATGAACCAAGCAAATGCCCAGAGGGAACCAAGACGCTTGAATATGGATGTTAGTATCGATCCCCTTTTTTTCACAGCTCGTTTTGAGGTGCTAATAGATAAACAGCAGATCTTTTGCAAATATGTCAAAGATGTCTCATGCGAGGTAATAGGTGGCTCAGGATGGGAAATTTGCGGGAATGGATATCGGCGCCCGAGAAAAGACACCGAGACCAAGAGAATACCAAGCAGAAACCAAGACGCTTGAATCTGTTTGTTTTATCGTCCTCATCCTCAATTCTGAGTTTCTTCGTTCGAGGGTGGACAGGTGATCTTCAGACCTGTCCTCGAAAATGTCTCGTGGAGATGTGATGGGAAATTTGCGGGTGGAGGTGTCGGTGCGAGGGAAAAGGGTACCGGGCATACTAAGACGCTTCAATTTGTATGTATTGATCCCTTCTTTCCTTTCACAGCCAATCCATTTGCATTGAGATGGAGGCCGATGGATAAACAGATGATCTTTGAAAATTATCTCATGATAAAATTTCGATCGTCTACAAGACGCGAATTACCTTCAGAAGGATGACAGGTTGAGTGAGTACATGTACCAAGCAAATACCAAGCGAGAACCAAGACGCTTAAGTCTATTCACCTTTCATCCTAATGTTTGAGTTTCAGCGTTAACGAAAGAACAGCAGATCGCCTGGAAAAGAAAATGTCTCATCAGAAATTCAGATCGGCTTCAGATGCATCCAAGACGACCAAGACGTTTAAATATCAATCCCACCAGATCCAACCCAAGACATAAATCTCAGGGTCCAAGACGCTTAAATGAGATGCCACTAGATCCATATACTTCGCATATTTTTCGGCAGTCAAACATCCATGCCTAGGTATTTCATGAGGGTATCTTGGCTACATGAATTCAATTCGGGGTGAATTAGAAGATGCACGGTTTGTGGACGTTTGAGTTGAGAATGTCTTGTGGCCTACATTTCGCTTTTTAGATTGTTACTCATCCGGCACTTTGTGAGGCTTGCATGCGTTATGCAGAGTTTATTATTCTATTACTGACGTCACGTATACTGCACGCGTAAATAAACCCGCGTGTCTATGCCGGGAACCATAAACCTTTTTGTAAGAAGGAAGTGCGCAGGAGAAGGCTTACGTCCACGAATTGTGAGTCTGGATGGGTTTCGCGTAGCTGGGTTTGGGAATGGTGAGGAGGACCGGGAAGGTCGGGGGATTAGTAAGGTGTGCGCATACGACGTGAGTTTGTTAATGGATGGGTAGATTTACGTAGGGAGGGTATGCCGCTAGGGTTATGTGTTGAGATTCGTATGTATAGGTGATTTGGAAATGCGGGAAAGCGCTAAAGGGTTCGTTGGATTGTCGAGAGATGGACGGGTACGAGATCGAATGAAAGACAGGTAGGTAGGCGATGACGATATTCTCACCCGCTTGAGATTGTGAGCTTTGCGTGTCTTGAAGGCACAGAGAGGTGTGAGTATGAGATTTGGGTCTCGAATGGGTTGGAAATAAGAAGGGAGCTTTTGGTTTAGTTGAGGCGAGTCGAATCTTTCTTTTCGCATGTAATTCCTGCGATTTCTAAGATGAGATGGTGTATCAAGGCTTTGAAGCTTTCTCGAGATAGGATCTCCTTTGCAGCTAGGAATTAATTTGAGAACAATTATCACTTTACTCTTCACTCATTACCATCTCACCAGGAGGCGTGGAGTGTTGAACAAATCAACCGCCATCCACATGGTGCTATTTTACCACAACGTTTTTTCATATTTGCAATATGATCCACTTAATCCAGTATGAAGACGTATTAGGTTCTCACTCTCCGCTGAGTGCGTCGGCGCTCTAGACATAACACGATCTTGTAGCGTCAAATACACAGCAGGTGCTCTGTCTCGGACACTCAGTGGAATGAACTATCTTCTTTCCAGGCTAGTCTCGTGCACCCAAAAAAAAAGCCAAACTCTTTACTCACTAAGTCCAAAGCGTGTACATAGCACGACCTGGTCTGATCATACCTCGAAGACCAGCTAAGTCTACACGTTCGTCTTTCAATGTTGGGTTCAAGATACGATGCTTAGTGACAACCTGGCCTAGGAAAGTTAGATTCAATACAGCGACGTTGAACCTCTTTTCCTTGGCCTTTTAGGATGAGATCCTGGATGCTTAGAATTTGGCGCGGAAAGTAGCTTCATACCTATTCTCACCATCTTCTAGAAAATAAACTACTTGACAGTAGTTGTACACTCAATTTCCCTAAAACTAGCGACGTGGAGACTTTGTCCTGACTCCTTGGCTCTTCAGGATCGCGATTATAGAGGAATGAGACATTCGTGAGTTGGCATTGTAGAGTTCACTTTGGGAAACGGGACTATTTTTTCAATTTAGTGTGGAAGATGACAAGTGCTTATCTTGGGAAGAACTTATACGTGTCCCAGGTTCTGATGGTTCTGTTTCTACTATCTAAATTTAAGTTAATCTACTCGGTCGTTAGGAGCATACATTCTCCTAGAAATAGCAGCATGAAACCGCTTCTCTTAGCTCGTTAGGATTTTGGTTTTGTGTTAAAGGAACTTGACTAGAATAGACTCTCTATTTTTCTGAAAACAGCGACGTGGAGCGTCCCATCTTAGCTCGGTAGGTTCGAATTACCAGCAACGATCCTCAGTTCTTTTAGAAGGACGATAGCGTTCATCTAGTGTGCAAAATAGCAACTTCATTTAATTTTTAGAAATGAACACACGTGGGCCGAATACTCCTGCACCAAGTGTGACACTTGCAGCACGAACAATGCATTTGGTTTGAACCATGGCTATTTTCTCCGTCCTTAGCTTGAGAAATGACTATATTTTTAGTTTTACGAGGTAGTTAAGTATGTGTAAGACTCCTACGCTCGTTTTCTTGCTAGCCAAAACCAACTGTTTGATCAAATTGATTTTTTTTATCCCAAAGCTAGCGACGGATTTAAATTCTTCTTGGCTCATTAGGATCGAGACCGTCAATTTTAGAGAGAATGCATTCGCATGTTAGTATAGTTTGATTGTTTCACTATTTTCACTTAATTGAGGATTAAGCTTCGAAGAAAGATGCGTTCGTTGTCTTACTTAGTGCTTTTAGTACCACACTATCTTTGTCTTTAGTTGTGGATGATGACAAGCCTTCTTTAGTTAAAAAAACACATGATTGTCCCTTTTGGTAAATTTTTCTTTGGGACCGCGATTATCTCTATTTTAGTTAACCTTTTTTTTCTCTGGGCGCAGATACAAGGTCACCTTACCTTCTAGTGCTTCGTTCTCTGGGACCGCGACTATTTCTATTTTAGTATTGGACGATGTCATGTTGCTATTTTGAAAACAAAACACGTTTTTAACATGTGTTGAAACCTTTTGAAACTGCGACTATTTTGACTTAGTACCAGTGTCGTGGTTTTGCTGGGTTGGGAAGAAGATACGTCATGCCGTGTGACGGTCTGGATGCCTGAAGTTAACGGATTTCGCGGATGAAAGATGCAAAATCGTTTTGAGACTTGGCATGATGAGAGAAATGCGACCATAGAATAGGGAGGGGAATCAGGCGAGGAGATTAGGAGTGCTAGGTAAATTGTAGTAGGGAATGACATACTGAGCCATCTAGTAAATTTTCGATCGCGATGAAGACATTGGAGGGTACGTTCTACGTCATGCTTTCAGACTTGACGGGAGCAACTGGCATTCCCAATTTTCTGAGGCAGCTGTGAGCCAGCTTGAGGTACCAGGAACGATTATCGTGATCGTAAGCCAAATACTCGCTGACTTGGGTCATGTTTAAGAATCTCGAAGGGTAGAAACGTGAATATTCTGTTTTGCTGACTTGAAAGCAAGAATGAAGGCCGGCTGTTCTAGTATTTCATATGAGTACGTTACAAGTTCATCATTTCGATCCATAACCCGAAGATAAGAGATCCTCTGTGCGCCAATTAGATGCGAAAGATTTGTTAGCCAAGTTTTGAGAGACATAAAGAAGATATACAGAAACACATGCGATGATTTTATGAAAGGAATACAAAAAGTATATATATGACTTAATATAAGAGATCTATTCCATCTCCTACCATGGTATACATAGTCCTCCTGAAACCCATGTCGAGACAAGTAAGATTACAACTCCCAGCCCAGCGACCACCTTAAAGAAATCCCCCCTTACGTCCAATACCCCGAACACTTATATCAAACCCTCAACTCCCCGTTCAAAACTCTTCATCCATCCCATCGTATCCCTCAGTCACATTCATTCATCACACTACCTCTCATCTCCACCCCACGCTCCTCGACAAAACCCACAACTCTTCTCCCTCGTATCCTGATGTCCAAACCACGTCTCATTACACTCGGAATGCACATTGGTTCCGCAACAACGACACCACTCTACGTCTGAAGGAAGAGTGTTGGGTACGAAGTCTTCGCTGCAAATGTAGCAGGGTTCGGTGGTTAGTGGCTTGCGAACTCGGGGTGTGGGGGAGGTGGGTGATGAGGTGGGAGACGTTGGTGGAGAGAGTGGGGTTTGGTGAGACGATGGGGTGAGGGTGGAAGATGATGATGATGATGTGCTGGATGAGGATAAGGGTGTTGTTGGTGAAAGTGTAGGAGGGGATGTTCGTCTGGTGAGTGGTAGAGAGGTAATTGAGGGGGAAGTGACCGTGGGTGAGCTGGTGGTGGAAGGTGAAGAGGCAACGGCAGGAATTGGAGTTTCATCCGAAGGTTCATCTCCTGATGGTGTAGAAATAATCCGGCTAGGAGTATCTGGTGTAGTCTCCAGATTCTCAACTGTCGATACCTCATTTTCTTGTCGTGCATGTGGAATGGCCCGGAGAAGATATGGCAAGATGGTTGCGAGCAAACCCATCCTCTGAAATCCGATTTCAAACAGAGATGAGGGATTGTGTTGAGCTGTTGGCGAGGCAAGTGTCTGTATATTTGTTAGGAAGTGCAACTGGAGATAGGGGTGCAAATTTTACCTGGCTGGAACCATCTGGTACTGATATTTGTTCGGGCTGTTGTGGACCAAGAGTAATTGAAGCACCCATAACACTTGATGGCTGAGATACCTCGCTGATTGATGAATGTCCGAATGGTAGTTGTGATTGGTATCTCGGAGGTGCTGTAATCTCTTCTCTTTCGTGTCGAGATTCAGTGATGAAATCATCTATCAAATCAAGCCACTCAGCAGTAAGACTGTGAACTTGAGAAGTTTCCTTCTGACGATGCCATCTATCACAAAGAACAAGAGAGGCGATATCGTTCAACATCTCGCTGGTATCCCGATCAAGGCCAGTAGCGACAATATTCTTTCTGGAAAGTCGATCTAGCAGGATTGAAGCTTGGTGAGAGTCTTTTTGGACACCCATCCCACATCTTGTCCTCCCATCTTTGTTCGTTCCAGCGCATCTGTACGATAAAAGGTCGATTTCAAGAATTTGTCGTGGGTCCCAGCTGATTGACATGTTGTCGGATTGGCGTTTGTCGGAATGGTTGGCGAAGAGGAACTGAATATTGGCGATGGGATATCAAAAAACTTGATATGACAAACCTACCATGGCTTTTATAAAAATTCTTCATTCAATCCAAGCCCTTCCATTTCCAACTCACAGAGACTTCAATACACTTCCCCTTGCCCAGGGTCTCGCTTAACTCAGCCTCCAATGCATGTCGCGATGCAAAAACGCCTAGAAAAAGCAAAAAGCCGGCTAGGAAAACAATTCGCGTCTGAGTTAATGCAAAGTTCGAAGGGTTCTTGGAAATAGTCCGGGGTAAGAAGACGGAGTACTGAGCACGGCCAAGAGGTTTGTCGGGATAAGCGAATGAGAGAGCCAGAAAGACACCAACACGAATTCCAACATCTGCAGCCTTCAAACACCGGGACGGTGATGAGACTTCTTGGAGAATATCCCCGAGAAATGATGCTCGCTGAGCCACCGGAAAGGACGCGACGGAATGAAGAGGTTTGGAGACGAGGAGTCTGGAAGTTTTGGAAGGCGTTTTAATAGATAGAAGGGTAAATTTCAAGGATGAGAGGAGAAAAAACTGTAGGCGCATTCCCTGGGTCCGTGGGGGGTTCATGCTAGGATAATGAACGGTATGGGAATCGGTGAGGAGGTGGGAATGGTACGCGTCTTTGCAATTGATTCGAGCAGTTCGTAGATTGACCATCTTTAAAGGTGATAATTCCATGAATTTGTCTGTTTGAGTTTGATGAGTCCAACACTACGCTTGATTGTTCGCAAGAGAATGCGTGAGTAAAAGGAAAATAAAAGCTGACAAAACGAGAGGTCGAAGTCATCTCAACTGAGTATATCTCACAACCTAAACGAAGGTAACCTACTCAATTGACCTTGTTTATCCAAGCTCAGTTACAAAACCCCTACCATTGTTGCAGTTCCCCAAGCCTGGACCAAACACTCTCACCCTGTAGTGATGACAAGCCTGTAACCCCTGAACACGAACCCCTAAGTGAAAGGGTTGATCTCACTGCCACCTGCCCGGAAACTCTCCCATGCGACGTACATTCAAAGCTAGGACTTTTACCGAAGAAACTCTTGGTCGACGTAGGCGCCTGTTTCGGTGAACGGTTTTGGGTGTCTATAACACTGAAAGTTGGAGGTCAATTCTAAGCTGTAAATCCCGGTCTTCTGAGAACTTCTAGGGTATTGTCACTGCCTCACCCACGGACTAGAATGCAACAGAACTGAATAGATAGGTATGCATTGATTGAGTCATCGTATCACACACCTCTTCTCGGGGGGAGCCAAAGATTGAGATGCTAAATTGAAGTGAGAATTTCGTGAAATCTTTTCGCTCAACTTTTAGCATGCTTACCCGCCACAGACTAGAACGTGAAATACAGGAAATCGATACAGGTAGTGATTGAGTCACTCAACTGATCTTGGGCTAAAAAGGTCGAATTTGAATAGAGCGTAATATGTCTTATTTACTTAAAATAATTAACGAAATATCTTATATTGTTCCAAATTAATACACTAAATAACGATATTTCGTCACCTTAATCGAAGAAATACCGTGTTTCGACTACTACTTATTTTGTCCACCGCGAGTCAGGATAGAACGAAGAATAGTAAGAGACGGTCGAGCCACCATTCATATCATTGTCCAATGACACCTCTTTTCCAACTTGCAGCTGTTCTGCGCGGGATGCCTGGACACGTCTGTTAGCTTAGAGCAAGTATTATTCTGAATGCGAGCAGCCATGTGTAGAGAAGTAGGAAGGATTATCAATTGACTCCATGTTTAGAATTCAACACAGCGTATGTGCAAGAAATAATAGAGGTTCTCTCTGTTGCGCCCACAGGATTCGGGAGAATGATCATTTCCCCCCCGTTTCTTCAAAAGAGTGATTCAAACCATGAAGATGCAACTTCATGTTTTGCACAATTAGGATATCTCATTCCCATCTGCACTCAAAAACCCGTCACTTGGTACGCACATAGGGTAGTATTTCCCACGGCACTTCCAACACCAACAAATCCTACCTACCCACCGCTGCAGAAGTCACACGCATATGTAGGCAAACCACTGGCTAACGAATTTCTTGTACACCCTTTGGTTTGAAATGCAGAATTCCTCGCATGATAACCATAAGTGGCTGAGTTTATTCGCTGAAGATATAACTCATCTCTTTTACCATCATTTTCCACTTGGAAAGCGAATGTTTATTTATATCTGTAAGATTTCTGAAAAAATGGCTCAAGCTTCTGCAACTATCCCGTGTATACTGCCAGAGACTAGTGGTATGACAGTAACTTCGTTCCTACCCGTATTTACATCATGGCCGGTCCCAGCGAATTGATCAGCTGTTGATGGATGGATTCTCGAAGGACATCCTACTTTCAGTTCGGTGTCTTGTCATCCGGATATATTGTGGAGTTGGTGGGAGGTTGAGAGGGGACAACTTTCCAAGACGGTTTGGAGTTTGGGTCCGTTTGAATGTCCCGAGTTGTATACTACAGCGACGGTCACGGAGGTGGCTGCTGAACAGGTTGAGGTCGTGTGTTGTCCTTCGCAAGTACAAGTCATTTCGACTCTGGTTAGTAAACTTGCTGATTATTGTAGGAGTTACACTTTTGTGGAAAAGGTGCCTCGGAATAACGCTGGACAATGCATGTCGCCGTTGAAGGTAGGCCAGGAAATGGTATACACTACCAACAACAGCATTCCGCAAGAGCCTCCGCCTACTGCTATTGCGGATGGCAACGATAGGGCAGTATCCAAAAGACAGACGGTAGAACACCCCTGCTTTTCCTGGGGTGCTTGGTCAACAGGAAAGCCAGTAGGCCATCCTTGCTGGCTTACAGAATCTCAACCTGCTTATACAGTTACGACTTCGACGATCACAGCTCCATCTCAAGTGTATGCTTTCCATGTAAATGGAAGGAATTTGGTGGCGAGACCAACAGTCAACGCAACGAATACTACGAGAGTAGTTTGGGTAGCACGAGTAGTGTTACTCTCACAACCAACACCACCAATGCTCAACAGCCATTCTCTACTCCTAGCGAAGCGGTAGCTGGAATTTTGACCCATAGAACTCTTTCGCAAGGCCAGTTGATTGGAATAATATTTGGCGATATTACAATTTTCTTGTTCGCTTGTATGGGAAGCTGTGTTTGGCTTTACAGATACAAGCAAAGAGAAATGGTTTTGCCTCGGTTTCAGGAGGAGCTCAATGAGTCCAGTCACTTGTCGGAGCTCAAGAGCGAGTTACCTGGACATGATAGCAGATTCGAGATAGAAGGCAGAAATGCGGACAGGCAGCTCATGCCGGAAGGGGTCCCAGTACATGAGTTGTACACTCAGGAACATATTTTAGAGTTGTCTGTAAGAAACAGTCGCCGGATCAGTTATCGGTAGAATTGAATACTACACAGAGAAAGAGTCATCTGGATTACTGGAAGGTATCTGTAGAATCTTGACTTATTCGTCGGATAATGTGCCAATATTTGTGAAAGAAACGCATTGTGATTTTCATCACAACTTCAAACAGTCCAACCGAGTGTCTTCAACACCAACCATGGATTCGTTGAAGATCACACAAATCAACGTCCAGATTCATTTGACCGTTTATGGATGAGTCGGTAGACGCTTGATCGCCACTTCTTTGGCCGCAATCCAGACTTCCTTCTTCACTTTTCCGGAATGTACCCCTGAAGCATCCGAGTCTTGATCTACCAAACTACTTTGCATACTGTGGCTCGCCTAATACAGATACTCGCAGCGAGAGTCTCTGAAAGAGTTTGTTACACAAGATGCGCTACCAGTAGAATTTGGCCGTTGAGATAACACCAACCGACATGCTGGGCCGTTTCATGGGTGTCTACAGCGTGATACTGAATGCAGAAAGGATGGATGAAACCTGGTCGCCGATATAGCGTACTAATCCGGAAGATGAGCAACGTCAAGAGCTTGCTCAGACTCTGTATTGGGTGTTCACACTTGCATGACGGCCATGCACATCACATTGGAATGAGGCCCTCGAATGGGGTTTTCCGGGTATGGGTGTCATATCCTTTTGCTCCATAGAGATTGAAAGAAGGTGAGTACGCCGTAAGTGAAGGTTTCGAGAGATATCTGGAATATTATGAGTAGCTAGTATGGAAATGGTTCATCATCAGGGAAGTGCTAGAGTACCAAGGAGTCGCAATGCATTCGGAAAAGCTACCACGAGTAACGACGATATCGTATCCATCAGTATTTGTAGGAACGCGAATATGAGACCATCGTGATGATTATCAACAAAAGTTCGGAAACAGATGATGGAATTCGAAGACGCGAAATAAAAGCAAGTCGCGGGTTTTATGCGAGCCTTATGCATGTTTGTGCAAATCTAGGTCCGGAAATAAGAAGCCGGGTTTTCGGAGATAACAGTCGAAGACACTTTCCCCTCGATACAAAGTCACCCTTTTCCTTGTTGCATCTCGATTTCCTTCCGTTTCATCCAGTTTCTTGATACTCGACATCCGGTCATCTTGATTATATTTTCAGATGTACAAAACCACAATGGAGAATACGAGTGCACAAGATAGCTTTCCGAGCTTTCACTAGTGCACCAGGTGTAATCAATGTGCCTGATGAAAACACGAGGCGAAAATGCTAAGCTTTTCAGCGCGAATTGCAACAATCTACGATCCGATCGTAAGAGGTTTAGTTTCTGGACCTTGAATACCTTATTTTCACAGTTGGCAAGAATGATGCAAATACTTCCGCACATACGAATCATTCCCCATGAGGCTTCGACCACTACGCACCATGCACGTCTTGCGAGTATCATGAGTAAGAATATGCTGATATTAAAAGTTTCTTATGCTGACCAATCTAGGCCTTAGTTTGCCCTTGCGCAGTTGACATTTACAACGTCGACCCCATCTACTGTGGCCATCATCCATGGAAGTCCATGATCTCCCACAACCTTCAAGATGCATATAACACAACACGAGCCGCGCGCTTGAATCGTACCAACAGCCAGAAGCACTGCTTCAACGACAATGGAAATACTATCTGGTCAGCGCCCAGTCAGACTGAGGCTGGCTCTCATGTAAAGCCCGAGAGACTGCAAGTCTGTTCTCCTGGAAGAGACTCACTTCATCGTTGCCACCAAGCCACTTTTGGACCCCAAGGAAAGCTGTTAATATCGCGGCGACAACCTCCCAGTCAACAAAACCTATGGCAATAATGCTAGGAGCCAACATTCCCTTGATGAGCCGACCTTCCGGTCGAGAGCGTGTGAAAGGGTTCACGACCAGGAGTACGAAAAGAAATACACCAGGTATTTGCTTCCAACGCGAGAGTGGCACACGCCACATTGTTTTCCATACTTCCAGGAAAAGAGACTCGGTGCATGCCGCAGACAAGGGCTTTCGTTCGAGAATTGCTGAGGTGAAGATTAATGCTGCGGCTCTACAAGTTTGATACATCGTGTCGTTGGAAACAGCGGCCTCTTTATCAGCCATCAAGCGATCATGGATCCATTGGACTGTTGTCTGAAACTTGATGCGAGCCTGGTTTTGGTCTTGAGCTCTACCAAGAGATAGCATCGACGCAGTAATAAAGCGGGTGTCATCTAGGACCTTGACTCCTGCCTCACTGATTTCACTCTCCGCGGCAAATTCCTGGAAAGTGGTCTTGGACAGTAAGAAGGGGCTGTTGAACTGTGATTGAAACGTTCTGGAGATCTCGACCGGTTCTTGAGCGCCTTGTACGATCGGATCGCACTCCAAGGTACAGGCGATTTGTAAATCTGTTCTGGTCATGGTCAGCATCGACTGCCCCTCTCATCAGTGGAAAATAATCTGCAAACCTCATCAACATCATTCTCAGCACTGGGACCTGGATGCTTTCTATTCCACCTCGACACTTGAGCATATCCCGCACACCAGTCATGTGTGCATTGGTACTTCGTGTATCCGAATACACAAGCTCATTATAAGCCAAAGACATCACCGCTGCAATTGCCCCATCGTCGACTCCTCTGCTGCTCGTTGTAATATGCTCGTTGATCATAGTGATAAGCTTTACTTTAGTGGTCACTACGTCTACAGATTTCTCAACATCAATACCGCTTGCTGCGGCTTGACAATATGCCGCCGATAGGATGCAAAGGTAGACAACCATTGGAGATTGGATCATGAAAGGAATCCATTGCGCCATAAACTTTTCTGGCGGGTCGGTACCGTCAATGCTTGACATAAACGGAGCAAGCTTCTGCAGAACTGTTGGATTTGTTAGCTTTGACAGAGTTCTGGTATGAGAGTGAGAACTCACAGAAGTGAAAAAGCTCCGCGTTGCGACGCGTCGGCTCGATTGGAAGAGAATACAGGCGCTCGACGGCAACATCTCCAACCTTTTCATTAAAGACCAAGTTGTGTGGATGATTCGAGTGGATATCATATTGATAATATGGGTTTTGCGAATGCACTCGAAACAGTCCTGATATCTCGTCGTCCTCGTATTCGAACCCGGAACTCAGGTTTTCAAAACCTGGACATGTCGAATGGCTATAATCATATTTCTCAACGGCATTTGCTTCTTCTGGCTGACTTGGTAGTACAGGATATGTTAGTCTCTCATGCTCAGGAAAATTCGTCGCCGGGCCCGATACCACCGAACCATCCCAAAGCCTGGGGTCTAATACAAGGCTTCTTGTCGAGTTGAATCCGTGTTCTTCGTTTTCGGCTTTTATGGATACATTGCGAGCATCTTGAAAGTTCGCATTTTCCAAATTTGTTTGTTGTCGTTGTGTGTTTCTGGCAAAGGTTTAGCGAGATTCCTCTATTGGAAGTTTACCTACTTCGCATCTGCATATACACAATCAACAGGTGGGTAGCGCCGGGCACAGTTATTGCAAGGTCGGTCTCTGGCCTTGTTACACTGAGATACCCATATAATCAGCCGTCATGCCATCTTTCCTTCGGTAGATGAGGGGTTGACCAATCAAACTTTACCTTTTGTTTTCTTCTCTTGCATTCAGTACAGGAAGAGGAAATACGTTGTCTTGGTTTTTTCCCTCCCTCTTTCCTTCCCTCACCATGTGTATCGTCAGTCCTAAGCATTCCGTTTGTCGTCTTGTACTCATGGCCATTTCAAGATGCTATAAATACCTGCGCTGGACTACAAGTCCTTTTTAAGAGTATCACGACTCCTCATGCAAGGCTTCGGGATTAGATCGTTTTGGGTTTAGCCCGCTTTTCCTCAGCTCCCCTGGGAAATTCCCGTCCCGGAATCCTGGAGCTGGGCATCATCGTTGATTTCTTCAACTTCTTTATGATTTCATTGGGTTTTGTGCGAGCGTCGACTCTTATTTAGGAGTCATCAAGGAAGTTCTGCACATGGTCGGAAGCTCCGTGGTCCCGGCGAGACCTTGACACCATTCACATTTTACAGAATGACGGTATTTTGGATCCTGACCGAAGCCCCGCACAAGGCAGTGGTATTAAGCCTTTCTGATTTGATTGTGAAGGCAGCCAACGAACTGCTGATTCGATGACGGCTTCCATACAATTCGGTCTCATTATTGTCATCCGAGATACATGAAGGCAGTTAGATTTTGCTACCTCTGATCAAGTCCACAAGCAATCTTCGGGCTCTGCGAATTTTGGGCATCGTACGACTCACACCATAATCACAGACCACGAATACTTATGCAGAAGTCTGAGTTTGTTTGGACCTGCTTTGTTCGCGAAAAGCAGCTATTTTGGTAACCTAATGGAAATGATTCTTCTGACGCACTCGTAGTTCTGTTGATGCATTGGCCTCAGCGATTCAAGAATAGTGCTGCGAATATCAGGGATAGCCTTGTTTATAATTGAGGTCTCCTCTTCGCCGAGATGCACTATCGAGGACAACTTTGCGTTGACAGGCAGCTGAAATGTTAGCTGAAACCGCTAAGGTACAGCCCTATTTCGAATATGCGGGGGCTTGTGACAGCGTACTGGGTGAATCCCGTGCCACATGACTTTGCTCGACCTCGACGGAAAGTTCACTTTTCTTTTTCTACAGGGCTATATGTTTTTGAATTCTGCCTATGCTATCATCGACCTCGTTTGAATGACTTCTTCTTGTTCAACCCATTATAAGGTCAAGATACGTAGCATTTGCAACGACAACATTTGGACGACCGCCTCGTCCTGGCCTTGGTTTCATGATTTCTGTCGCAGCGACACCATTCGCTATGTATAAGCTTAGTCTGTACAACAAAAGCGCCATTGGCAATTATTTTCCGCGATAGAATTCAACTTTGCATTCTACTTCGAGATACTTGACGGAGAACTACTATTTACCAGAGGTTTGTATTAACGATGACTTAGGCTTCTGATATGTTCTATAGTAATACTTCCGCGCTATTTTCGGTAATATAGCGAAGTTGCAAAGTGATATCAAGTTATTGGACATTGAAGAAGAATCACATGGCTCGAGAACTGCCAAACACATACCGCATGCGTCAGTTCAACGACGCTTTCGAAAGCGTAGCATGCTTGGATTTCTCGATGCGTACCTAATAACTTTCTATAACTCACCGAGCACTTCATCAGCAGGAACGATGAGCAGAAAGTTGCAGGACGGGGATCTTCGACTGGGAAATGAAGTTGTTGAAGTGGATACGATAATAGTTCATTCCCTTGGAGTCGGTTAAGAGAAGCTTCCAAGTTGAAAGATTTTGCATTCTTTCGCTTTATTGGTCTTTCTTAGAGAGTGCTAATAATCATCACAAGCCAGTCATAGTATCTATTGGAAATGTTCCGAATCTGGCTTTGAAAACGTCGGCAAGGAACGAGACCAGCTCTTATTGACAGACTGGCACCGGCTTCCGTACACTGGCTTGTTCCGAGCACTCCACCATTTACTTGATAGTGGCTTTCATATTTCACTACTATGTGGTATGCCATTTTAGGAGAATTTACGATAACTTGTGGTTAACAAAACGGCAAAACGCGAAGAACGGTTTCTTGGAAGAACGATCATTCCTAAGGGTTTCGTATTATTGGGCGAGTCTTTTTTGCAGCAAATAAGTCACAGAAATCCGAACCGCCTTGTACGTCCTAAGTAGAGTTTAGATTTCTGATAATATATAGTATCTTCTTTGCGGAAAAACTACTAGCAATGATTTTCTCCGCAAAGGAAGCTTGAAGCCTCCAAACCCCACCCTCCGGAGCATTATCGGCATTGCGGGGAAGCTCCCCTGCTCCACCCCAAAGCACATCACCAACCTCAACCGCAATTCCACAGCATCCCACTCTGCTCGAATCCAGTACTCACACCCTATGCCCATCCTGCGAACGACACTTCAATTCCTCCGCACACTTCGAACCCGAAACCCTCTTCCTCCACCGAATTTTTCCACTCCTCAATTCCGCACCATGGCTACCGCAATGGGCAAACGCCTCGCCGGCAAGACCATAGTTATAACAGGTGCATCTTCAGGAATTGGACGATCCTGCGCCCTCGAATTCGCACGTACGAGTCCGAAAGATCTAAGACTCATTCTCACGGCGAGGAGAGATGATAAGTTAAAGGAGATTGCGGAGGAAATCAAGAAGGAAGTTGGGGAGGGTGTTAAGGTGTTGCCGTTTAAACTTGATGTTAGCAGCCCCGAAGAGGTCAGAGGTTTTGTGGGAAACTTGCCAGAGGAATGGAGGAATGTGAATGTTCTTGTCAATAATGCGTATGCTCCATCCAGCTCCCGGGCTTTTGAGTTGTAACTGATTCAGTACAGTGGTCTTGTAAAAGGTGTTGCGAAAGCCCCCGAGATCGAGGAGGCGGACGTGAAAGTCATGTTTGATACGAATGTTACTGGACTTATAAACATGACGCAAGCCATTCTCCCTATTCTCAAGAAACGAGCCGACGGAGGTGCTGGGGATGTTATTAATATCGGAAGTATTGCGGGAAGAGAGCCATATCCAGGTGGAAGTATATATTGTGCCACGAAAGCAGCGGTTAGAGCTTTCACGGATGCGCTGAGGAGAGAGTTGATTGCGACACGAATTCGGATTATTGAGATTGATCCTGGACAGGTTGAGACTGTGAGTACATGCCATCTCAGTCTTGATGGGTCGAATACTGACCTTTGTCGCAGGAATTCTCAGTTGTTAGATTTTATGGCGATAAATCCAAAGCCGATGCAGTATATGCGTAAGGATCTCTCAGCTCATTATATTCGCATAGCTAACCCATGGCTCCAGTGGTTGCGAGCCATTAACACCCGACGATATTGCCGAAATCGTAGTATTTACTGCCGGCCGAAGAGAAAATGTCGTGATTGCTGATACTCTTGTCTTCCCAAACCATCAGGTATGAGCTGCTGTTTCCTTTGTATGCTGCGTACTAATTGTGAAAGGCTGCTGCGACGGTTATGCACAAGAAGTCATAGATGCTGATGTGTGATTAGGCGGGTGCTGGGGGTGCGTTGTATAAGAAACCTACGTAGATCGTAAAGGGGTGGCTTAGAGGTAGCATGTTGGGTTGATCATGTGGAATCTGTTATAAGAGGACTGGGTGTGGTAGAATGAACTCATTGCTATGAGTTCTCACCGTCGGAACCTGGCAGATGAAGTGAGGGCCCGCTTAGATTTCGATGTTTATCATACAACAGCTACTGATAATGAAATAGATAGACTAGAAATTGCTTAAGTCTAGCCTTGGTATCGAAATGCTACACGTTGTTTCTATCGTCGTTCTCGGGAGCTAAACCGTGATGAAACATCTCTCGACTTTCGTATTATAGCGGTCGCACATTTCCCTCGCCAACCCACAATATCCATACACTCTTCCTATTTAACATTTAATATACTCCTAGTAACATGCAACTACAGAAAAAGACCTATTCCAGATGTCTTCAGTTGTTGACGTTTGACCAAATCATGATTATGCACTGGGTATATCGTCAATCTACCTCATGATATCCTCGGAGAATGTCTGTCTCGTCTCACTAACTGAGCAGGCTGAGCGTCAGGAGTTGTTCTATAAAGGGGTTGTTGTTGCCGAAATTTTTGCTGTTGTCGATTTCATTTGTTCCTGATTTGAAGTGGTAATAGTATTTGCGACTAGTCGTGAAAAGATCAACTCCTCATCTGCTTGCTGAAGGAGCGACCGAAGTTCTTCGAGATGTCACATCTGGTTCGAAGCTGCGAAAAGTTCCACCGAAAATATCAGCTCATTCCGAAAGGCTAATCATGGTTCAAGGACGCCTTCGTCGTACTCGATGTGTTTCGAAACTGGGACGCTTGGTTCCTCTTAATTTATCTCGACAGCTCCAGGTTTCGTGACACAGTGGATATCTGATATTGTCTAGGGGCTGTTCATACCCGCTTTCCCCGTTTTCTAACGCCCACAGTGGGTTTGCTTGAAATAGGTTATGGATATGTTTCGGGGATGTTTTATAGATCTGAAAAGACCACCATATTATGATTGCGTAATTACGTTGCGCGTATAGTAGTTGGCTTGTTCAAGAGGCTTGTTTGAACTATTCCTTTTAGAATGTTATTTGCGCATTGAGTTTCCAAATGCCAATGACAAATGAAGTTTCTAAATTATCCAATTTCGGCTTTATCTCTGAGGTCAATTAACATAAATCTACTTTTTTCCTAAGAACTGGGAAACATTGGTATAAAGCCAAACAGAAACCTCTTTCAAATTCTTTCCATGATCATCTCTCCCACACGTTGCCATGAAACCATCGTTGGTAGAGAAATGTCTGTCACCAAATATAAGGCGGGAATGGCCGTGATTTCCTAGCTTCTCTGGGATGATGGTGGAAAAGGGATACATGTGTGACTTTCGACTATGTCTAGTGACAGATATTTATTAATTCGGGTGTTGTTGTCGATTTTTGTTTTACTACCGAGTTCCATCCTTGTGTTAGGAGGAGAACGTTGGGAGTTATGAATGTATATTAGATACAGACATTTTCTTGAAGATGAATTTGGGTTATGAGTTGAGGTATTGAGAATTAAGTTGGAATTCAGGCTATCAACTAACGGACAGACATGTACCCTCTCATCTGCCGTTTGTTGGGGTTACAATTCGTAAAGAGTGGACATTTAGGATTTTATGAAGAGGTGTGGTTAAACAATTAAGATGCTGTGGACTCATAAAACCTTTGAGCCGTTTTCGAGTAAATTAGACTTGGTGTTTTCATAGATGCTAAAAATTTGTCAGAGCTAGCCCAATGGTAGCCATTCATCATAAGATAAAATGAAGTATCAGTTCATAAAAAGCTTACAAAATTCAAATGTAAAATTCTAAAAGCCAACACTTATGGTTTCTCCAGCATGTCAAGAGAAGAAGGATCACTGGGTCTTAAGGTAGGTAGGATAACGTCGTCTTCTGATGTACTTCACAAATGAAAGTTGGATCTGGTACACTCATGAGATATGAAGGTACTTCCCTTTGTCCTGAAGTAACTAAGTGTATATAGATAATAGATCAACGCCTAGAGATATCGACAGATACATGTCCAGGCATAGGTATCAGCATCAGGTATTTGGGCCTCCAAAGCTCAAATACAAACCCAGATGGGTCGACCCAGAGCTCCTTGACCACGATAATTCAAACAACAGAAAACCCCAGAAACGATTAAACTAAGACCTCTCGTATAAGAAAGATGAAAATCAAGTCTCGTTATCTTGTTCTTAATTCTGACAATTTAATAGGGATCGCTCAGGGTAATCCTCAGGAAGCGAATCCCGCATCACAATATATCAAACGATCGAGCGATTATCTTTTTATCGATCCTGAAAGATGAAGATGATCTAAAGAGAATGGAGAAGGCATTAGCATCACCGCATGCCTGAGCAAAAGCAAGAGTTAGACGACGATACTTCGGAGAATGGAAATCACCAGATAAACAAAGAATTATCACAGTCCGCCAATGTCAAGTGACACAAGCGAATTGGAAGGAATCAATGGGTGGACAAGTCATTGTTATTATCGAAACCGATTTCACTACCGAATCTTGGTTTGTTCAACATAAATCTCTTGTCATCAAACAAAACCATATAAAAAGGTGCATTGTGAAACAAATGATATGAGGTAGAACCCATACCAAGTTTCTGGATCTGTGTTATAATGTGGATTATTCTTCTGATCACGCCTGGTCCAAGACCATTGGGTCACTTCGAGCTATTTCATCCCTTCACGGTGAAAAATGAAATAAATATGTCGATTTTCCTGCTTTTCATTCAATGAGAATAGGCTTCGCTTTATTTTCGAGGAGATAGTAAGGTGAAAAGAATGAGAAGGTTTTGATACATGTTCAGATAGATCGTGAAATTATTATGTAGGGGTAGAATGGTGTTTTACTTATCGATGGCAACTTGGTAAGAGTTACTAGTTACAAGTATAATCTCTGATTGACATGACTAAAGTACAAGTCAACCAGAATACCGTTAAGAACGTAAAAGTTACAGGGAATCTAACTACAACGCCATCTAAATGTTCACCAACAATCCCTCATATGAGCTTTCAGATTCACGTGAACCAGAACATTTTCGAGAGAAGTGCCTTTGTTCGACCAAGTATTGCACTAGTCAAGATAGAAGAAACGAGCATGGAGATGAATCGTGTCATGAGCACCGACGAGAACTCTTTTGACAGAATGATAGAAAATCGACTTGTAGCACAGCTATTATGCCGATGAAATTACGAAGGTCTTGGTGTTGCTGCCGAAATCTAGTTTACTCCCGAACATCACTGCCCCATCTTGCTCTTCAATCAAGAATTTTGAGATGGGTAGATTCTCGAAGAAAAGTTCTCTCATGAACATGACTCCTAGACGAGCTCGAACACTTCTACCCTCATTCCTTCTCTACACATACCTAGCATCAGATGGCTATGACCATCACCTGGCTGGCTGGTCTTCATGTAGCTTCTAGGTCTATTAGTGAATGTCATATTTTTAAGCAGGAGTCGACACGTATCATAGGTAATTGTTCAATGAAGTGGGGAGGTTGAAATTCAGGAGATTTGAAAGTAGATGGCAATAATTTAATTTAGGGCTATGGGAATTTGAGATGGAGTTTGCTCGTGTGCAGGATTGACTGTTTTGTAACTGCTTGAGATCTTGAAGCTCAACACCTTAATTATATTGTTGGTTGAAAGCGCGACAGAGGCTCTTCTAGATGAACTTATTAAAACCTGCATGTGAGGAGATGTGAGTTGATTTGTTTTTCACCAAGAATGTATACACAAAAGCGTATCTGGAGGTCTAAAACACAAGTCAAGCAGATTTCAACAAGATGCGGTGTTTTAGAAAGTCGGTTTTGTTAAAGTGGAATGTTTGTATTATTACATTCCCAAGTCCTTCAAATGATTAAGGGTATTTTATTTTTAGCATGTTGAAAGTATGAAGGATTCCCTACCAGAGATGTCAATTTATAGTCGTGATCTCTTTATCGGATTCAGAGAAAGCTGATCTGAGTTCTCAACACACGTATAGAATGCAATTTAAAACATTTCAATTCATTGAGTCGTATTTCATAATTTACTCAAAGCCTCCCTGGTTTCAATTGAATGTTTTTTGGTGAGTAGTTCAGATCAGGAGACACCATTGTCACGAAACAATGCAAATTGCTGATATTTCATTTGTTTATCGGGCATGCTAATGCTCAGAACAATACGCATTTGTGAAGTCGAAGATTTATCGTTGAGAAATTGGCGTGACATTAATTTTTTGGAATTTGAATTTCGAAAACTTTCAGTGGAATCCAACGCAGCGACCTCTGGAAATCAAGGATTGATTCCCAAGCAGCAGGTGCTGACTTCACTCTAGAAATATGTTTATGTACGTCAAATGTCAGCTGACATTGGTTCCTCGTCGTTCAACAGACTGATTATCAGCATAGACAAGGATTGTGCCGAATGTCCGTACTCCAGAACCGCCGCTTGACGGTCACTGAAGCAGCGATTTCGCATTTGCAATCCACCTAGGAATGTTATCCTTGCGAGAGAATGTCTCTTGATCTCTGCGAATTCGAAGTTTCTCTTGCCTCTGAGTTCCAGAACTCAACCACCAGCACGGAAGCAAAACTCCGTCCACCTTTAGCTCCCGGTCCCGTTGTGATTCGAAAACAGGCCCGAAGCGATTCTCGGTCTGTTGCGCGACACGATTCCAGAGCCGTTCGCGCTTCCGCGTTCCCCCTCCCAACTACTCCCCATTCCAATTTCTTCTGAAACTTTGTGATGTCTCCAGCCAAAGCCTCTATTTCCTAGACTTTAGGCATCCAAATATGTACCTTTGAGCTAAGAAAGTGAAAAAGCCATGAGGCTCTCGCTGGTGCCACTCGGGCAACTCTGAAAGGTGGGGGAAGCGGAGAAAAGCGGGCGGCGGAGAGCAAGCCGAAGCTTGTGAAGGACGGCGTCAGGGGAGGCGGTTGTTGGGGCATGGTTGGTGAGTTTTCCAGTGGATGGAAGCGCGAAAGATTGATCCAGATGCTGGCTTTTTTATGAGGAAATGTACTCTGCAAGTAAGAGTTACGAGAGAGCTCTGTGCGAGTTGTAAACTACTTGAAAAGTAGGCAATCTTGTCGTTTTGGCTCATTAGCCAACGAGTGTTGCAATTGGGAAAACCCCGCGAAGGTATCACAACAGGGTCCCTATGACCTCGGCTTCTGGTTGAGCGTCTTGAAGGTTCTGACGAGTGTTTCCCCGTACTTTGCCCTTCCTATTCAGTCCACCAACTTCAGTTGGTTTTGAGATACTCCCAAGATGCAACTGCTTACAAATAGCACCCCTTGATCAGGAATAATTCGTGATCACAGGCCCAATTTGCTTCAAAATAGTACATCAACCTCCTCGCGATCTCGCCCACCGATGTTCAGAAGGCGTTTTCGCGAAGAAGCCACCGATGGCCAAGCTACAGGCATGGGAAGCCACTACCGTCAGCCACCAGATGGACCAGCACACGAAAATCAGCCTCAAGCAGACCACTTGACAAAGATCTCGACAAGACTAAAGATTTTAGCACAATGTCAGCGGCAAGACTAGAAATCCATCACCAGGGATAATCGACGCTAGTTCTCGAAGCTGTTGGCGCGGAAAAGTCTTTGTAGATCTTGTGGTACGAGATGTGAGATGATAAGCAATAGATTTGCCTTCATTTGTGCGCGATAGGGACGTAGTGTGTTTGTGTGTAGATAGTGATAAGAGAAGAGCTTCGAGAAGGTCTGGTTATGCCTCGCTTAATCGACACAAGGAAAGAGATAAAATAGCATCATCGTTATTGTCTTCATTGACATTATTTTGATTTCATTCCAAGAATCAGCGAAGCGGTTATCCTTTCGCCGAAGTCGACAAACTATGTTCGAGACACTTTGTACGTACCCTGTCAACTAGTGATGTCGCCCAACGAGGGGTTCGCTTTGGTACCATGGGGAAACCTGCTGATTATTGCCCGAAAGGGGGGTTCCCCGTAACGCTTGTGTACGATGGGCCGAAAGGCATAACAAGAACCGGCAAGCAAGCAACCACAAGCAAGTCGAAGCTCTCTTGGATCTCACACCATGGCGGCCACCGTCATTTCACCAAGCCAAGGGTCCACCACACCCAGCATCTTGGCACCTCTCCGGCGTTATAGCGGGGTGTTGGTACATGGTCTTGAGCACGAGACTGAGTTTTTGATGTCGAGAAGGATTCCTAACCAATCCAAAGTCGCTATGGGAGGCGCTATGTGAGAAAAGTTCGATTCTTGTTGCCTGAGCTGGTGTGGAGGATGTGAAAATGTGAGGAAGTGGAGATGTCTAGTGTGGAGGGACTGGGGGAATGCCATGGGAAGCTCCACAATCTCATTCGACCTATGCCCCATGGAGTGTTGATCTCGAGGCCGCCCATGCAGTTGAGTGACGAGCTTATATATTTGACTTCCCCTCATGTATCATTGTTGTGCGACCCAATTCACTTGCGTTTTTCTCAAGCAATTGTTCTCCCTCTCCCCAATCATGGCTGAACAAAAGTCAATAACTGATACCACCGCTCACCGGTAGGTTGTCTCACTACATTGCTGTGATCCTCGAGTTTCATTTACTGATTTCATGATAGCGACGACAAAGAGAGAGGTCTCTCAACCGGCCACATCAGTCTCAATGAGAACCTAGGCGCGAAGTAAGTTCATGTCATTAGCGACCAATATATCCCTTGCTAATTCTGCCTCAGAATTCGCAATCCTCTCGCAGGAATTTCCAGAGAGCTTCTCCTACAAAATGTCACAGCATTCACCAAGGAGAAAGGTCTCGAAGAATACACAGCTCTTTTCCGAAAAGGCGCTCTCGTAGCCCAGGACCCGGGGAACTATGAGGACATCACAGGAGAGGAAGCATTGACGCCCGAAGAGGTCGAAGTGCTTCGCGATGAGGTCCTACACAAATGGCGCCATCCCATGGCGTTATATCTCACCATCTTCACATGTTCGATAGGTGCTGCCGTTCAGGGTTGGGATCAGACCGGTTCGAACGGCGCCAATCTTTCTTTCCCAAATGTTTTCGGAATTGGATCTACATCTACCAAGGATACATTACTTGTTGGTCTCGTCAACTCTGCACCTTATATCGGATCTGCTTTCGTTGGGTGTTGGGTATCTGACCCTATTAATTACTATGTCGGACGCCGTGGTGCCATTTTCATCGCTGCCGTCTTCTGTTTTCTCCCGGTTTTCGGATCTGCTCTATCGCAAAGTTGGCAACAACTATTTGTCTGCCGTCTGCTCCTTGGATTCGGAATGGGAGCTAAAGGCTCTACCATCCCAATTTACGCTGCTGAGAATTCCCCTGCTGCGATCCGTGGAGCGCTGGTCATGTCGTGGCAGCTGTGGACCGCATTCGGTATTTTCTTGGGAACCTGCGCCAACTTGGCAATGGTAAATGTAGGAAAGTATGCTTGGAGATATCAGCTAGGTTCAGCCTTTATCCCAGCTGTTCCACTGTTGCTTTTCATTTATCTCTGCCCTGAATCTCCTAGATGGTGCATGAGTAAGTCCTCTCCAGCTCCGAATTGTCCAGAGCGAATGCTGATTATCAAACAGAGAAGAACCGATATCCACAAGCTCTCCGGTCTCTCATCAAGCTGCGAAACAACCCACTTCAAGCTGCTCGTGATATGTACTATATCCACGCACAACTAGAAGTCGAGTACGAAATTATCGGAAACAGTAACTACTTTACCCGTTTCGCTCAGCTCTTTACCATTCCTCGAGTCCGTCGTGCAACACTCGCATCATTCACTGTCATGATCGCTCAACAGATGTGTGGAATCAACATCATTGCATTCTACTCATCCACCATCTTTAAGAACTCTGGATTTACCGACTTCCAAGCTCTTTTTGCATCTTTCGGCTTCGGACTTATTAACTTCCTTTTCGCCTTCCCTGCAATCTGGACAATCGATACTTTCGGACGTCGTGCTCTCCTACTTTTCACGTTCCCTAACATGGCTTGGTCACTTCTCGCGGCTGGTCTTTGCGCTCTTATTCCAGTCGAAAACAAAGCTCATCTCGGTCTTGTCGCCCTTTTTGTATACATCTTCGCTATGTTCTATAGTCCGGGAGAAGGTCCGGTCCCCTTCACTTACAGTGCCGAAGTCTTCCCTCTTTCCCACCGAGAGGTAGGAATGGGATGGGCAGTCGCTACCTGTCTGTTCTGGGCTACTATTTTGACCATGTTCTTGCCTCTCATGCTTGAAGCCATGGGCACCACTGGAGTATTCTGTTTCTACGCCGGTACCAACATCGTCGCTCTCGTTATGATCTTCCTCTGGGTTCCAGAAACTAAACAGAGAACACTTGAGGAGCTGGATTATATCTTTGCGGTACCAACGAGGGTTCACATGCGTTATCAAATCACTGAAGCTCTTCCATGGTGGTTCAACCGCTGGATTTTGAGGAAGAAAGGGGCCGTCCTCAGACCTTTGTACCAGTTTGATACATCAAGCGATCAAGACCGCATTGAGGCTCTTTATGCTGCCGATAAAGCTCGTGCTGATAAGAAGACCGCTGCTGGTTCTGATAGCCAAATTGAGAACACGCGCGGTAGTAGTGAGGAGATCACCCAGGAGAAGTTGTAAAGCTCGGTGAAGGACATGGTGTGCCGAGTGGTGGGATTGTAGTATAATGGCTGTGTGATTGGGTCGCGTTTATATACCACATTTCTTTTGATCTGATATACCACTTGTTTGGGTCTTGTGGATAGATAGATAGATCTCTTCTGGGGCTTCCGGAAGAGTTATAGAATAATCTTCATCCTTGATGTTTCATAGTTACGTTAAACAGGGTGATTGTCCCAGATTGACAACGACTCTCAATTACCATCCTGTTTCTCCGTTCCGGTTTGATCGTGTCCTTTGGATATCCTCTTTACGCTCTCTGTGTCGTGACCTGGGTTGATGACTCTAAAGAGGGCTTAGGAGAATTCGACATTGAATGCGGAGAATTGGTCAACTCATTTTCCGCAAAAAACTGGTCTCAATTTTGGCGGAGGTTGTCATGAAACAGAGCTGTCTTCGTATTTTGCAATCCCTTCCTCGACCCAAGTTTCCAGTATAAAATCTCCTGCCTCCACGAGCCTAACGGGCGTACTCTTTACGCCTCCCAAGTCCTTTCCAATTGTTGCACTTCCACCACCATCCCCAGTTTGGAGTCCGGGTTCTGTAGGTATCCAAGGTTGTGGATGTCCGATGGGCGGATCAGCCTCGTCCCTCAACTCCACCGCCATCGTGTATGTGCAATTATCTGGCAACTTCCCCAGCTTCCGCCCAGTATGTTCTAATTTGCCAATCGTAGCTCTCAATTGCTCCTCAACGTCCACAATATTGCTCATGCCCCGATTTGCGCCTTCAAACTCTGTGTATTTTTCCTTCTCGTCCACCACTGGAAAGCGACTTATATCGAAGAGGTATCGTTCTAGAACTTCGAGACTGGATGAGTATATGACGATGACGACTCGACTGACGGAATTAGATGCGAGGAGTGGTGTAAGGGATGCAATGGAGCTGTTAATCCACGCACAGACGGCCGGGTGACGGTTTTGATGGACGGGAAAGTTATAGGCTCGAGCTGTGAGGAATGTGGATGCTGGATATAGCTCGCGAGTGTACAGGATTGTATGAATAGCGACTGTAAGGAAATCTGCCAACGTGCGGTGCAGAGCGAGACTGGTGTTGAGAATTGGTGGGGGTGGAGGGGCAGATGTTGAAGCCATTCTTCATCATGCCCACCGTACTATTTGCTCCTTATTTTGAATCCTTTTGTAACTCAAGCGCGAGGATCGTATCGGATTAGATTCAAGACTTTGCCCAAAGAATCTCGAAGTCGAACCTGCAAGCAAGTTGTAAATGTTGTGTTCACGGTCACGAATCATCCAAGCGCGACGCGAATATTCCAGACCCTGCAGCAACATTCGCGTCTTTCCCACAACTGACCCATATGGACATCTGACTCGACACAACAATATCTCAAACACCAACTCCAACTCCAAATCACTCAGTATATAGTCTCTTGCACATCACAATAACATTGCGAACACCAAATACCTCTCCATCAACCATCTGCGGAGCCAGACGGCTGCTCTCCAAACCCGTTATCCACCGAACATGGCTCAACCAAGCATGGAGGACCAGCTTCTGGTCATCCTCTCCGATACACTTTCCAGCTCGAGTGGACCAAGAAAACTTGCCGAAGTCCAATTGAAACAAGCAGAGGTCCAGACTGCTTTCCCAGGAAGTTTGGCGACTATTGGATGCCACGCCAATATAGCTATCGAGGTTCGGCAAGCCGCCCTGTTATCTCTGCGAACGTTCGTAGACAAGAACTGGAGCGGCTACGACGAAAATGGTCCGACTATTACCATTGAAGAAGGCGTCAAGGAACAATTACGACACAGCATGTTGGAGTTGGCTACAAGTAATGCGGACAGAAAGTTGACAAAAGCCGCGAGGTGAGCTACCCTTGCTTCGTTTTGGTACGGCTTTGAAAGCTTGCGCTAATAGCTGGAATGATAGCCACGTTGTGAGCAAGATTGCGAACGTCGATTTCCCAGAGCACTGGCCAAACCTTCTGCCGACCATATTGCAGGTGATTTCCACCGCTGATGACACCCAAACACATGGAGCCTTGAAGGTGCTTTCAGACCTTGTAGAAGAATCATTGAGCGAGGACCAGTTCTTTGCTGTTGCTCGGGATATAACCAGCGTGGTTTATGCAGTGGCCGTCAATGAAAACCGCAAGTTCTCTCTGCGAGCTTTGGCGGTCTCCGTCTTCCGCAGCACATTTGATATTATGGACATGGTGAAGGATGAACACGGACAGGAAGTGACAGGATTCGCGGATGAGGTTATCAAAGCATGGTCTCCCTTCTTTATGGAGACCATGCAGAAGAGGTTGCCTGCCAAGCCAAAGAGCGAGGATGAGGGATACGAAAGCTCTACTGCTGACAGAGCCAATACATGGAAAGGCTTAATCACTTTGAAGCTTCAGGTAGTGAAGACTCTCGCAAAGGTCCGAACAGTTTTCCGTCAAATACTTCTGCCACAAAGCCCAGCTCTGTTTACTGCAACCTGGGAAGAACTGTCATCACTTCAACAAACATACCAGGAAATGTTCATCGAAAATGATGAGCAGGGGAAACTTGAAGACGCCGATGGTATGCCTTACACTCTAGATCTGCTGGTGTTAGAGGATCTTGATTTCTTATCCTCTTTTCTGAAAGCTCCTCCAGTCAGGGAAGAGCTCGAGAGACAGATACAGAGTAACTCTAGCGTCGCAGCAACGCCCTGGGTCATGGATATTATGAAATTGGCTGGAGGCTTTGCGCAAATTGGCAAAGAAGAAGAAGACCTATGGGATATTGATGTCAACCTCTATCTAGCAGAGGAGAGTACTGTTACGGCCAACTACACTCCCCGAACGGCTTGTGGTGACCTACTAATAAAGCTGGGTGAATGGCTCAATCAAGGTGCTCTAGAGGGTTTGTTGGCGTATACTCGGGATCTATTTTCATCAGAAACCATTAGCTGGAGAGTTCGAGAGTCAGCGCTATACCTCCTGACCCCGCTTATGGTAGATTTTCTCGATATGACCAAGCCTGTCACACCAGAAGTCGCGAGTGGATTTCTACAACTGGCAGAGTACGCTATAATCAGTCCTAATAATCCGCTTCTAAGAGCTAGAGGCTATCTTGTAGCTGCACTGCTAGTACAATATCTTCCAGATGTTTCCCTTGGACTTCTGGACCGAACCATTAAGGGTGTCAATGGAGACGAGTCTGAAGTCGTCAAAGTTGCGTGCATACGGGGACTCCAAGGTTTCATGAAAGCACGTACCGTTCCTCCGGGTCATCAGGTACCTATCGTTGCAGCCATATCCGATTACCTTTATGGAAAAGATCTAACAGAGTTTGACGATGCAAACGACTTACTAGTGACTTTGGTCGAGTCATTACGCGATGCCATCTCATTGGATCCATTTATCGCGATCTCCAGCGAAAGCACACCTTTGGATCTTCTTTTCGTTCTTGCAAAGCATGGTGCTGCGGATTTCCAGCTGACAATGCTCGTAACGGAAGCCTTTGAGGAAATCGCAGAGGCTCTTGCTCCAAGCAATGAAGCTTACAATGCATTATGCGACAAGGTCATACCATCACTCACTAGCGCCTTTGATATAGGTGGTATGACAGGTGATGACCCTCTTGTCGAAGTACGCGTTCCGCAATTTACCTTGATCCAACCACTAACAACTGTTCAGCTCGCCGCGGAACTCCTTGCTATCCTCACCCAGAAAGGATCCGAACCTCTGCCACCTAAATACGTCGCTCGAGCCCTACCGAAGCTTAACCGTTTACTAATGTTAACCACCGAGGGAGCAGTTCTTCGCCCTGGTGTCGAGGCCATCAAGTACATGTTGATGCATGATCACCAGCAAGTGTTTGAATGGCATGACGAAGAGAATCGGTCAGGTTTGGAAGTCTCTTTGATTATCATTGACAAGTTACTGGGTCCTAATATCGAGGATAACGCCGCATCAGAGGTTGGTGGACTCGCCGCTGAGCTTGTCGAGAAGGCGGGTCAAGAGCGTCTTGGTCCATACCTGGAATCTCTATTGAGAGCAGTTGCCTCGAGACTGGCAACCGCCGAAGCTGCACCCTTCATTCAGTCGTTGATTCTGGTATTCGCACGGCTGTCACTCGTTGGAGCCCAGGATGTCGTTGAATTCCTATCACGGATCGATATTAATGGCCAAAATGGTCTACAAGTAGTCCTAAGCAAGTGGACAGAGCACTCTGTAAACTTTGCAGGCTATGATGAAATCAGACAAAAGTAAGTTCTATTTTACTCGACCAAAGGTATATCTAACTTTTCTAGCGTCATTGCTTTGTCAAAAGTATACAGCTTGAACGATCCCCGGGTAGCTCAAACCATGGTGAAAGGTGATCTGATCATTCCAACTAGTAATAGAATCATGACCAGATCGCAAGCTAAACTGAGTAAGTCTGCCACTTAGCTACACTTCCTTACTAACAACAAGCCAGATCCAGATCAATACACCATTATTCCTGCTCCTCTTAAAATCATCAAAGTCCTCATCGAAGAACTTCTATCAGCGTCAGGTCACCAAACTGCAGCTCAGATTGCTAGTCAAGCCGCCGAATTTGCGGATGAAGACAATGATAATGATGATTGGGAAGATGTGCCAAGTAACATTCTGGACCTCGGCCTCGGGACTACGAAAGCAGATCTCATGGCTTATGCTAATGAGGGTACGGCTAGTTTTATGCGACAGAAAGATGATGAGACGCAAGCTTATCTGGTAGAATTCTTCCTGAATGCCACGAGAGAGAATGTTGCTGGGTTTAATGAAGTATACGCATTGTTGACTGATGAGGAGAAGGGAAAGTTAAATGAATGTGCTGGGGGTGCTGGACAGACTCAATGAGCTGTCATCTCACATTTTTGCATGACGATTCACAATATTGCTTTTTTTGCATTCTGGATGCTGGGTTGGATTAATTGTTTGTCGATAGAAGGTTTTGGGTTGCGTATATATGAGATTACGGTCGTTATTTCTTGGGGAGGAACTGCGGAGGTTCGTTATTCTTCTAAGAGCGTGGTGAGTGTCGGGACGTCGAAATCATGGCAAGAGCTGCGTGTGATCTTCTGATGAGAGGAGAAGAAAAGTTTTACGTCTTTATGAATTAAGAATGATACCATTATTTTCTATCCCTTTACTAGTATACCCCTATCAACAACTAGTCATTGGCTTGGTACAACCACATTTCATCAAGCACTCCTACACTTTCTAGGGGTATTCTCATTTAAGTTTCCTCTGCTGCGAAGGGCTTCACATGCTACGATCTGTGGGTGAAAATACTCAGTGTACCGTTATATATTAAGTTCAAGGCTGACATTCGAAGGACAGAAACGAGCACCCCGGTTTTTCACTTTGAGAGCATCGGTTGCCTGTCGATGTATTCAGGTAGGTGCCCCAATTATTCCTTTTCCCTTCCTTTTCTAATTTCATGGATGCAGGTTGACTAGTGATAGTATGGAATCCATCTAGCCCCCGCTCGTGGTGGACAAATTAACTAGCAGTCCACATACTATATTTATTCTACTAGGTTAACGAAATGTCACATATTTCGTTTATCGTTTTTAGTAAATATGGTGGCTCGGAATTAGATTTAGGTGAGTTAATAATTAAAAATTATTATTTACTCTTCGCTATGGAGGTAACAGAAGATACAGGAGTTTCTGTCACTTATTTGTCCTCTGCGAGCCCACCCTCTCCTCGCAATTGGCTTCATCAAATCATCTGCTTTCGAATCTACAGATATCGTTGGCGTTCGAAATGCAGGACCACCATCATTATCCGCTGGAAGCCCAAGTATACCACTAACAACCCAAAATATAATTTTACTCCTCGTCCAAAGCCAAGGAATTGCCCACCGCTTGCGGATTCCAAAACAAAAATTTCGGATCAAAATCCCTCTTCAGCTCCAACAGCCTATTGTACGTGTCTGCCCCATAATACAGCCTAGCAGCAGTCGTCGCATCCAGCTGTGGATCAATGTAATTCAAGTATGCCGAGAAATCACCATCAGGCTGCGCATTCTCAACCGCGGCGTTAAGCCCTTCCACGAGAGCGATGGTATCAGGATCGAAAGGCGGCAGCCCATTAGTTGTATCACCGAAATTCTCGAATACCCACATAGCATCTCGACGAGCAAACGCCGTTGAATTCGACGATGGGATGTTGAGGGCTGATCCGGGACCGCCGTAGAGGTTTATCACGCTTCGGAACGGTTCTCCTTGATGTGCAAGGACATAAGACCAGAAACTTCGGATGGCGGCCGTAGTTAAAGGATGCGCGTTTTTCGTCATGAGCGATTTGACGTAGAATGTAGATTTTACGTTGTATTCATGGCCGAGTGGCTGCTGTAAGGGTAATCCAAGCTGGCCGGCGACTGCAGCGAGTCCTTCGAGCCAGCCTATCGTTTGAACGATTCGTGTATTGTACCTAAAGCCCGACAGGATGGCTGGTAGGACGGTGTTGTTGAATGCAACAGCGTTGCAACCGATACATGAGCCGGCAATGAAGAACGATCCCCGGCCGTCTGTGTTGAAACCGAATGTCATGTTCGGTGTAATGAGCGGTGATGTAAGAATGAGGTTTTGAACATTCTCAAAGCCTGATATGACGGTTTCGATATCTGTCAATGAAGCAGATAAGTTCGAGGTGAAGAAGATTGTTGATGGTGGTGCGGGCTGGGTTTGTACATAAAGGTAGGTAGCGATGCCGAAGCTTTCTCCTGCGCCTCTCATGGCCCAGAATAGGTCAGGATAGCTAGTAGATGAAGTGTGGACTTGTGTACCATTTGCTGATCAATTATCAATGCCAGATCCAAGTGATTTCGAAGAGGGAATAGGACGTACCAAGAACAACATCCAGGCCTACAATGGTGTCAAGACTATATCCCCAGTATCTAGCAGAAAATCCCCACCCGCCGTGTAATGCGTGTCCAGCGATACCAACACCTGGGCAAACACCATGCGGAATTGCCCGTTGTCCTTGATTGTATAGGTGGGTTGCCACATTACCAAGTCTCTGTCCAGCGCCAATCTTGGCGATGAAAGTAGCTAGATCTCTGCATTAGTTCTAACAAGCAGCTACGTGTCTTGTTGAAGCTACTTACATCGATCAACCTCCACCAGATCGAACTTTTCCATATCAACAATCAAACTGCCATCCCTTCCGCCGCTAGAATAACTCGCGTAAGAATGCCCGCCCCCTTTTGGCTGCACCTTAAGCTTTGCTGCCGCCGCACAAATCACTGACGCACTGACGTCCTGAGCTGTTTCTGGAATCGTGATCACGGCTGGCTCGTAAACCAAGCGTAGATTATGAGGAGTTGTGTAACTTGTCCAGTTGGGGGAGTTGCCAATGATGAAGGGTACTTTGTGGAATTTTAGACATTTGGTAACATCTTTGCTAGGTCCCGCCTCAACGGAAGAAGTGAAAGCCAGAGAGCTGATGAGCAGGCTCAATTGGTGGATGGAGAAATGCATTGGGGAAAATTGGTAGAAGATGGATGACTTGATGAATGCTGCATGCACAAAAGAGACTTGGTAGGAGTAAAAGCTCATGGATATATAGGGGATATTGTCATAAGTATATTATTTTGCCTCATATTGGCACGGAGAGTTCGAAAGTTCCTAACTCCGTTGACATGTCAGATTAGCTGGGCGAGATGTGAGAAGCTGAAGTGTAGACTAACGTTTACATGCTGATAGTGGAAAGCCAAGTAAAATGTGTCTTATTTCCGTTCGGGTGATGTTATGTTGTTTTGCACCAGTCCATTGCAAGTCCGACGGGACATCTCCTTGCGGTAGAATAAAGGTACTCTGCCTAACACACTATAATTACGCTATTTGTTCAAGTAAATACACAATATTTTGTCTATTGTAATGGGTAATATACTTACTGCGAATAGAGTGTTAAAAAGTTCTTTTTTGAACACAGCTATACTTGAATAGTGTCCCATCAGTCTTGTAATACGCTGGTGGTGTATGATCTCGCTTAGGTAGCTTTATGTGCCTACTCCTCCTGTTCTCGCTCTATTTTCATGTCTGTTGGCTCCATAAAATCAGTACTATAAAGCAGATATGCTCATTTCGGAGACCTATTCGAGCTCTTTTACTGGTCGGATTCCCGTAGAATTTGAAAACCCAGCACCACGAGCCTCAAAACCCTCATTAGTTGTTAACCGTCGAAACCGTGTTATGCCATTCGCTGAATAAGTAGAGCGAACGGACTTAAAATTATAATGAGTAGCTCTGAAATTACACCCATGGTTGGCTGACGTATACATTGGCCAAGCTGTCAGATTGTAACTGCTTGCAAGGCTGACTTACACGGGTTAAGATAACCTTACCTCATCGTCGTGCGCATGATGGACACGTAATATCGGTAAAAGGACTTTTAGAACACCGATTAAGGTTAGATATGAAAGAATAAAACCAGATGCTGAATGACTCATAATGAGTCCTACAAGTCAGCACGGTCTGATCCATTTCGAAGGGTTTATCAGGCGGCTCGGCGGTTCACTTGGCATTTTTGGAGCGAGGTATAGTGCCGGGCAGTGGAGGTCTGGCTCAAAAGTGGAGTCCGCGAAAACAGCTAATAGAATTGTTTCAAAGACTAATGATTCGCTATATTTCTCACTATTTATTAGAGCTTAGGAGGCCGAATGCCGAGATAGCTTTTTTTCTTTATAAAGGAATATTGACCCTTTTAAGGCTTTCTTGACAAGAAATCACTTTTATTGTGACGCCCGTAAGATACAGTAAGTGAATAGCTGGTATAACGTGTTTACTAAGATTCTAAGTTAAAGAGTAAAGTAGTAGCTTTCCTGGAAGGAACCAAGGAGGCTAGTCACGTGCGCGGAGCGGGACACCGATATGCCGGCTTGGCGACTCCAACCACGTCGTGACATTTATTCAACTATTTTAAGATATTATAAAATATTAAAAAATCTTTTGTAATCTTATCTATTAAGGAGAAAATGATCGTGTTCTTAGTACTATCAATATTACTTTACCCCTATTTTCGTGTTCTTCGGATAATAGTTTACACGGCACCATTCTGTGGTCCCGATTAGGCTGTCACATGGGCACAACCTGTTTTCGCCTTGCCTGACATACTTTTACAACATCACAACTAATTACACCTCAATACAGCCTGCATAAGACGATTATTTGTTTCACCGTATAAGCGCTCACAGTGAAACGATACTGATTTCGGCACTTTGACTATTCGTCATTTCTTCTGTTTTCCATTCGTCGAGTTGAGTCGACGGTGACAACGCCGAATTGCTCCACTCCTCCAGCCTTTCTTGCCATATTTGCTGATTTCTTTACGACGGATGTTGGGGGCGTTCAAAGAACGGCGCCAACCTGCCAGTGCTGGTCTGTCTCAGGATACGCGCCGAAGTGACTCACGGAAGGGTCTATTGACAAATGTATTGCAGTTGCAGTAGTGACCGGTAACCTCTCGAATTGGAAGTGAATACAACTAGTTCCACAACGAGCGCTGACCGATCATTATGTCCTAATGAGTTTGACTTAGCTCTCAGCTTCGTCGTGCAACTCCTTTGTTGCAAAGCGTCAACGGTGCAATATTTTCAGTGGTTGATCTCACGTTCCGGTATCGTCAAAATTCATACCCAATCTGATAATTTGAAATGGATTATAAGTCACTTGACGCAGATCGGAAGGAATTCCGACTTCTTAGGCTACGATCGCGTTCTTATCAGCCTCCTCCATCGCAAGAAGAATCTGAGCTCAAAGGCATCAATGTGTTTTGTGAGCTGGAGCACGCATTCCGAGGAGATTGCGACTCATATACCGCTCTCTCATACGCGTGGGGCGACATGAACATCAATAATTTACAGCCAGTTTTTGTTAGTGGTGCAATCATCAAGGTGAGCTTCAATCTTGGAGCTGCTCTCAGAGAATTGCGTAATGAACAGAACGATCTGCTGCTATGGGTTGATCAAATCTGTATTGACCAGAACAATATCGCAGAAAGGGAAGAGCAGGTACAGCAAATGCAGGAAATATATACCATGTCGGCTCGAGTAGTCGCTTGGATAGGACCAGCTGCCGATGACAGCGACATGATTATTGCACATTTGACCTCGATAGGAGAGAGAGCTGAAAAGGTATGGAACATGCATTTGTTCGGGAGAGTTTATGAGGCCGCTATACAGCACGCGTTTATGGAGGTGCTTCCTATTCTCGCTGACCGTAAAGCTCTTGGAATAATGTCCAAGGCATCTACAAAATTCCTACAGCGGGAATACTGGAAAAGACTTTGGATTATACAGGAGTTTGCCGTGGCTCCCAGGGTTGATGTACTATGTGGCGGACAACTTATCCGCGATACTACACTCACAACAGCTCTCAACTGCATCCTAAGTGTGATTTACTACCTTGAAGATCACGGGGTGAAAGGAACTGGACACAATCTTGCGACCTCTGGCCATACGATTATCGAAGCTTACATGCCTATTCTCTCAGCCTCTAAATTCGTCAGAGAGGTAACATCACGGCGCAGCGACTATCGGAAATCAAAATTCATTAGTAGAGAAAACACTCTGTTCCATAACGTCGTTTCCACATCCGTGACGAGAGATAATACTGGTAATCATGAATGCACAGATCCCAGAGATCGTATCTTTGCAGTTCTAGGGCTCGCATTGGACGCTGTCTGTTTCGATAAATTCCCGGATTACAGAAGTAGTGTCGAAAACGTTTATACAGAGCTAGCTATGAAGCTGTTGAAAAATGGGCCTATTGATATACTTGCCTACTGCGTCCGTACCGAGCCAAGATCAATGCAGTCTTGGGTCCCGGACTGGCGTATGGCGGGATTGGAGCCAAATTCATATAGCCCATGGAGAAATAACTTGGCATTTTTAGCATCTGGACGCAAGAAGTTTGAAGGAGATGTGAATTTTATAACTGGCCGCATGCTCTCCATCAAGACGGCGGTTGTTGATACCGTGATGGCATTCGGAGATGTCTGGAGTCCTGACCGGCGCGGGAAATTGGACCCGGAAGCCACACTCAGATATCTTTCTGAGATCCGAGGGTTTTGTGCTCAGTCTGAACGGACTAAATCGGATGAAGTAGATTCCAACACCTCTAAGATTGCTATTGCAAATTTTGAACGAGCGGGCCATTCAGAGTATTCTCTGGATTTCGAATTGAAAAGCTACCAGCAAGTCCGAACTACGTTCACGGGTGGAGGAGACCATACTACTGATTCCAGCAATGGTGTTCGGTTTGATAATTTCACTAGATATTGCAATTTGATGAGACGGCTCCGACCGTGTCGACCTTTCATATCAGCTACGGGATATGTTGGCCTCGCACCACCACACGTGGAAACTGGAGACAAGGTGGTTGTATTCCTAGGTGGTTTGGTACCATATATCATTCATCCAAGTGGTCCTGATACACATACACTAGTGGGTGAAGCATACGTTCATGGTGTTATGTTTGGGGAACACATGGAGGGCAATCCTAAGATTGAGACGCTCATACTGGAGTAATGAGCAGCACGCCAGCGCTATGTCCACTTGGAAATTTCAACAGCATATGCAGGCGTCAAGATTACAACGAAGATTCGGGAACTGAATTGATTGATCTCATAACAGAATTCGATATTTGCGAGAAGGAGAAAATTTTCATTTGAGCTTTACGTTGAGATTTGATTTCATTTCGTCGGCTTGCCTTGGTGGTATTCCTCGCTATTTGGGCTGTATTGTCACTCTGGATGAATTTTGGGAATATGTAAGTTGAATTTTTAATTTATAGAATATAAATATTTGTTTATTTTTGTTTAGGTTATAGTTAAAAAGCCAAAGAGCTAGTGGCCCTTCGGCGCGGAAGAGTGGAGATGATTTCTCTTGCTTTGGGTCAGAATGTAGCGAGTTGCATGTTAGAGAGGGAGCGAGGGTTTGGGATCCAACGGTTGTTTATTGAGCTGTAGTCAAGGTATCTCATACTGCTCAATTGCCAAACCCCAGCATCCCCATCCTTTCCAATTGCGCTCTACCCTCCCCAGCATCATCCCTCACAAGCGTATGGCAACACTTGCAGACGTACAACCCACTCTCCAAACCTTCCTCCTGCTTATTACACCATAAGCACATCTCCTTTCCGCCTCTCGCCCTCCAAGCCATCATTCTTCCTAGCACGCTATTTAGATGCTTCCATCCATTCTGCATATGCTTATTACATATCCAGCCCTCCTGCATCGTATTCACGCATAGGCAGGTATCCGTCCATTGCGAATTTTCCCTTAAGCTACCGGCGCAGGAGGTGCATAGGAATGAACGGTTGCGCTGCGAGAAGGTGAAGAAATGCTCAAGTGAGGCACCATCCTGGGCGCCTGTCTTGCAGTAGACGCAGGTGCTGAAGCGCGTAGTATGTGCGAAGGTGTCACAGTCCTTGGATGGAAGTCCCATACACGGTTGCTCTGCGTCGTCTTGTGAGACCTTCCCTTCCACTTTGTCGAAGAAAAGAAGGCCTTCGCCACACTTGTAGGAGTCATTGGGTGCTTCTTTTATGTCGCCTGGCTGTGGTGGGGCTAGAAGTCTGTAGTTTGGCAGGACCTCCTCTGGAGACCATCGTTCGTTGCCGACGAGGAACTGCATCTGGTTGAAGCCGTGGTAGTTGGCGGTTGTCAGCTGTGCGAGGGGGTCGGCGTTGTTTTGAGGGTTTGTGGGGATAGTTGGAACGCCTGCGGCGTTGAGGACGGGCATGTCCTCGGTTAAGTGTTCTGCGTTCAGTGGGTGGAGGGAGCTGATGGGGTTAGATACCCGGGAGGTTGACTCAGGGGCAGAGTTGTCGTTGAGGCCGTAGACAGACGCTGCGTTGATGGCTTCTTGCTCTGGACGCTGAGGGAGTTCGTATTGACCGTTCCAGCCGTTTCCTGGTGGTGCGGATTGGGCTTGCAGTTGGTTTAGAGCTGTTAGAAAGGTGTATGGTTGATCTTGCTCTGTCCCTGGTTGAAGAGTTCGTGCTGGTGCGTAGGAAGAGACCTGCTCATCCGGCTCGCGCGGTGGTTCGAAAACTAAAGGTGTTTGTGACTGCTCGGAAAGTTGTGCTAACGCTTGGGCTGCCAGCTCTTCATCTGCTTGCAGTTGGGAAGATGGATAACCTTGGTCTTGCTGGAAGTTTGCGAGATTAGGATCAATGAACTCATTGATATCGAAGTCCGGAAACTCAACGGGTATCGGAGGAGGCGGTGGAGTGGCAATCCTACGAGGACTAGGAGATCTCGCCCGATGTCTCTCTTCCACGCAGTCGGCATCATTACCTTCGTCTTCTTGGTATTGGAGTCGATTTCCAAAGTCTTCAGCAGTCGTCCGAAGACCATACCGATTCGTCTCTGGGGATCTGCTGCGCCTTCCTCTTCTTGTCGAAGCAGGCTCGCGTCTATCTCTATACTGTCGATACTCGTCGTCTTCAGACTCTTCATCGACCGTCGATTGTCTTGTTTTCCGATCTCTGAACTGCCTAGGCGGAGGAACTGGGCTAGAACTTCCCATCGCAGCAGCCCTCTCCCGAGCCCTGGGGGTATCATAAGGGCCTCTGGTCTTTGCTCGTTCTTTGGGCTCTTTCTTCTTCTGGCTCGGTTTCGACCACATCGTCTCCTCATCCTCATCGTCGTCGTCCCTTCTTTCCGGCGCAACGACCTCTACTCCATTTTTCTTCAAGGTCTTCTCCTTCCACATATACTTTCCCATCGGTCGAATGCGTCCAGGATCTTCGCCTCTATCCGCCATCGGCTCACCAGCCGCATACGGCGCACCGCGATACCTGACACCAGACATCATACGGAAGCATTTATGACCTCCCTCCCTGCAAAAGTTGCACGCTTTGCGCGGGTTCTCCTCTAACGAGCAAGTTTTCTTGAACCGGTTGCAAGTGAGGCATCTGACCCGACCGGCATCTCTCGCCGTCTGCTCAAACTCATAGTGATAAAGTCCATCGTCACTATCCTCAGCCGGATCCGGAGTAGGCTCTCGATCAAAGCCGTTTCTCGCTTGCCAGGCTCTGGTTCGCTCGAGCAACTGACGTTCAATTTCCCTGTTTGCTTCTTGTCGCGCCTTTTTCGCAGCTCGCCAGGCGGTGGTATACTCTTTGTCGTAGAGATTGCCTAATTCGTTTATGAGATTCGCATGGTTGTTCTCGCTCATATTCACATAAGCTCTGCGTGCATCCGCGGGACGTTCTTTGTTCCGAGTCACCACGTCTTCGGCTCGAGGTAGCAAGGGCTTTGTCTTAATCCCGAGAAGTTGGCGGGCTTTGAGACAGCGGGCTTGCCAGTGCATTGTTCCCTCTCCGACTCGTCGTGGGTGATCGTCATATGCTAGTCTCGGGTCGTCGTCGCCTTCAATGACCCTTGGATCATGTTGCGGGATTGTGGAGACAGCAGGTGTGGTTACTTGCCGAAGTGTACTCTCCCGCATGGCTCTGTAGCGCTCGTTCCTCGCTTGTTGCCTTTGAGACTCTGTCTGTGGGACGACGGATGTTGAGGCTCGTAAGAGCGCTTCACGTTCTGCTCGAGAGTATGCTTTTTCTGTACGAGGTGATGTGCTTCTAACCCCATGTGCTTTTGCAGGTGGTCCTCTCTCAAAGCCTCGACTAGCATGAGTGTTTGCAGTCCACTCATACTCTCTGGTAGGTGGTCCTGTCTCAAAGCCTCGACTAGCAGGCACATTCATACTCGATCTATACTCTCTAGGCCGTGGCTCAAACTCTCTGCTAGCCAACATATCATCTTCTCTAGTCGTCGGCCTATATACCGGCGTCCCAAAACCATTCTCAATCTGTGTCATTAGCCGCCGAAGAGCACCTCGAGTTGAAGTCCTCACCACATTCTGATTGTGCGGTATAACCCTATACCCCGACTCCCCTTGCCGATATTCACGGGTAAACCCATGATTTTCAATTGGAGGTGAGGGAGGTCGTCCTAGGTATCGACGGCCAGCTTGAGGTGGTGGTCTTAACGTGGGAGGGCCTTCATTCGATGGATTTTGGGAGTTCGAAGGCCCAGGCTGTCCATCACTCCTCTGATTCTGATTCGTATTCTGAGTCCTTCGAGAATAAGGATGGTACCGCCCAGATCTTTCAGGTCTTTGATTTGGTGGTTGATTGTCCATATTGTCAGGGGCTCGCTTAATCCGATCAAGTCTTTCTCCTTTCCTTTCGAGTTGTCAACTTAATTCACCGAAAGTCTCGTGAATTAACAAAAGTCCAAGAGATGTGTGAGTTGTGTTGTGAGGCAAAGACTTTTCCTTTATCTGAAAGGAAGGTGTCTTTGTGTTGAATGTCGTGTGGCGAAAGAGAATGTGAAAGGAAAAAGAAGAAGGAGTGACGGATGCGGTTGAGGAAATTTATAGTGGGTGTGGTGAGGACAATGAGAATTGGGTTAGAACAAGACTGGTTGTTCTGATGGTGATCGGGGAGGTATTTTTGGGTGATGTGAGGGTGAGTCGGGGGGTGATTTTGGGACGGGAAGATGAATTATTGAGGGCTGCCTTATTGTTTCAGGCTTTGACTGGATACTTGAAAGTGTTAGAATGGCTTAGGATACTAATCTATCACCTTTAGAAATTGGACGGTGAGGTCGGATTTCAATCCCAAGAACTCATTAAAACTGGCACAAATTAACACTACAGATTCCTTTATCCCACCAGCCCAAGAATTATCATCTCAGTCGAACTCCATCAAGATTCCCACCTCTTCCTGAAACTTACAACCAGAGAGACTTTGATTCTTCACACATCAATTCTAAGGCTTCCAAATATCGATAACTTTCAAGTTCACCAGTCATTAGGGGCTTAAGCGAGGAATCAGACATTAGACATCCTTCAACGACCCACTCGGTCGAGGTGTAGGCTTAGGTTACGATCGGGTTAAGATGTTAATGTGAATTATGTGTAGGTAAACTATATATGTGCGTCATAATGGTATTGTATGTGTTAAGAGGGATGTTAGGAGTACCTGGATGGCTTGGTGAATTATTGATTGTTGCCAAGGGAGGGATGATGTTGAAGGATAGTACTTCTAGGTAGGCAAAGTAATCACAGGTCTGTCATTTCGTACTTCTTGTTTGTTGTATTATTTGTATCAATGTTAAGGAATAATTGAGGGATGTAGGTAGAAGAAAAATGGCCGAAAGCGGAAAAGTTCAGAGGGTGGTACTTTCTTTGTTCCAAAATACCACAAAATATATCATTTAACACACCCTTATTAAATCCCCTATTTCATTTTCGAACTTCACAATAATAGAGACTAATATCCCCACACCTTGAACGTTAATATGTGAAATGATGATGTAGGTATACTCTTAGACCTAGTAAAGTCATTTATCGATGCCCCGTCACCAACCACCCAATTTCCTTGTCCCCCACAACTCTATATCACTCAAGCAATCATTAAAACCAAACTCTTGTCACATTAGCAGTTCGAATCACTACTACCGCCTTCACACTTCACGGCCGCAAATCTCCCCTCCCTTCTAAGCCCCTCTCCCGTCCTAAGCCTCCCCCTCAGAAACAGGTTTTAAGGTAGATTATTACTATAGTTGCCTAACTGATAGATCAAATAACCAGCCTTCCAGCCTAAGGTTTGTCAATACGCGCTTGAAGTGGAGTGTAGTGTTTTTATGGATATGTAGCGTCTAGTATCCTTTGGGTTTGGGTGTTGGGATTGTGGGAATGGCGTAAGAGGAATGAGTATATATTTCATGTATCAGTTAAGTGGGTGTTTGCAATGGGTTCATGAGGTTTGATTCGAGAAAGGACTGGTTTGTATTGGTGGAGGTGTAGCTTATTGACATCGTGATAACGATACCTGGATATTGACTAGCAAAGTCAAATAGTAATAAAACCCTCGAATGAGATATGAATACATCGTCAGTATACTATGTTTAACGCGGGTTTTGGAACTAAGGCGAAGGATCTCCATTATTCCCCCACTCTTCTTATATTTAAAAACATTGTCAACGAAGAGTTCAACAACACTACAAATAAATGTTATCTTACCTACAAACGACCTATCTACACTACTACCTCTTTATCGACCCTCGATCATGTATTTCCTGTTTTATTTAACATACATATTCCTCTGCTTTACTCATCTAACAGAAATATATATCCATCGATGTTATCAGATAACAAGAAAGTAGGATGTCCTTCTGTAGATCTATATCCAGTAAAAGGCGAGGTAGCATCATCCATCACATCACCCATTCCCTCCCCCCCTGCCACCCACCCGAAACAAACATTCTCCTAAAACAATCCACAACCCTCACTCCACAACAACCCACCACCCTTTCAACCTTTAACCCGCCACCCTCTCCCTCTCCCTCTCCCTCTCCCTCCCCCTCAAACCCTCCTCCAAACCCCTCACTCCTCCCGTCTCAATCCCTCCCGTCCACCCTCAAAACTTTCCAAAACAAACACACAAGTTTCTTTCATCCTTCCCATCTACGTTAATACATCTATTAAGCACCGAGCAAGGGGGATGTTGTTCAGTTGTGAAGGAGTGTGGTGTGCGGAGGTGGGGAAATGTGGACGTATTTGAAGGATATAGAAATAAGACGGCGAGCAGATATGCTTCATGAAAGGTACATTTATAGGTAAAGTTGTGATAAAGATACAAGACCGACATTGAAAACACCAAACTGCTAAGCACGAGAAAGCTCCACATCATCACTCACCAACACTCAAACCTGACTCCTACGTCCACCCATCCCAGAACATCGTTTTATTTCCCATCTAACCCACATCCGCAGTCTCGGTTTCAGCGAGCCGTCTCCTATATGGTTTTGATCTGAACTTCTCACCCAAGTCCAAGTCCAACCACAATCAACACAGTTGACTTGCACCTACCCAACAAACTCCACCGAGAGAACCATGAAAACACCCCTTAAAATTCCCTGAAAATTTTGGAGGAGGGGGGAATGAGAAAGAAAGAAATAACCCACCTAGCACTATCTACCTGTATTCCCATTCCAAGCTTACCCTCACACCCAAAATATCTCACCAACCTCCAAACCAAACACGGGATATCCAGCACAATCTTAAGCATGAAAAAAAAGTGGGGGCAAAGGAGAGAAGACCCAAATGTAGACACCCAAAAACAAAATAAAATAAATCCTCTTAACTGCACGAAGGCAGAGAATAACAACAAAAACGAACAAAGCTCTCTGTCTTCCAAATATGTTTATAAACCCCCCCCTTTCACTCCCCTCCCACCACTTTCCTCTCCCACCACCCACAAACAACACACACAAAATATGCCCCAAAACCGGAACTGGGAGATTGTCTTTTCTTCCCACTTCCAACCTATCATGCATCCCCAGTCCTACTCCCTCACTTCCTGTATCTTTTTGAGAAACAATCAACCTATTAAGTCCATCCTCTTCACATTATCACACATTTCCCGCAGCAGCCCCGATCATTACCCTCTCCATCGCCCACCTCCAACTTATTCATCTGTCCATTACTACCTGATCCGCCCGATCCGCCAGCCGTGTAGCCCGCCATCTCCTTATTATAACGTCGGATCTCGCGCACGATGTCGTAGAAGGCATTGTCGACGTTGATGCGGGATTTGGCTGAGGTCTCGATGAATTTGCAGCCGAATGAGCGGGCTAATGCTTCACCCTCTGTCGCAAATGTTAGCTCGTATTTAGAAGAAGTAGGATTCTGGTGAGAACAACATACCCTGCTTTGAAACCTGTCTTTCACCTTCCAAATCGCATTTGTTCCCTACCACGATAATCGGAAAGTAATCCTTATCCTTGACCCTCAGAATCTGTTGCTGGAACGTCATGATCTCCTCGAAACTCTGTCTGCTCGTGATGCTGTACACCAGTAAGAAACCCTCGCCCGTTCGCATGTACTGTTCTCGCATCGCCGAATATTCTTCTTGACCCGCCGTATCGAGGACATCGAGGAGCGCAACTTCTTCATCGATCACGCATTGCTTGCGGTAGGAATCTAGGGGTGTTAGCGAAATGTGTGCATGGTGCGACGGGATGTTTACCTTCAATCGTTGGATCGTACTCATCTACGAAATGTGATTGTATCAACTGGATCGTCAAACACGACTTTCCTACACCACCTCCACCCACAACCACGAGCTTATATTCTCGTAAGAACTGCGCCGCAGAGTGTCACGATTAGCCATTGCACGCATACCAACACCGTATCCCCATCGTCCGTAACTCACTTTAGATGCCATCTTGTATTTGGGTATATGTGTGATTAATTAGGTATTCATCAACTTCGCACCGGGATCTGGGTCGGCGGCGAGTAAGGTGAAACTTGCGATCTGGGGATGTCCGCGAAAGAATCTGAAAGGGTTCGGGGTCGTCTGGAGAAGCTGGTGTTGGGACCCAGAGGTTGCTCGATGCAGTGGATCTCGACCGTCGAGCTGTATAACAACACACGACAGGATCTCAATGGAGCTCTGCAGCAGCGGTGAGAAGGTGATTCAATTGAAAGACACCTGGATGATTGAGTGCTGGGCTGATATGCGATGCGGGTGCAGAGATGGAGAGTGTCGTTGGTGTTTGGACAAAGAAACGTTCACACGGTTGCCGCGATGATCGAAGCACAGGCGTCTCCGTCTCTTGGAGGAGGTGCGTGCGCGTGTGAATATCTCGATGCTGCTATCTTTCTGGGGGTTTGGGTTGGCTGGTGCAGGCAGAGTGCAGACAGGGTGCAGATGCAGAAGGATGGATTTCGGTGGTGTGAATCCGACTTGCGGCTTGTGTTGGTCAAGACCAACGGGGTAGAATGTTTGACGCGGGGATTTAGTTATTTTGATACATTTACCATCAACATAATTAATACAAACAATATATAAATACTATCAAAACTGTCAAATATATCATCATCTCACATAATCCTCAAATCACACCCCCTATCCCTATCCCCAAAGTAAACATCACACCTCGCCTCACCCAATCCAGCCATCACTCTCCAACAACACCTCCAACCTATTTACCTCCTGTCTCCCTCCCTACTCCATCGCAACCACGCACCAATCGCTCCCACCCATCACCTCGTGCAAGGGATAAAATCCATCGTTCTATGCATATTCCACCAGTCCTTCTCTGATCCCTCGCCCGAATTACCACGCTCCAACTCCAATAGGGACCGGCGTGGCTTGATCGGTGTACGATTTGATAGGTCGATATAAACACGGGTGGTTGAAGAATATTTTTGATAGCGTGATGGACTACGGGTCGTATCATTCGTATGTGGTGAATTAAATAAAATGTTTATCAGAGTTTGGCATCTAGAATCAAGAAGTTATCAAGTTCCTGGCAGATAATCTAACCTCGGCCAGATAGCACCACCAAAAAACCGTTTGTTTCGTTTCGTTTCGTTTCGCGTTCCCCACAATTTATCCTCACTCGGAGGCGGAGATACATCCATTTACACAAGGTTACCTGTCAAACAACCTGTACTTATTCATCTACCACCATCTCGACTCACCTATCTTTGCCATATTTTCTGATTCCTGAATTCCAAAACACATACACCTCTCTCCTCTCCAGGTCAAAAGAAACATAAATACACACTAGACCATCTCCCACCAAAATTCCCCATCCACCCCACGAAATCATCCAACCACCAACCCATGCACCAACCGAATTACGATCTTCACTCGCCCAGGAAATGAGACCATGTTTCATCCCAAATCCTTACACCACAGAATTTCAACAGCCGCCAAAAAACACCTTCGGTCATTATTCATGTACTTGGTACTATATATACAATTGTGCATTTCGGATGGATTTATCCAGGCAGGCGTACCTATGAAAGGTATTTGGAAGACCGATTTATCGGACGCGTGGTATTTCTTATTCCCGATTTTCAAAACACATGGCATGGGAATCGCAGTGTGAAGCAAAGAAAAAGGTAAAAAGCAACGGTCTTCTATTAAGCAACTATACACATGCAGCAAAACGGCACGATGAGCATTCCCACGTGGGCGGGTTGATGCTAATCGGTACCTAAAAGTACTTGCCGCCTCCACACGTATTCAAGAAACGTGGAGATGTTATGGTTGTGTGACGGCGCGAAATAGTACTTTAGATCTTGGCGCTCGCTGATGGAAGGCCAACATTCGATCTAGGTTGGTCGCATGTTCGTTTAGGCATCTGGTTCGTCGTCCTCGCCTTCTACTTTGACGACACGACCTTCGACGTTCTTTACGACTTCATCAACTAGGCTATCGAGGTAAGCTTGATCTCTGGAGAATCTGTTAGTTTACTCTCTACTCGGCAGTAACATGGCGGCAAACCTTCCAACTAAAGTCACGGTATTTCTCTTCTTTCCCCATCGAGGATAACTTCCAACCTTGACTCCATTTGGCTCAACCTTCGCTGCCAACTCTGTCAAATAAGTCGCAACCGAACTTTCAGACAATGGTGTCGAGATCAAAACTCTATGGATACCCTTCCCTTCTGGATCCGTCAATCGGGGCAGCAAATGTGGTTTCATCCCATCTAATAATTTCTCAAATAGTCTCGGAACTCCTGGTAATATATGGACATTGCCATTTACACACGCAACCGGCACCCATAAATCCTCTGCTGGAAATATAACTTGCTGTTTTGCATCTCGAGATTTATCGGTAGGTAATTCAATCATTCGGATCTTGGCTTTTCGTCCTGGGCTATCTTCATCCCAGTTGAAATTTGGTTGCTTTAAGTTGGTCTTCGATAGCTTCTTCATCTTCTCGTATGCTTCTTCGTGGAATACCAGGGGGAGGTTGAAGGCTTTGCCTATGGATTGGTAGGTAATATCATCGTGGCTGAATCGTCAGTGTATTTCACTTTTTGAGGTCGTTACACATACGTAGGACCAATCCCTCCACTTGTTACTACGAAATCGTAGTTAGTGCTCATTCTCTGAACGGCTTCTACGATTTCGCTCTCTTCGTCTCCTATAACCTCGATACGCTTCAGGTTCTGCATACTGTCAGATCTCATCTTTGTACCGGACATGTCTGCCTACCATTCCCAGTCCAAAGCAGAACTTGGCCATATACGCCGAATTCGTCTACAACCCATCAGTACTATTCCCATGTCCAACCAGGTACAAAGCATACATCAACAGTCTGCCAGCCCAAAATTAGCCATTGTCACCCAATTTCACTCCCCACCGCATTCCAATACAAACTAACCTTCCCACCCAAAACCTCATCTCCAATAATCAAGCACGCAGCCGTATGTATCGTCCTCGTGTTGCGCTCATCTGCCGTAGCACTTGATGACGACATGATGCGATTCGCAATCGAAGGAACCGCCGCAGCAGATGTATGAGCGTAGTTTGGGAGCGGACGGGAGAAATGTCTGGCTACTTGGCTCAGTCGAGAGAACATGAGGTGTTGTCAATAAGTATTACAATATAAATGTCTGTGAGAGGTCGGAGTGGGTGAGGTGGATGCAAGTCGTGAATGGCGGGGCAAACTTAAGCCACAGCTATTGACATGGCATGTCACTGTCAGAAGTCGAAAGACGCGTATGTAGGGGGATTAAAGGCCCGTATCCGATTTGGTTAAGAGGTTTAACGTTTCCTATCACTTTAGATTTTTACTCTTGCTCCTGAGAGCTTTACAAACAAGCATTCAATCGTCTGCATATCGGTGACATCCCACCAGCCAAAAGCTTGCATGCAAGCAGCCTTCACAACAAACATTCCCAGGTCAATACCAGGAAACCCAACTCTTCTGCCAGGAACCGCTGCGATTATGCATCTGCCATGCTTCTATCAACTTCTCCAAACGAAAACGCGCTTCACGGACACCGTCCAGTCTCCGCAACAACAGTCGGTGAGAAGTCCTCTCCAATCCGGCATCTTCGGGCCAACCCGTGATCCGGAGCAGCAGGAGCTCCCAGCTATCAGCCACCCAAACCTCCAAGATGGAGTACACAATATCTCTACGCCATGAGCATTCAGCTGCGATTCCTATCCCCTCTTAATCTTTACGCAAAATCCAGTCATCATCGAATCTGATTCCCAACAAACGGCACAGCGCAATCACGGAATCGGTGCAAGTGCTTACTTAAGTGACGTGGGGGCTAAGTAAACAGAAATTCGGAAGAGCGAGCGAGCCTTTCTGAGTCGTGAGATTGCAGGAGGAACCACCCAACATCCCCATTCTCCGCGCGCGCGAAAATAAATATCATACGTCGTACATACGCCTCCCCTTCATCACATATCTACTTCTCTCTTGTTTTTTGTATATTCGAACAGCAATCATGTCGACGAGTGGACCCGCACATAGAGTGGAAAGCGCGGCGGTGGAATACGGATATCCTCAGGGCCATCTCGGACATCTTTCTGGGGAGGAGGAAGAGGCGTTTAGGAATTTCAAGGCGTATTGTCAGGAGAAGGGGTATTTCACCCCGAGGGAGGGTGGTAAAGAGGCGAGCCATGATGATCCGACTTTATTGTACGGTTCTTTCTCCTGTATTATGACGTGTGCGAATCGCATTTGCTGATATTTTGCAGGCGCTTTTTGAGAGCAAGGAGATTCGTCGTGGCGGATGCGTATAAACAGTTTCAGGAAACGGAGGATTGGAGAAAGGCGAATGAAATAGACAAGCTCTATGAGACGATAGACCTGGAGCAATATGAGGAGACGCGTAGACTGGTGCGTTAGGCAGCGGACTAAATATTTCGCCCTATGCTAATTTTCTTCTCAGTACCCTCAATGGACAGGTCGTCGCGACCGTCGCGGCATCCCCGTCTACGTCTTCGAAGTCAAACATCTAAATTCGAAAACCATGTCAGCGTACGAAAAGTCGGCCTCGACCACCAAATCGCAAGCCAAAACCGACGGCAAGATCTCCCCTAAACTTCTACGTCTTTTCGCATTATACGAGAATCTTATTCGTTTTACCATGCCTTTATGTACAGCATTGACCGATCGAGATCACCCCAGAACGCCCATTACTCAGAGTAATAACATAGTGGATATTTCGGGGGTGGGATTGAAGCAGTTTTGGAATTTGAGAACGCATATGCAGGATGCTAGTACTTTGGCTACAGCGCATTATCCGGAGACTTTGGATAGGATCTTTGTGAGTTACCCAAATCTCCGTCATATATATATTGGAAGAAGTGCTAACATAAGAAATCAGATAATAGGAGCTCCAGCCTTCTTCCCAACCGTCTGGGGCTGGATAAAGAAATGGTTCGACCCAATCACTACCTCCAAAATCTTCATCATCGCCCACGCCGACGTCAAGAAAACCCTCGAATCATTCATCGACCCGGTCAACATCCCTAAAAAGTATGGCGGACAACTAGATTTCGAATTCGGTCACCAACCAGTTTTAGATCCCCATCTTAACTCTGTTTGCCAATGGGAAGGAAAACATACGAATTTCCCAGAAGGCCCAATCCATTGGGAACATGTCGGTGAGGACAAGATCAAGGCGGTTGCAAGGGGTACGCTGCCAGGTAGCCATGCGCAGAGGAATGAGGAGGTTTGCACGGTTACGAGGAAGCTTCCTGATGAGCCACAACCGGTGGAGTCGCAGCCGATTAGACCGGATATGCTTTCTGCGCCGACAGAAACTGAGATTCCTACCACCTCAGTACCAGCTACGGAAACTGCTGCGCCTGTAGCAGCACCAACGACCGAAACTTCTGCGCCAGCTCCTGTCGCTCCCGTCGCAGTGGCCAAAGACGAAGTATCAGAAGGCACAGCAGTAGAAGCAGGTCAAATCGTTTCGGACTCGCGTCCGGCACCACAGACGTTCGTTACGGCATCGGAGGGGCTGCCGAAGGTGGGCGATCTGAGTATCAGTGAAAAGGTCCCCGAAACGGGGAATCATAGTACAAGGGCGGGGGCGTTGTTGGATCCTACTTTGAAGAATTAGAGTTGAGTGGGGAGGTTTGAATTATAGGTGAGTATGGGGGGCGAGGTAGGTGGAAGAGTAGAAGTGTAGAAGGGTTTTATAGAGTTGTAGTAGCTTAGTTGGTAATGAAGAATATACACCCATCTCCCCTTCTCTTTTATGCTGAGGTTGGTATACGATTTCTGAGGTCTGTGCGTGGCATGAGAGTAGGGAGAAAAGTATGTATAAACCCCCCCATCCCCTGGTATGTGGAAATGGTAGTAAACTGAGATACAGTAGTTTTATATGTACTTCTCGATTCCTACAATTTCCCGGGTTTATATGTGCTTTAGGTATGGGTTTCAAGACGCTCAATATACCTCGTATTCTCAAATTAGAATCTCACTTAGATATAAAAGTTTGTTTGCTCTCGTAGGTTTTTTATGGATTCGTGTAGCTTGGTCATCTATCCAGTGGGATCGCTCGTCTTGGTATGGCTTTGCAATTGCTAAACAGATGATCTTGGGGGGAAGTATATATGCTAGAATATAACCTCGGTATAAAAACAAATATACTGGAATTCAATCCTCAGAAACAGACTTAACATACACATCTCTCTCGAAGTACGACTCCACGACATAGGTACTGTACTAAACATCTCTGGAAAAGCTGCACCTGATAGGAAACCCTTGGACTCATACCTGCCGATTGTACATCGCCTTAGGTAAGTTTCTCACAACATGCTTGTGCGCCTAAAATACACCTCCTCACCGCACCATCTGCAGCACTGCTAAACATCCCACATCAAGAGCCTCTCTTACCAAAGTACGATTGTTTCCTCCACGCTTCACACGCTCACTTCTCGCAAAAACCGCTTACGCGCCTAAACACACATCTTGCTTACATCTGCGAGAACAGGATACCTAGATCCCTCCCTCCCATATCTACAGGAAACGACCTCTTCACCTTTCTCGTCCCCTGTGCAAACCTCGGACCTAAATCTCGTAACAGAACACCACCTATCGAAAGTCCAATGAGCTTCAGCCGTACTTGTGTTGCAACCTAGACAAGTACATGTCTTAGGTAAGGTTGCTGGCAATATCCTGACGCGCCTAAATACCCTTCGCAATGGAAAACCTCTCTCATCACATCTGCTCATACACACTCCCCACTCAACATCAAACATCTTCGCGCGCCTAAATACCTCCATTCTTACCAACGGCCATGCTTACAGGCAATTTAGCATCGGATGTGTCTATGTTACACAACATTCGTCAGGAGATGGGGAATTGTGAAAGAGGCTGTTTGACACCGGGTATTTCGAGATACCTGTGTACAGGTTGGGTATGAGTGTGGGAGGGGGATTTGGAATCATAGTTTGGATTATGGATAAATAAAGGCGCGTTCCGTGTTTTCTTTGTTGGAGGTTGAAAGTGAGAAATCTTTTTTTGATTCTCAGGAAGAAACCTTTTGAGGTCATTGCAAGGAATCTCCAATCATGAAGTCACTACTCATCCTACCATTCTTCCTCTCAGGCGTTCTATCTCACGTTCGTCCCCCTCCCCTTCTCCCCTCCCCCCCCTCCCATCCCCCCATAT